TGCCCACAGAGCGGATAGGCGATGCCACAGTAAACAGAGCCGGGCACGCACACGGACCGTCCCTCCCCGGGACCAGGCACGGCCCCGAGGTCTCCGGGACTGTTATCCGACCCCTGGGGTCAGGGTCACCACGTGGGGAAAAGTGTGCCGGGGAGCGGGCGCCAGCTCAGGCACCCCGTGGCCGGCTGCTCCGTGGCCCCCTGACGGGGCTCAGTGGGCCGGACCGGCGGCTCTCCGGAAGGTCCCTCTCCCGCGCTCCATGCCCTGCGTTACTTCATAAATTGATTTTAGAGAGAGGAAGGGAGGAACCACCCCGTCCGGCGGTGGTTGAGCGTCGACCTAGGAACCGGCGGGGTAACGTTCACTTCCGGGTCAGGCCACAGGCCCGGTTGGGGGCTCCGCTCCGCAGTGTGGGGCGGGCGGGTGGAGGCGGCCGATCAGTGATTCTCTCTCATCACTGATGTTTCTCTCTCCCTCTCCTTTCCGCTCTGAAATAAAAAGATATATTTTTAAAAATAGAGAAGGGAGAGCGAGTGAGAGAGAAACATCGATCACTTGCCTCCTGAACCTGCCCTGCCCGGGGATGGAACCAGAAACCTGGGTACATGCCCCGACCGGAAATTAAACTGCCCCTGTGGTGTATGGGACGATGGTCCCACCGGCCGGGCCACGCCCACCGGGATGGCCTGCCACCCGAGCTCGAGGCACAGGCAGCACAGATGGGGGTGCGGGAAGGGGTCTTCCCGTGGTGCCCTCACCCTGCTGTCCCCGTCCACTCAGCTTCCGGGTCAGACCTGGAGCCGGTCTCCGGCGGCCGCCCCTCTTCTGCCCGTGACCAAAGGCCCGTTTCACACCGGATGTCGGCTGCCAGGCAGCTCCCCGGGTGGGAGAGTTAGACAAGACACGTGACCACAGGTCGCCCAGGTGGCCGACAGCATAAAACGCCACCTCTGACCCGGCCAGCAGGGCTCCGTGGCCGAGCGTCCACCCAAGAACCAGGAGGTCAGGGTTTGGTTCCCGGTCGGGGCACAGGCCCGGGTTGTGGGCTCCATCCCCAGTGGGGAGCGTGCAGGAGGCAGCCGGTCCATGAGTCTCTCATCATGGATGTGTCTCTCTCCCTCTCCCGTCCTCTCTGACATCCATTATATACAAAACCCCCGAAGGGCGTGGGGAGAGATTTCCTGCACGTTTTCCGGGTTTGGGGCAGGACAGACTTCGAATGCAGTAAGTCCCACTGAACACCCAGCTAGGTTCTGCGACTTTAAGAGAAATGACCTGTAACAAAGCTCCCTTTTCCAGCCGCTGCTTTTGCCAACAGTAAAGCTCCCCCAGAGTGCAGCCAGTGTTACAGTTACAATGCAGCCGGGAATGCAACAAGGTTACTCCCGAGGACCCTCCCGGAACAAGGAGAACCGAGACCGCCGCCTCCAGCCCCGCCATTGTTTCACCTCCAGCACAGCCTCCCAGCACCGCGGGGAGCTGAGCAGCTAATCTCACAAAAGAGGTTCCGGCCAGTGAGCAAAATCCGGGTCTCTCAGCGGGCTGGGTAGACAAGGTGAACTCCAGATTGAAGATTTGTGTTGCCAGGCAACCCGGCTGCCCCCTTCCTGGCACAGCCGGCAGGGGCCCCGCCCCCCAGCCCCTGCGCGGTGACAAAGATAAGTGTAAAGAACCCTAAACGGCGAATTCCCCGGCGCAAAGCATCGGGCAGCAAAACCAAAATGTTCCTGCCCATCGAGTTGCCAGTGAAAAAGCCATCGATGGCCATTCACAATAATAATAATAAAAATAATAATAAATAGCAACAAGCCCTTAGCGCCCGCCAGGCACTAGATAATGGAGCAGCAGGCCTCTGAGGCAGGTGGTTTATCCACTTCCAGAGGAACCAAGGCCAGCGGCATTGGCAGCTCCGCGCCCGGGGCAGGTACTGAGCCCGCGGTCTGCTCTGGAAGCCCCGCTCCTAAGCACAGCCCGCACTCCCAGGTCCGGCAGAGGCCAGCGCGGTGGGGGCGGGCTGTGCGAACCCCAGGCTGTCCCTGCAGGGCACAGCCCCTGAGTGACGTGGGCTTGGCCCCCGGGCCCTTGCATCCTGGTGAACCAGCTGGCAGAGTGAACCAGGCCTTAGTGTCTGAGCGAGGGCGGCAGGGCGGGCGTCGGTGTGAGTGACGGGGCATTGCCAGCGGGAGGCCCCGTGGGTGTTTGGAGCTGGAGCCTCCCGCACCCCAGGCCCCAAGTTCGGTCCCTCCCGGCTGCACGACTGGGGAATCACTTTCCTAAGCCTCCGTGGCCTCGTCTGCGAAGCGGGCACACTCCCCGCCCCCTGCCTTGACGGCGTGTTTTCTGGGTGCGTGAACCCGTGCGTGGAGACCAGAAGCTGGTTCCACAACCACCTCGTGGCCGGAGGATGTGGAAATTCACGGATGAGGCCTTCCTTTCGCACTATCCTGAGGCCCTGCTCACCATAGACACCCAGCGGCTGGCAGGTGCTGGCTGCCCGGCCCGGCGGTGAACTTGGGCGGCTGTGACTTTTTCTTTGCAAAGCGGCCGTGGTTTGAGTCGCACCAGCAGTGACGTGTGGATGTTTCTAACGGGGAGTTTCTGAGATGAACACACGGATTTTTAAAACTTCTCCACTCAGTGGAGGCAGGCGCGGGGGGAACCCACCCCGGCCTCTGGTCCGGCTCGGAGAGCAGGTGGCCTGGGTGCCACGGGAGAGGCTGCGGCCTCCAGGGTTAGGCAGGTGCCCGGGAGGTCTGGCCCGCCCTCCTCCCGCACGCAGGAGGCGGCAGAGCGGCCGGTGCCACCTGGGCCTCAGACTAGTTGGGCTTCTGGTCTATTCCCCACTGAGATGCCGCCACGTGTGACACCGGCCGCCACCGCGGGAACAACGGGGCTTCCAGAACCGCCGGCTCCTGGCAGGTTCCGGCTATATTTAGCAAATTGCCTATGTTTCTCTTCTCTTTTCTATTCTTTTTTCTTTCTTTTCTAAAAGTCAAGGACGAAGGGCCAGAGCGTGGCCTGAAGGGAGTGAGTTTCCTGGCACCGGCTCTGGCCCAGACGTCCCGCCAGGCCCCCCCCCCCCGGAATGCCAGGGCGCCGGCGGGGTCACAGCACATTCGGGGGTCCGTGTGGGCGAGCAGCGGCCCCTCCAACTTCTCATCGCGAGCCGGACCATCCGGCCAGACAAAGACCGCAAGTTCCCCGCCGCGGCTGCAGGCAGAGGGGGAGCGAGCCTCCCGATCAGGCCCGGGCGTCCCCGATCGCCGCAGAGGGGTCCCAGCAAGTCCCCGCGTGGTCCGGGTGCCTGCGCGCCGGCGGCCCCGCACCCACCGAGGCTGCGGCCACAGCCCGGTCACTCCCGGCGCGGCCTCGGCCCACGCGCCCCGCGCCCCCCTGCCCCCGCCCAGGGGCGCCGCCGCCCCCGCCCCCGCAGCCCAGGCCCGGCCCGATACCCACCCGGGTCCCACGGCGGGGCCGGATCCGCGCTGGCTCCGGGCGCCGCCGCCGCCGCCTCCGCCGCCGCCAGTGAGGCCGGCGGGGCGGGGACGTGCGACCAGGCCCGGCCTCTGGCCCGCCCCCGGCCCCACCCGGTCCCGCCCCCGGCCCCTCCCGGTCCCAGCCGGGCCCCCGGCCCCGCCCGGTCCCGCCCCCGGCCCCACCGGCTCCCAGTCCGCCCCCGGCCCCTCCCGGTCCCAGCCCGGCCCCCGGCCCCACCCGATCCCCGCCCGGCCCCCGGCCCGCCCCGCCCCCGGCCCTGGTCAGACCTGGCTTCGCCCCGCGGCCCGAGCTTCCCAGCCCCGCGCCCCGCAGCCCAGTGCCCTCGCCCCGCCCCCCTCGCCCCGCTCTGAGCCTCTGTGGTTTGGGTTGGGGCGCGGGGGACCCGCCGCAGGTCCTGGTTCCCTCCCCCCGAGGGTCTGCCGCTGAGGGCGGGCCAGGCTGCGTCCCCGGCCCCGAAGGTGCAGCGGGTCCGGGTCCCGCAGGCCCGCCTCCGCCTGCCGGCCGGTGCCCCGCGTCCCAGCCGCGCGATGGTCGCTGTGCGGGACGGAGGCGGAGGCGGGGAAGCAGGTCTGCGCTTCGATGCCGCCCGGAGGGCTGTCCCAGTCCCGCCCGCACCCGCCGCCCCGCGCGCCCGCCGCCGGATGTTGACGCCGTCGCCTAGCAACGGGCCAGGGCGGAGCCGGGGAGCGGGGCGGCCGGTAAGCGGGGTCCAGGCACGCCGGGTCTTGGAGGGCCCCCAGGTTCCCCCTTTCCATGCCCCCCGGGGCGCCCCTTCCCCACTCACCCCCTCCTCCCGCCCAGCCCCCCGCCCGCCCTCTGGCCGCCCGCCCTGGCCCTTCTCCTTCCTCACCCCCTTTGTCTGCTCCCGCACCCCCTCTATGTCCGCACCCCCACTGACCGCTGCCCCAGGTGCTCCCCAAACCGGACCGCAGTAACCATGGCAACCACTATGCTTGGCAGCCCCTGCACAGAGCGGGGTGCAGGCGTCTCTGAGGTGGGGTGCTGCCCCTGCGGTGGCCCCTGGCCCCGGAGCCGGAAACCAGCCCAGCCCCGGCTCTCCTGGAAGAGTGGTCCCCCCTCCCCTCCCCCAGCTTGACTGGGGGTCCCCGCAGTGGGCTGCCCTGGGCCCAGGCCCTGAGCACAGGTAGATGGAGGTAGTGCCACCAGACCCGTCTCTGATGCTTCCTTTATTTTTTAATTTAAAAAAATATATTTTTATTGATTTCTGAGAGGAAGGGAGAGGGAGAGGGAGAAACATCCAAGATGAGAGAGAGTCATGGACCGGCTGCCTCCTGCACGCCCCCCACTGGGGATGGAGCCCACAGTTCTGACCAGGAATCAAACCATGACCTCCTGGTTCATATGTCAACGGTCAACCACTGAGCCATGCCGGCAGGGCCTGTCTAGCATCCTGATTTTATGTTCTAAAAAGCTAGTTTTTAAAAAATGTTTTTTTATTGGTTTCAGAGAGGAAGAGAGAAGGAGAGAGAGAAACATTCATGATGAGAGAGGATCATGGATCAGCTGCCTCCTGCACGTGCCCCACTGGGGATGGAGCCCACAACCCGGGCCTGTGCCCTGCTAGTTCCTGGGCCAAAGCTCACCCCTGGCCCCGAGGCCGGGCTCCGAGCTCGCGGTCTCCGTTAGGACACAGCAAAGCCACCTTAAGAAAGACGGTGAAGCAGGACAGGGAGCTCTCCAGCTGGAGGGCGCGGTTTCCCGTTTGCATTCCCCGTTCTCACAGTCGCAGGTGTCTGTCAGGTGACCTGGCGTCGCCTCGCGTGCTGTTTCTCTCGTGTTTCAGTGACCGTGTTTTCATCTTCGTTCGTGGAGACTCTCTGGGGGCCTCCCGCCACGGGCCGGCCGGGCGCTGGTGCTGGGGCCGGTGACAGCCTGGTCATCGACAAGCAAGCGGGCGCTGGGCCAGGCGGGCGGGAGGCGGCTCTCCGGTGACTCTGCCTGTTTCTCCGCTGCCGGGCCCCACAGGGAAGGAGAGGCAGCGATGGAGGAAGAGGAGGACGGGACCCCCGAGGGCGCTGGGGTGAGTTCCCGGAGGCCAGGGCCTGGGCCTGTGTCCGCCAGGGGCTGCGGGAGAGGTGGAGCATTGGCCAGAAAGAGTCTCTGGTCCCGGACAGACCGTCCGCTGCTGTGGGGCCCGGCGGGAACACGGGACCTGCTCTCAGGTCCCGAGTGGGCCAGAATTTCTTTCCTCTAGCGAAGAGCAAAGGTCACCACCAAATTACAGAGCGCGTGCAGACAGCCGCAGCCCAGCGACACGCGGAGTGGGGGGGACACGCTCAGCGGCATCAGCACACCGTGAAGGGTGACACCTCGCCCTGGCCGGTCTGGCTCAGTGGCTGGAGCTGCGGCCTGCAGCCTGAAGGGTCCGGGTTTCGATTCCTGCTCAAGAGCACGTGTCCGGGCTGCGGGCTCCGTCCCCAGTAGGGGGCGTGCAAGAGGCAGCCCATCGATGATTCTCTCTCATCAAGTGCTATTTCTGTCTCTCTCTCCCTCTCCCTTCTTCTCTAAAATCAATAAAAACAAAACCAGAAGAAAACCTCACCAGACCCTTATATTTTGATTCCTTCTGCGCAGCCACAGGCAGCCCCAGAGGAGTCCGCCGGGGAGCAGACCAGACCGGGGGCCGCTGCGGAAGCTGCTGAGCCGGGGGCCTCCACCCCGGGGGAAGGCCCGCCCGATGCAGGAGAGGGGGACGGGGTCCCCGAGGGAGAAGAGGGGGACATGGTCCCCGAGGGAGAAGAGGGGGACGGGGTCCCCGAGGGAGAAGAGGGGGACATGGTCCCCGAGGGAGAAGAGGGGGACGGGGTACCCGAGGGAGAAGAGGGGGATGGGGTCCCCGAAGGAGAAGAGGGGGACGGGGTCCCCGAGGGAGAAGAGGGGGACGGGGTCCCCGAAGGAGAAGAGGGGGACGGGATCCCCGAGGGAGAAGAGGGGGACGGGGTCCCCGAAGGAGAAGAGGGGGACATGGTCCCCGAGGGAGAAGAGGGGGACATGGTCCCCGAAGGAGAAGAGGGGAATGTGGAGACGGGCGAGGAGCAGCAGGTGGCGGGGGGCCCGGGGTCTGACATGGAAGCCCTGTCCCCCGGGGGGAAAGCCAGCTCCACGGAGATCATTGATTCGGACACCAGCCTCGGGGACGCGGCCCCGGACTCGGAGGCCGCCCAGCAGGAGGCAGGCTCCTCTGAGTGGCAGCCGAGCTCGGATGTTTCCAGATTTGGGCTCAGCCATTCGGTGAGTAGCCCAGGTCTGCTTGACGCCAGTGCGCTCCTTACTGCCGTGGGGGGTGTCCCGGGTGCCAAGGTCGGGGTCCCTCCCCGTGAGGCAGCCCGGTTGCTGGTCTCGAGCGGCCCGCCCAGGGGACTGGGGTAGACGTTTCCCATGTTGACCATTTGCAAAAGGCACGTGATCTTTTTATTTTGTAACATATATATATATATATATATTTTTTTTTTAATATATTTTACTGATTTTGTACAGAGAGGAAGAGAGAGAGAGGGTTAGAAACATCGATGAGAGAGTCATTGATCAGCTGCCTCTTGCACACCCCCTACTGGGGACATGCCCGCAACCAAGGTATGTGCCCTTGACCGTAATCGAACCCGGGACCTTTCAGTCCCCAAGCCGACGCTCTATCCATTGAGCCAAACCGGTTTCGGCTATTTTGTAATATAGTTTTATTGGTTTCAGAGAGGAAAGGAGAGGGAGGGAGAGAAACATCTAAGATGAGAGAGCATCATGGGTCGGCTGCCTCCTGCACGTCCAGCACCAGGGAGGGAGCCCACGACCCGGGCCTGTGCCCCGACCGGGAATGGAACCCTGGCCCCTTGGTTCACAGGTCGATGCTCAGCCCCTGAGCCACGCCGGCCGGGCAGGGCCCGTGATCCTTATGTCCAAACGCGTTCCTCTTCCTTAAGTCTGTGTGGACTTCGGAGCCCCGGAGGGGGTGGACCGGTCACTCCCTGGGGCTCAGGTCCCGCTGTTCTCACTCCAGACGGAGTCTGAGGAAGACCTGCAGCGGGTCCCACCGCGCCCCCTGCTGCCCGGCCCGGGCGGTAGCATCCCGTCCTCCGATGAGCTGTCCCTGACCTCGGAGTCCTCCTCCGGCCCGGAGCCAGGTACCCGGCCCCGCCCCGCCCTGCCCCGCCCGCCCCATCATTCCCACGGCTGGGCCTCTGCTTAGAGACTTGACCAACCGGAGGGAGAAGGGGCTCCGAGTGCTGACCAACCCCCTCCTCAGCCCTGGTCCTTACCGAGACGCTGCCCTCCGTCACTTACCGTGTGCCGCGCCCGCTGCTGGCCTGTGCCCATGCGGGGCGCGCAGGAGGCAGCCGGGCCTGGTTCTCTCTCATCATGGATGTCCCTCCCTCTCCCTCGCCCTCTGCCTCCTCTGAAGTCAGTGAAAAAGGAAAACAGCCCTCTGCCCCGTCCTGTGGGAGCGCCCCGCTCCGCCTCCCGTGGCTCGGGGCCTGGCCAGACCCTGTTCACTCCGGGTGCTGTCTGTCCCAGGCCCCCCCGCCCCGGCCTCCTGGCCGCCCCTCCGGCCAGCCTTCTCGCCCTCCTTCCTGGACCGGATCCAGCACTTCAGCCTCTCTGAGGACGGGGGCGCCGAGCCGCCCGAGTCCGAGGGGAGCGATGAGCCCGACGAAGACGTGACCCACCTGGTGGTCCTGGACCCCAACCACGTGAGGAGGGGCCCGCGGCTCTGAGCTGCCCCTTCGCCCGCCCCCGCGTCAGCCCCCGGCCCTTGCCGATCCGGGCGGGGCGGGTGCTGGCGTGGCTTGTAAAGCCTGGTCCCCTCCGAGGCTCCTGTCCCCGCATCGGCCCGCCCGCCGGCCTCAGGGACCCGGCACTTGAGAGGGGGGGGCTTGGGCAGCAGGGGAGGCCGGCGGCCTGGGAAGGGCCGAGTGCCCATTGGTGCCGGGACCCCCGCCCCGCCTGCTCGGCCCTTTTGCCAAAACACAAACTCAGGCTTCAGTGCCGGACCGGTGCTGGCGTGTGGCTGCAGAAGCGTGAGCACGGAGGGTAGAAGCCCCCCCCCCCCCCCCGAACAGCTGGGCCGAGGCCGCACGGGCCGACTCTGACCGTGCTTTGCTGTCGCTTTAGCCCCTGATGCTCAGGTTCCAGGCCGCACTGAACAGCTACCTGAACCGGCAGGTGGAGAAGCTGCAGCTGGAGCTGCTGGAGCTGGTGCGTGGCCCCCCATCCCCTCCCAGCTGTGTGCCTCCCCCATCCCTTCCCAGCTGTGTGCCTCCCCCATCCTCACCCCCATCCCCACCCAGCTGTGTGCCTCCCCCATCCTCACCCCCATCCCCACCCAGCTGTGTGCCTCCCCCATCCTCACCCCCATCCCCACCCAGCTGTGTGCCTCCCCCATCCTCACCCCCATCCCTTCCCAGCTGTGTGCCTCCCCCATCCTCACCCTCATCCCCACCCAGCTGTGTGCCTCCCCCATCCTCACCCCCATCCCTTCCCAGCTGTGTGCCTCCCCCATCCTCACCCCCATCCCTTCCCAGCTGTGTGCCTCCCCCATCCTCACCCCCTTCCCCTCCCAGCTGTGTGCCTCCCCCATCCCTTCCCAGCTGTGTGCCTCCCCCATCCTCACCCCCATCCCCTCCCAGCTGTGTGCCTCCCCCATCCCTTCCCAGCTGTGTGCCTCCCCCATCCTCACCCCCTTCCCCTCCCAGCTGTGTGCCTCCCCCATCCCTTCCCAGCTGTGTGCCTCCCCCATCCTCACCCCCATCCCTTCCCAGCTGTGTGCGGTCCCCCCTGCCTGCTCCCCCCCGTCGCTGTGTGCCGTCTCCCCACCTGCCCCCCCTCCCCGCTGTGTGCCGTCCCCCCGCCTGCCCCCCGACCGCCTTCTCTGGGCGCAGGGCGTGGCCTCCAAGCAGAGCCAGGCGCAGCGGCAGGAGCTGGGCGTGGAGCTGTACGGGCTGCAGCAGCACATGGCAGCCCTGCAGATGCAGCTGGAGAAGAGCCACGACCGCTACTCGCTGGCCACGTGCGCGCGGCAGCAGGTGGAGCAGGAGCTGCACCATGTGCGCCAGCTCTACACCAGCACCTACGGGGCCGCCAGCGAGGAGCGCCGGCAGCGTAAGGCCCGTTCGGTTCCCGGCTGAGGGCACAGGCCCGGGGCAGACCCATCCCCAGGCGGGGTGCGCAGGAGGCAGCCGACCCACAATCTCATCGCCGATGTGTCGCTCCCTCTCTGAAGCCAATAAAGACATGTTAAAACTAACTGAATGAATAAAACCGAGAGGGAAGGCCCGCCCGCGGGCACCACTGGCCCCCGGCACGGGCGCACCGGGAACCTGAAAGGGAGCAGCGAGTGCGGGTGGGTGTGGCTCCATTCCCAGGCCGATCAGGGATGTTTTGCTCTCACCTCGATGTTTCTCTCTCTCTCCCTCCCCCTTCCTCTTTCTAAAAAGTAATTTTAAAACCTTTTTATAAAAACAGATGAACACCACAGCTAGGAAGAGGGAAACATTTGGAACCTGGGTTGCTGGCAGCGTCCACTCTTTTCTGGTTTTCTGTTGTGTAACCAATTGCCACCGACTCAGGGGCTTAGAACAGCCCCGTTGGTATATCTGCCCCCGTGCCTTTGGCAGGAGCCTGTGACCCACCGGCTCCCCTAGCCAACCCCGGGCTCTTGTGGGGCAACTGCGGAAGACCCACCTGCAGGCTTGTTCACGCCCCTGGTGGAACTCAGCTCCTTGCGGCGGCAGGACTGTGGGCCTGCTATTCCGCTGGCTGTCAGCAGGGGGCGCGCTCTGCCCACACCCTTTGCCACGGCCCCTCCGCCTCCAAGCCAGCAATGGAGAACTCGCCCCTCCTCCCATCCCACTCACCCTGAGGATCTCTCCTCCCCCCCCCGGCCACCAGCCGCAGCAAACTCTGCCTTTCGAGGCTCAGCTGCCTAGGCAGGCCCGCCCGGTCACTTCCCTTCTGCCCCCGGAGGGTCCGTAACCGCAGGAGTGACACCGGGCCGGGTTCTGGGAGCCACTTACCAATTCTGCCCGCCCTGCCTGGGGCGTGCGGGAGGCAGCCGGTCAGTGACCAAGAGCCGCTGGGAGGCGACCAGGGAGGGGCTGAGGGCGTGAGCGGCGGGAAGGGCGGCGGTCACCGGCCCGGCCTGCTTCCTCGCAGTGGCGTCGCTGCAGGGCGAGATGGAGCGCCTGGCGCTGGACCTGTTCTACGTGCAGAGCATCGACCAGGACATGCGAGACGACATCCACGTGATGAAGCAGGTGGTGAAGAAGTCGGAAGCCGAGCGGGCGCGGGCCGAGCGGGACAAGCAGCAGCAGGTACCCCCCCCCCCCCCCCCCGCCCCCAGGCCAGGCGCAGGCTCTCCCCCGCAGCCCCGAGAGGCCACGGCCAGCTTGGGGCCGCCCCCTCGGGCCAGGGGTCAGGGGTCAGGGGTCGGCGCCTGAGAGCCGCCACGGGTCTGGTTCTGCAGGACCTGCACGTGGACCAGCTCACCAGCCGGGCCCACGAGCTGGAAGAACAGATCGCCCTGTTCGAGGCTCAGGCGGGGGCCCAGGCGGAGGAGACCCGGCTGCTCAGGAAAGCCGTGAGCGAGGTGAGGGCACCCATGGCCGCAGAGGCGCCCGCAGCCCAGAGCCCGGCCCACCCAGGAGGGCCCCACCCAGGAGGGCCAGGGAGGTACCGGGGCCTGGTGGCCGGTGCAGCCAGTCCTCCCCCAGCCCGGGAGGGGCGGACCCGCAGCCAGCGCCTCCTGCTCAGGCGGGGGCGCCTCCCTCTCCAGGTGCAGGGAGGGAGGGGCCGGGCAGCCCCGGATTCCGTGGCCAACACTAAGAATCAAAGCTGCTATGACTTTTAAAAAAATATGTATTTTTATTGATATCAGAGAGGAAGGGAGAGGGGGAAAGAGAGAGAGAGAGGGAGAGAGACATCAGCAATGGGAGAGAATCATGGATTGGCTGCCTCCTGCATGCCCCCTCCTGGGAATCAAGCCTGCAACCCGGCACCTGCCCCGACTGGAATCCAACGGTGACCTCCTGGGTCATACATAGGTCGACGCTCAACCCCTGAGCCACACTGGCCAGGCAGTACGCTGCTTTTTAATACTAAGTTACAAAGCAACATGCAGAACATGGTCACACACACACACACACACACACACACACACACACACGGGGGTAGCACCAGTGTGTGAGGGAGGATAACCTCCGAGTGGGGCATGATGGGTAATTTTGTTTTCCTTGTGCTTGCTCGTGCAAGAATGAGCACCTTTTTTGTTTGTTTTTCAATGAGCGTTTAAAATACTTAGAGACTGACTTCAGCCACGCTCTTTGGTCTCAGCCGGTGCCTGGGCACCGGGGCCCTGCACCCCCTCCTTCCCTGGCCTCCAGCCCAGGGGGTGGAGGGAGGCTCAGAGGATAGAGCGTTGGTCTCCGGACTGAAAGGTCCCGGGTTCGATTCAGTCAAGGGCACGTACATTGGTTGCGGGCACATGCCCGGTAGGGGGTGTGCAGGAAGCAGCTGGTCGATGTTTCTAGCTCTCTGTCCCTCTCCCCTCCTCTCTGTAAAAACATCAATAAAATAAATAAATGAATGGATAAATACATAAAAAAGAATTGCAAGGCCGACAGGGAGGGACAGCCGGCCCCCGCCCCCGCAGGCCTGCGCGGAGATCGACTCTGTCCGGGTGGAGAAGAAGGTGATCCTGCAGCAGTGGACCGTCTGCCTGGTGGGCATGAAGCGCCGCGACGAGGCGCACAGGACCATCCGGGAGGTGCTCAGGTGCGGCCCCGTGTGCTGGCGGGGGGGCCCGGGGGGGAGCTCAGGGCGCCAGGGGGAAGGGTGCCCCCCGCTGCCTGCCGGGGGGAGGGGAGGAGGGCGCTGGGCTCAGGGTACCAGGGGGGAGAGCGCCAGCTGGGGGGAAGGGCGCTGGGCTCAGTGTGCCAGGGGGGAGGGCGTCTGCTGGGGGGGAGGGGGAAGGGCGCCGGGCTCAGGGCGCCGGCTCATGGCCACTGCGGGCCAGGCCCAGCAGCTCAGGGCGGTGGGCGGGGGAGAGGTGGGGGCTGGGGAGGGGGCCGGGTCCAGGGAGCCGCCTCCTGGGACACGGGAGGCCCCTGCAGCCCCGCCTCCGCCCCGAAGGCTCAGCGTCCGCCGAGACCCCAGCGCTTCTGTCCTTTCAGACGCCCGAGCCCAGCAGCGGCTCTCCGGGGGGGCGTCCCGGGAGGACGCGGGGAGCGGAGGGGGGGCGGGCGTTCCCCGGAGAAAAGGCGGCCCTGTGACCGAAGTCTCGCCGCCGGTGGGGCTCCGTGCTCAGGGAGTCCTCCCCGCGGGTTCCCGAGTTCCCGGCTCGTCTCCCCGAGGGGGAGGCAGAGTCCCGGGTCCGGCTGTCTCTCCCTGCGGGGCGGGGCGGGGCGGGGTGCCCTGGCACAGGCTGCCTAACCCCCGCCCCGCTGACGGGGCCCGAGGGATGCCTGGGGCCTGCCCCCACCTGCTTGTCACTCCACTCCGGCCGCCAGGAAAGCTGCTACCAGGGACCGACCGCAGTCACAGGCCCCTCCGTGGCCTCCCCACTGCCCAGTGCTCATCCCTGGGCCCCAGAGCCTGGTCCAGGAGTGTCGTCATGGCTACGGGCTACTCAGTTTGCTGGCTCCCCCCCTCCCCCATAATCACAACCTTGAAAAAGAGTTATTTTTATTTATTTTTCAAAAATATATTTTATTGATTTTGTACAGAGAGGAAGGGAGAGAGATACAGAGTTAGAAACATCGATGAGAGAGAGTCATCGATCAGCTGCCTCTTGCACACCCCCTACTGGGGATATGCCCGCAACCAAGGTACATGCCCTTGACCGGAATCGAACCCGGGACCCTTCAGTCCCCAAGCTGACACTCTATCCATTGAGCCAAACCGGTCCCGGCGAAAAAGAGTTATTTTTAAACAATGTTTTTTATTGACTTCAGAGAGGAAGAGAGAGGGAGAGAGAGAAACATAAGTGAGGAGAGAGAATCACTGAGCGCTGCCTCCTGCACGCCCCCTGCTGGGGATGGAGCCCGCAGCCGGGAAAGGAGCCGTGACGTCCGGGTTCAGGGTCTGGCTCCATCCCGGCCCCGGAGCCTGCGGTGGCACCAGGGTGGAGCCTGGCCCGGGCGGGGTGGCTCCGCTGCCACGAGGCGCTGCCCTCCTGACCCGGCTCCCGCCTCCCGCCACAGCGAGTGCCAGCACCAGCTGCAGGCGGCGGCCGGCGAGGCGGAGGCCTGCCGGCGCTCCATCGTGCAGGAGGAGGAGCGCAACGAGGCGCTGGCCCGCGTGCTGCGCCGCGCGGAGGCCGAGGCGCGGCTGCTGCAGAAGCTCACCGCGCAGAGCCTGGTGCGGCAGGAGGCGCTGCAGGCCCAGTTCGGCTCCTACCAGCTGGTGCTGCAGGACACGGACGCCAAGCTGGCCAGGGCGCGCGAGGTGCCCGCCCGCCCCCACCCACCCGCAGCCTCTCCCCCCACCCACCCACCGCCCCTCCCACTCACAGCCCTCCCCCACCACACCCACCGCGGGGCGCCTCCTGGGGGGCCACACAGCGCGGGGCGCCTCCTGGGGGGCCATACACCCCGGGGCATCTCCTGGGGGGCCACACAGCGCAGGGCGCCTCCTGGGGGGCCACACAGCGCAGGGCGCCTCCTGGGGGGCCATACACCCCGGGGCACCTCCTGGGGGCCATACACCCCGGGGCGCCTCCTGGGGGGCCACACAGCGCAGGGCACCTCCTGGGGGGCCACACACCCCGGGGCGCCTCCTGGGGGGCCACACAGCGCAGAGCGCCTCCTGGGGGGCCATACACCCCGGGGCGCCTCCTGGGGGCCATACACCCCGGGGCGCCTCCTGGGGGGCCACACAGCGCAGGGCACCTCCTGGGGGGCCACACACCCCGGGCGCCTCCACGGCCCTCACTGCCCCTCCCAGGAGCACAAGGAGATCCGGGCCAAGCTGCTGGCCGTGCACCAGGCCATCCGGGAGGAGCGGGAGCTGCGGCGGGAGCTGGACACGGCCATTGTGCGGAAGCTGCAGGAGCACATGACCTCCAACAAGATGACCAAGTACTTCCACCAGCTGCTGCTCAAGCTGCAGAAGGAGATGACCAACCTGGTGCGCGGCCACCAGGGGGCGCCCGGGCCCGTGGGGGGCGCCCACAGGCCGCAGAGCCGTGTGGGCAGGGGCCGGGCCTGTTCACGGCTCAGGTTCTCCGGCTGTAAAAGCCATGACCTGTGCCCTGGCAGTGTGGCTCAGTGGATAGAGCATCAGCCCGAGGACTGAAGGGTCCCGGGTCCGATGTGGGTCCAGGGCACGAAGCTCGGTGGCAGGCTGGGTGCCAGGCTTTGGTCACGGGGAGCCTGGACGCGCAGGGCAGTGAGCGGAGACCAGGCCACTGCCATCTGCCCCAGGACGAGCCTCCCAGGAGGCTGGCACAGTTCCTGCTGGAAACCTTTCTGAACACACAAGCTCATACATGTGCAACGAAGCAAACACAGGCACACACAGACATGGGAACACGCATGTCCACATCCCGGTGCACACGCCAGTGGACGCAGGCAAACGTGGATGCACCCAGGTACCCCATCTTAACCTAGGTCTCAGTGCGTGTCGGCTGTTCAGTCCATTCTGACCCATTTTCTCTTTGTTTTTTTAAATATACTCCACTGACCTTTCACAGAGAGGAAAGGAGAGGGGGAGAGAGAAACATCGATGAGAGAGAAACATCCATCAGCCGCCTCCTGCACACCTTCCACTGGGACTCTGCCTGCAACCAAGGCACATGCCCCTGACTGGAATCGAACCCGGGACCCTTCAGCCCGCAGGCCGACGCTCCACCCACTGAGCCACACGGGCCAGGGCTAACTCATTTTCTTAATACACCTTTCCTGTTCAGTAAGGTCACTCTTTATGTGCGGCCGGCGTGGCTCAGGGCTGAGCATCCACCTAGGAGCCGGGAGGTCACCGTTGGATTCCCGGTTGTGGGCTCCCTCCCCAGTATGAGGGGGGCAGGAGGCAGCGGGTCCATGATTCTCTCTCATCCTGATGCTTCTATTTCAGGCTGCAGGCCCGGGCTCTATCCGCTGGCCTCCGTCTGACTACTCATTAAATGTGGCAATGGCCAAGGAGGGCCAGAGGGGGCGCTGCTGTGGGGCGGGTGTGGTCCGGAGGCCCAGCCAGCTAACAGCTGAGAGCTAACAGCTGGGAGCCAGCCGGCGGCTCACCTGTCCTCGGGGGCGGGGCTGGGAGGAGGCGGCTGTCCCAAGGAAGTGGGGTGCGGGGCCGGGAACCCTGGGTCTCCTTGGGACATCCTGGCTGACATCCGGGAAGTCCCCCCAGTCCATTTTCTGGAAATTGGGAGCAAGCCCAGCAGCTGGGAGCAAAGTGGGTGCCTGGAGAAGCTAAGGAGTGGGGTGGGTGTGACCTCCAAGGCCAGGGCCCAGGCCCCCGGCCCCCGGGCCCCCAAACCTTCCCTGTCCCCTGCTGCCCAGGAAACTCGTGCATTAGTACCGCCCATGTCCAGGAGAGGGCAGTAAAGAGTCCTCACCCGGCCCGTGGGGCCTGTCTGGGATGGGCACCCGGACTGTGAATGGGCAGCACTCACGGTGGGTGGCGTCCAGACAGGTCGCCCAGGAGCCGTACTGACCTCCCAGGAGGCCAGGGCGTCGGGGTGGGGGCTGAGTGCCTGCACAGAGGAAGGCAGGGCCCTGGGGACCCGGGGCGCCTGGCGATCTCAGAGGTCTGGCAAAGAAAGGGGCGCTCAGAGGCGAGAGTCAGCGCAGGGGCAGGCGAGGCGAGGTGAGATGCTGGGCAGGGACCGCTTTAAGACCTAGAAATGGGGGCGGCCGGCCAGCGGGTGCATGTAGGACAGCCAGCTGGGGTCCCGGGAGGAGCCCAGGGGAGTGGGGGGTGGGGGGGACTAGGGGTGGGCAGGAGCGGAGAAGGTGAGAGGGCCGGGCTTTGTGGGGGCAGCGAGGCCTGGGCTGGCCGGTGGGCTCGGGGCACAGCTTTGTTCGGGGGAGGGATTATGGGGAAAGACTGGGGAAGGGGCAGGTTCCTGGTGGTGACGGGGCCTGCCTGAGCGGGAAAATGGGCCATTTCCTCATCTGTGGTCACACGTTCCTGCCCAATGTGGCCACTGTCTGTTTAAGGAGAAACAAAGTCTATATATAAACACACACACACACACACACACACATATATATATATATATATATAGAGAGAGAGAGAGAGAGAGAGGGATATCATTGATTTTTTTACAGAGAGGAAGGGAGAGGGGGAGAGAGAAACATCGATCAGCTGCCTGCTGCACACCCCCCACTGGGGATGTGCCTGCAACCAAGGTTCATGCCCTTGACCGGAATCGAACCCAGGACTCTTCAGTCCGCAGGCCGACGCTCTATCCACTGGGCCACACGGATCAGGGCCATTGTTACGTTTCCTGGCAGTGAGAGGCCCTGAGGGTCGGGGAGCAGGCCCGGGAGGTGGGGAACCGGAGCCCCCGGGGAAGCGAAGGTTCGGACGCGTCCGCTGCCGGTCGCAGGTGACGCACCACTCCAAGATCGACGGCGACATCGCCCAGGCCACGCTGGACATCACCCGCACCAACTGCCGGCTGGAGGGGCACCGGGAGGCGCTGGCCGAGCTGGACAAGGAGGTGCAGAAGGTCAACGAGCTCATCAGCAACAGCGAGAGCGAGATCGCGCGGCGCACCATCCTCATCGAGCGCAAGCAGGGCCTCATCAACACCCTCAACAAGGAGCTGGAGCAGATGGTCTCCGAGATCGGGGTAGGCGGCCACGGAGACCCGGGCCCCGAGGCCGGCCGGCCCCGAGGAGCCCCCAGCCTTCGGCTCCCTCCCCGAGTGCAGGCCGCTCACCGGAGGCCCGGCCGCGGCTCTCGCAGGGGGAAGAGATGGGGCCGCTGGAGCTGGAGATCAAGAGGCTGAGCAAGCTGCTGGACGAGGTGGGCGCCAAGGTGACGCAGGCGCAGGTGGGCTGGCTGCGCCTCCAGCAGGACATGGTGCGGGCGGCGCAGGAGCGCGAGGAGCAGCTGGCCGCCCTGAGCCTCTTCCGCAAGGAGGTGCGCATCCTGGAGCAGAAGAAGCTGAGGACCGAGAGTGAGTGCGCCAGCCCGGCCGCGCCGGACAGGGCCGCGGGGGCCCGGAGGGCCTCCCTGCGCTCCCGCCAGCCTGCAGGCCCCCCTCCGCAGCCCAGGGTGTGGCTCCGAGCCGTGGCCCTGGCCGGCGGGGGGCCGCAGTCACGGGCCGGGCGAGGCGCGAAAGTGGGCTGCTGAGCTTGTTCAGTTTGCGATCCAGTGCCCTCCGCCCGCGGCTCCCGGGATCACAGGACGCTGGGCCCCGGGGCTGGAGCCCCGCCCGGAGGCTGCCCCCCCTGCCCCCCACAGCCCCAGCTCACCCCGCTGTGGCTACATTTCAGGGTCTCTGCGTGCCAGGGTGCCCAGAGGGGCAGGGGGCGCCCTTCCCGGCACCTTCTACCCCACAGCCACCTGCTGAGGCACCTGCCCCTTTGGGTCCCACCTGGTCCCTGGCCCAGGGTCATCGCAGGTCAGCCGGGCCCTGCAGCCCTTTGGGGTGCCACCCAGAGCTCGGGGCTCCCGCCACCTGGCACATGACGCCCCGCTTCCTCCCAGGTCCTGCGCTGCCCCGCCCCGCCCTCCGGAGTCTGCCTGCCCTCCCCAGTACCCCCATTTGCTGGTCGCCCACCCCGTCCTTCCAGGTCCCCGAGGGGCCGGGCTTCCCTGTCCCCGGCCCCGGAGGGCTGTGATGGGGGCGCCAGGGGGACCCCTCCCTGTCCCCGGCCCGGAGGGCTGTGATGGGGCCCGGAGGGCTGTGATGGGGCCCGGAGGGCTGTGACGGGGCCGGAGGGCTGTGATGGGGCCCGGAGGGCTGTGACGGGGCCGGAGGGCTGTGATGGGGCCCGGGGGACAGTGGCCTCAGGGCCCGCGTCCCTCCCCGCAGAGAAGATCGAGCAGGAGAAGCAGGAGCAGAAGGACATCGAGCGGCACATGAAGGACCTGGACAACGACCTGCGGAAGCTCAACGTGCTCCTGAGCCGCAACCGCAGCAGCTCCGAGGGCCTGCAGCAGGCCAACCTGCTCACCGAGAGCCAGTTCCTGCAGGCGCTCAAGGTGCGCCGGCCCGGGCGGCGGCGGTGGCGGCGGGCACACCAGGCACAGGCAGGGCGGCCCCGGGCCCGGGAAGGCTGCAGGGCGGCAGGGCCGCGGGCCCCGGTCCACCAGCACCGCTGCCCCCCGCAGGCCGCAGAGAGGGAGACCATCGAGATGCAGGACAGGCTGGAGCAGCTGAACCAGGAGAAGGTGTCGCTCCTCAACCTGCTGGTGGAGGCCGAGTGAGTCTGCTGGGGGCGTCCTGGGTTGGCGGCCGGTGTGGCTCAGACACTGAGCGCGGACCGATGAACCGAGAGGTGCCCGGTTCGATTCCCCATCAGGGCACAGGCCCGGGTTACGGGCTCAATCGCCAGTAGGGGGCGTGCAGGAGGCGGCGGGTCCATGATTCTCTCCCATCACTGGCGTTTCTCAGCCCCTCTCCCTTCCTCTCGCTAAAGTCGATAAAAATGTGTTTTCAATAAAGAATCCCTCCCGAGCCGAAACCGGTGTGGCTCAGTGGATAGAGCGTCAGCCTGCGGACTGAAAGGCCCCAGGTTTGATTCCGGTCAAGGGCATGTGCCTTGGTTGCAGGCACATTCCTGGTAGGAGGTGTGCAGGAGGCAGCTGGTCGATGTTTCTCTCTCATCGATATTTCCAGCTTTCTGCCCCTCTCCCTTCCTCTATAAAAAAATCTATAAAATATATATATTTTAAAAATCAATCAAATATATTAAAGAAAGAAAAGGAAAAAAAAGGAAGAATCCCTCCAGCTGGGTGATTCCAGAGGCAGCTGGCCGGCATGCGGGCTGCAGGTCCCAGAATTGGGGGGGGTGTTTCTTATGTAACAGCCACGCCCCTCGCCCAGGCCTGGGCATCAGCACGTGCCGCCTGCCCCTTGAGGGCCTCCCTAGGAGAGCAGGCAGAGCGTCTCCCATAGCAACTGCGCGCCGTCGCCCCGCCCCCCACCTCCACAGGACCCTGTGCCCATCTCTGCCCGACCTGACCTCCCCGCCCCACCGCGGCTGCTCCCTTGGGGGGCGGGGTCCTTAGGCGGGAGCTCAGGGCGCCTGGGAAGGAGGCCCCGAGCCCTCCAGCCCCCACGCGGCCTCCTGTCCGTTTAAGGCACCAGATCCTGCTTTGGGAGAAGAAGATCCAGCTGGCGAAGGAGATGCGGGCCTCGGTGGACTCGGAGACGGGCCAGAAGGAGATCCGGGCCATGAAGGCGGAGATCCACCGGATGCAGGTGGTCCTGGGGTGCAGGAGGTGGGGTGCAGAAGGTCCTGGGGTGCAGGAGGTCCTGGGGTGCAGGAGGTCCTGGATGCAGGAGGTGGGGTGCAGGAGGTCCTGGGGTGCAGGAGGTCCTGGGTGCAGGAGGTGGGGGTGCAGGAGGTCCTGGGGTACAGGAGGTCCTGGGTGCAGGAGGTGGGGGTGCAGGAGGTCCTGGGGCACAGGAGGTCCTGGGTGCAGGAGGTGGGGGTGCAGGAGATCCTGGGCCCGGGAGGGAACTGAGCAGGCGCCCTGCACTCCAAGCTCCGGTGGAACGTGCTGCCCCCAGGCTGCCCTATGTCGGTCCGCCCTCCCCGCACTCCCTGCGGAGCAGCACAGATACACGGCTGCACGCACGGCTTCTCCTCGCCGCTGCCTGTCCTTCCGCGGTGCAGCCCCGCATTCTGCACTCCGGTATTTATTTATTTTTAAAAATATATATTTTATTGACTTTTTACAGAGAGAAAGGGAGAGGGAGAGTCAGGAACGCCGATCAGCTGCCTTCTGCACATCTCCTACTGGGGATGTGCTCGCAACCAAGGTGCATGCCGTTGACCGGAATCGAACCTGGGACCTTTCAGTCCACAGGCCGACGCTCTATCCACTGTGCCACACCGGCCAGGGCTGCGCTCGATGTTTTTAAACGCCGCGTGTTTGCTGGCCGGTGTGGCCCAGTGTTGAGCATCGACCTGGGAACCAGGAGGTCGAGGTTGGATTCCCGGTGAGGGCATGTGCCCGGCAGCGGCTCCATCACGGGGGTGGGTCGCAGGAGGCGGCCGGTCCACGGTCTCTCTCTGCCCCGGCTCCAGGTCCGGCACAAGCAGCTGCTGAAGCAGCAGGAGCGGATGATCCGGGACATGGAGCACGCGGTCGCCCGCAGGGAGACCATCTCCACCCAGGCCGAGGGCCAGAGCAAGATGGACAGGAAGATGCTCACCCGGTCGGACTTCCACCACAAGCAGCTGGAGCTGCAGCGGAAGATCAGGGACCTCCACAAGGTAGGGAGCCTGCTGGGGCGGCCTGTCCACGGCCGGGGTGCCCCCCACCCCCCAGCCCCTGGGGGTGGCCAGCATGGCAGTGGCATTGGCCAGGGGAGTGGCAGGGTCCCCTAGGCCCGTGGGCTCAGGGTCCCAGGTGATCCGCGGGTCCCGTGGGCCCGCGGTCTGCAAACTGCGGCTCGCGAGCCACCTGCGGCTCTTTGGCCCCTTGAGTGTGGCTCTTCCACAAAATGCCACGGCCTGGGCGAGTCTACTCTGAAGAAGTGGCGTTAGGAGAAGTCTAAGCTTAAAAAACATGGCTCTCCAAAGGAATGTCAAGGGCTGTCCTGTTGGTATTTGGCTCTGCGGACTCATGAGTTTGCCGACCACTGCTAGGCCACCGAGGAGACGAGCAACAACATCCTGCAGCTGGAAGAGAGCCAGAAGGCCACGAGGGACTCCCTGCACGAGAAGCAGGCGCAGCTGTCCGCCCTGCAGGCCCAGGCCGAGGAGCTGGAGGCCAGCCTGGAGCAGCTCGTGGACCGCAAGCGCCAGGTAGGCAGGCCCCAGGGCCCCGGCCCCCAGCTCCGTGGGAACTGCGGCCGGGGGCCTGCCCTGCAGCAGCAGCCCACGCGGCTGCGGGCACGGCCTCCTCCCACCAAGGGCATCATCCCTCCGTGATCCAGGCCCGGCCCCGGGAGCCAGGGCTGCCGGTGGCGCAGAAAGACCATCGCCTGCCCTCCCCGAGGTTCCGGGTCTGCGGGCGGGAGGACAATGGGGAGTCCGAGAGAGCACCGGCGTGTTAGCTGGTGACCGTGCCCTGGAGAGAAACAAGCTGGGGGGCGGGGGGCATCGCACCGTTAGGCCGGGCTCAGAGAAATGACAGCCGAGCCGGGCTTAGAGGAGACGGGAGGGTGCCGCCCCCGGCAGAGGGCTCAGGGGTAGAGCTGAGCTCCGGAAGGCCCCAAAGCCCCAGAGCTGCAGGCCGGCCTGCCATGGGGGGGGGGGGGGGTGGGGTGGGGGGGAGGCCCCCTCAGGGAGCAGGATCGAGGCTGATGTCGGAGGGTTTGGTGTGGCTGGGGTGGCCAGGGACTCTGCGGTTGAGTGAGTAACAGAAGGTGACGGGTGGACACGGGAGGCCCGTGTGAGGCCATCGCAGTACATAAGGAGGACGGTAACAGGCGGACAGGGCCATTGCCCGCCGTGGGGCTAGAGGGCCGCCGTCGGGCCTGCAGAGAATTTCAGAGCCGTCCCCGCGGGGTTTCCTGCGAGGCTGGGTGGGCGTGAGCAGGAGAGAAAGGCCAGGCAGGGCTGGGGCCTGGCCAGCGGGGATGGGGAGATCACCCAGCGCCAGACCGGGCACCCCGCGGCCACCTGCCTCCGGGACGCTGCAGGAAGGCTCCGCCCAGCCTCCTCCCCTGGCCGCGGGGCTCGGGGCCCCCAGGCACCCCTCTCCTGCAAGGCCCCGTCCTCTGTCTTCCCCTGAGTCTGGGTTTGTGGAGGAGGCGGTGGGTGTCCCCCTTTAAATGGCACAGCCCGGCGCGCGCCTCTGCTCCGACCCCAGAACCTGTCGGAGCTGGTGACCCTGCAGACGCGCCTCAAGCACCTGCAGGCGGCGAAGGACGGCAGGTACGTGTTCCTGTTCCGCACCAAGGAGGCACAGCTGGAGGAGCGCCGGCGCCTGGACCACCGGCTGGCCACCATCGGCGCCATCCTGGACCACGTGCAGGACGAGCACCCCCAGTTCCAGGAGGCGCTGCTCACGCTCAGACAGACCGTCGCCAGCCAGCTGGACGCCCCCTCGCCCTTCTAGCTCGCGCCCGGCCCGCGCCCCCCAGGCCAGCCGGGAAGAGACCGGACGCCGGGTGTTTCCGGGACCCACGAAGCCACGCCCACCCTCAGGGAACCACCAGGCCGGCTGGGGACACCGAGTCACCTCCCGGCCTCCCCGGCTCAGGTCATCCGTTGGCCGGGGCGCGCCCGGGAAGGCGGAGCCTGTTCCCCGGATGGACGGTGACTGCTCCCTGAGCAAAACCTGGGCTCGTGGAGGCTCCGTGTCTGCACCTGCACTCACACCACCTCCTCGTGGGCAGCTTCTCCTCCCCCGCTCCCTCCCCGCCCCGGTTAAATCCAGATTCTCAACCCGGGGGGGAGAGCGTGCAGGGGGGTGACCCCCACCGGCGGCTTACAGAGGGCTGACCGCTGACATAAGACCCCGGCCCAGTGGTCCCGCCTCCACGGCCACCGGTCACCAGAGCGTCCTCCCCCGCACCCTGTCCCCCAGCACCTGCTCGCGTGGCCTCTCTGCAGTGTAACGGGAAGGTTTCTACAAAGAATTTCACTTTCACAGGTTTCAACAGAAAAGTAAATATTTTTTTCTGAATATGGAGAAAGGCATATTTATTCTCACACATTTGAGAATCACAAAACCCATAAGGAATCGGGGCGCCACTGGCAGGCCCCCCCCCCCCTCCAGCGGTTTCTGGGCGAGCTCGCTGGGCAGGGCCAGCTGGCGCCGCTCTGAGCAGCTCGCTCCTCTGGACAGCAGCACCGTCCTGCGATGGAGCTGCTCACAGGAGCCACTTTCAGGGTCATGGCCATGGTTACGGGGAAGCTGCTGTAAACGTGGCTGCCCGCCGTTCCTGCGCGCTGCCAGTTGGGGGCGAACAGCTGTGCCCCTCTGCAGGCTCCAATGGCGCGGCCTGGCAAGCTCCCCGGAAGCCCGGCAGCCGCAGGGGGTGCTCACGGGTCACCCGTCCCTGACCCCGCACCGGGGCGCCTCCGCCCGGGTCCTGGGGGAGGAGGAGGCCCAGAGCCTGCCCCGGCGCGGCTCGCCCCTCCACCAGGGGGCGCACGGGCACAGGAGCGCGCACTCACCCAGGGCGCCTGCGCCGCGGCCGTCACGTGACCGGCCCGCCCCCGCCGGCACCTGACCTCGGGGCGCAGCTGCGGGCAGGCGCGCGTGCGCGGGGGCGTGCGGGCCGGAGCTGAGCGCGCGTGCGCGGAGGTGAGCGGCGCCCTAGCGGGCCGGGGCCTCCCGGCGGCTCCCGCGGCCGTTCCGGCCGGAGGCTCGGCGGGTCGGGCCCTGCTGACGCCCGGAGGCGGGAGGGGTCGGTGGGTCGATTGACCGGCGGGTCGTCAGTGATTTCCCGTTGGAGACCTGGGCGCGCGGTGCCGGGTCCGGGCGCGGGGGCGGCAGCAACGTGGGGCCCGGAACGCGCGCCGCCTTCGTCCCGCAGGGCCCGGCGCAGGCCGCGCCGCCCTCCCCGGGGGCAGGGAACCGGCGCAGGCGGACCCCCTCCGGCGGCGGAGCTGGGCTCTGGCCGCCCCCGCCGGGGCCTCGGGCTGGGCCCGCGTCTGTGCAGCTGCTGCGCTTGGGGGCATTGCCCAGAGCTCCCACCGCGGACCGACCCTGAGCGCCGATGTCCCTCGTTTCTTTCTTTTTTTAAACATTTTTTATTGATTTCAGAGAGGAAGGGAGAGGGGGAGAGACAGAAACATCAATGATAAGAATCATGGATCGGCTGCCTCCTGCACGCCCCCCACTGGCGATGGAGCCTGCAACCCAGGCCTGTGCCCGGACCGGGGATGGAACCGTGTCAACACTCCGGCCAGGCCGAGTCCCCTCGGTTCTGAGTTTTCCTCATCAGGAAAGGGCCGTCAGGGGTCAGGTGCAGCCGGGACACTTTAACAAAATAAATGTTTCCCACTCCTAAGCCCTGGTATCTTGGGAGTAATGAGTGTATTTCAGGGGTCGGCAAACTGCGGCTCGCGAGCCGAGGTTTGCAGCTCCAAGTGACTAATGAGTTTGCAGGCCGCTGGGATGGGGGCTCAATCACAAGGAACAACAGCAGCCTGTAATTATGGGGATTGAGAGACTAGGTCAGAATTGAGAGCAATTTGCCGACCACTGGCGTATGTTACACGCTAATGAGATGATGGGTGGCTGGGAGCTGGTCCCCAGACTTTTACCCCTGACTTCTGGGAGTGAGAGGGATTTGTCACCGTGATCTACCCACGCGTGCCCACCTGGCGAGATCCTACCCTCCTCAGCGTCCGGCGAGCGTCCAGGCTGGTGACCACCCAGGCTGGTGACCACATTGTGATGCTGGGCGGGTGGCTGCGGGAGAGGGCGTGGACGCCCCGTGCCCCTGCCCCCTCCCACACCGCACCATGGCGGCTCCTAGTTGTATCCTTGATACATTAACGTAAAAGCATTCAAACCTGTAACGAATTTTTGTGAGCTTATTTGAGCCAAACTGTGGACAACTGGAGGGATTGGGCGTTTTCTCACCTTTTTATTGGCGAGTACCGAAATCCGTTGGTGATGGGCTAGGGAGGTGGGAGAAAGGAAGCAAAGGGGGTGGGATGGCCTCTGGGATTGGGTGGAAAGTAAACCGCTGGGCGCGGCAGGGAGGCGTTTATGGTCGTCTATCCTGCGTTTGGTTGAGCCCTGAGGGGTCCAGGAAAACAGGGGAGTTACAAGCTACCCCGACATTTCAAGGGTGTGACGCTAACAGACAGTAGGCTCAGTGAAGGTGAAGGCTGACCTTGTCAGTGAAGATGCCGGCCTGGGACGGAACTGCCCACCACCGCTGCCTTCCGTTCAGTTTAATTGCAGACCCTCCCTCCCCGTGGGACTTCAGGTCCCATCCTTGTGGGAGTTTGTAAGACCGCCATGCAGGCCTCCCTGAGCTTGTCAGCAGGAGGGGACAGAGGGCAGGGGTACCCCCTGCGGGCACCCCACTCTGGCCCGCTGGTCACACGTAATGGCCCTGGTGTTTGTGCCGGAACAGGCCAGTCTGCTGTTGGGACTTGGCCCTCTAGCAGGTGGGTCTGTTGTGTCATTAAATCCTTCCTGCAGACCTACAGGCGGCTCCTGGGTAACATTCCACGGTATTCGGCCTCCTCCCCCATCCTCACCTGCCCCCTCCGCAGCTGACCTCACCCCGCCCCGCACGGCACAAGTTCACGCCGTCAGGAAGCTGCTAGGGCGTCCGAGGCCCCGCGGCTCACTCCCCTGCTGAGCCCGGCTCCTCTCTCCGCAGGCCTCCAGGACCATCCCCACGGGCACAGGCCATGGGCGCTCGGGGGCCGCCCCGCGCCCGCCCCTGGCTGGGCGTCTGCGCCCTCCTCTCCCTGGCCGCCACCGTCCTCCTGGGGCACGTCCTGCTCCACCAGTTGGCAGTGGCTCCCCGGGAGCTGTGTGGGGCTCCCGAGGAGCCGCCCCGAGCCTGCCAGCAGGGAGCCCACAGCCCGGGGGCTCAGTCCCGCCCTGGAGCGGCGCCCACACAGTGTGACGTGCCCCCCAACAGCCGCTTCGACTGCGCCCCGGACAAGGCCGTCAGCCAGGGGCAGTGCGAGGCCCGGGGCTGCTGCTACGCGCCCGTGGGGCGGCCCCGGGGCTCCCGCATGGGGCCGCCCTGGTGCTTCTTCCCGCCCGGCTACCCCAGCTACCGGCTGGGCAACCTGACCGCCACGGACACCGGCTACACGGCCAGCCTGACCCGCGCCGCCCCGACCTTCTTCCCCAGGGACGTGCTCGCCCTGCGGCTGGACGTGCGGCTGGAGACGGAGAGCCGGCTGCGCGTCACGGTGGGCGGGCGCGGGGGGCGCGGGGGCGGGCCGGGCGGCGCGCGCTCCGTGGGTCTGCTCTCTGCACAAACGTGGACGGCGCCCGGAGTCCTGGCGTGAGCACCGTGCCACCGCAGGGAGCAGGGCCGCTAAGACGACGGCTGGAAGGTTCTAGACTTGGTGGAGGGCGCGGCTGGGGAGGTTAGGCCCCCGAAAGTGAGTCTCATAGCAGGCAGCAGGCAGCAGGCAGGACGGTGAGGGGGAAGGAGGGGCCATCACAGGCAGTGGGTGGGGGACCCCAGCCCCCCATCCATCCCGGAGGCAGGGCCTCTGCGGTTTCCGAGGGGCTGGGCACCGAGCCGCTGGGCACCGAGCGGGTGCCTGTGAGCCCTGGTGGACGGACTGCCATGCCGAGAGCCACCACCGTGCCACTGGGCCGCCGCCGAGAGGGCACTGCTTTCCTCATCCACCCTGAGCCCGCGGTGCCCGGTGGGACAGTGCTGCCAGGGTCAGCAAGCAAAGCAGAGGCCGCCCCGTGAGCCTGAGCCGAGCATCGAGGCGCCTGCGCTGAGGCAGGCTCACAGTGGGAGGCGCCCCACCCGCCAGGCGCTGCCGTCCCGGGACCCCCCCGGACCCCGCGCCCCCGGGGGGTGCAGGGGGAGCGGGCGGTGTGGGAACGCCTGTGGCCCAGCGCCCGCCTCATGACGCCCGCCCCTGCCCGCCCCGTCCAGATCAGAGACCCCGCCAGCAGGCGCTACGAGGTGCCCGTGCAGACCCCGCGCGCCGCTGCCCGGGCGCCATCCCCGCTCTACAGCGTGCAGTTCTCCGAGGAGCCCTTCGGGCTGCTGGTGCGGCGGCAGCCAGACGGCCGGGTGCTGTGAGTGCCGGCCCGGCCGCCGCGGGCTCCCGGGTCAGGGAGGGTTCGGGCGGCCCCTCCCAGCGCCTGCCTGCGCCCGGCTCCTGGGCAGCCTGCTTCTGAGCGGCCCGGGCAGCCTCCCTTCCGCACATGCTCCGGGCACCACGCTGTGGGGACCCCGGGGCCTGGGCGTCGGGGGGGCCGTGGCGGGGAGCCTGGCCCCGAGGTTGCCAGGCCGGTGTCTCCGCAGGCTGGACACGGCCGTGGCGCCCCTGTTCTTCGCTGACCAGTTCCTGCAGCTGTCCACCGCGCTGCCGACCCGGCATCTCACCGGCCTCGCCGAGCACATGGGGCCCCTCCTGCTCGACACCAACTGGACCAAGGTCACCCTCTGGAACCGGGACATGGCGCCCACGGTAAGGGGGCCGGGCGGGCCGGGCGGGGGAGCCTCCGGGGTGGGGGGAGCCTCGGGGCCGAGCGCCGTGTCCTCTGTCCCAGCCCGACGCGAACCTGTACGGGTCCCACCCTTTCTACCTGGCGCTGGAGGACGGCGGGCTGGCCCACGGGGTCTTCCTGCTGAACAGCAATGCCATGGGTGAGCGACGCCTGCCCGCCTGCCCGCCCGCCGGGTGTGGTGCCAGGCCCGGCCTGCCCCGCGCAGTGCCCCACGGGCTGGGGGTGGGGGGCAGTGGACGGGGCCAGGCCGCCTTTGCTCTAAGAAATGAGTCCAGTGTGTGGTCCTCCGGGGGAGCAGAGGCCGGAAACGGAGTCCCGGGTCCCCCTCAGCATCGCCTGTCCTCTGAGTCCTGTCCCCTAAGCGGTGCTCCCTGGCTCCTGGGAGGACCCTTCCTCCAGAAGTAGCTGGTCTGTCCCCCGTGAGGGGCGTGGGGCCGGGGCAGGTGGCGCGTGTCCCTGAGCCCGGGCTGCCCCCCAGACGTGGTCCTGCAGCCCAGCCCCGCCCTCAGCTGGAGGACGACAGGCGGGATCCTGGACATGTACGTCTTCCTGGGCCCGGAGCCGAAGAGTGTGGTGCAGCAGTACCTGGAGGTCGTAGGTGGGCCTGCCCCCCGGTCTGCGCCCGCTCCCCCCAGCTTCCCCGCCCCCCACCCCGCTTTCTCCCCCGCTCTCCCCCCCCTCTCCCCCCGCCCCCTTCCACTCTCCCCCCACTCTCCCCCCGCCCCCCCTCTCCCCCCGCCCCCTCCCACTCTCCCCCCGCCCCCTCCCACTCTCCCCCTGCTCTCCCCCCGCCCCCCCACTCTCTCCCCGCCCCCTCCCACTCTCCCCCCGCTCTCCCCCCGTCCCCCTGCTCTCCCCCCGCCCCTCCTCTCCCCCCACCCCCCCACACTCCTCCCGCCCCCCCACTCTCCCCCCCCTGCTCTTCTCCCCCCGCTCTCCTCCCGTTCTCCCCCCCCCGCACCCCCTGCCCGCTCTCAGGCCCCCGGCGCTCACAGCCCGTCTGGCACAGGCCGCCCCTTCATGCCGCCATACTGGGCCCTCGGCTTCCACCTCTGCCGCTGGGGCTACCCGTCCACCGCCGTCACCCGCCAGGTGGTGGAGAACATGACCCGGGCCCACTTCCCCCTGGTGAGCACCGGGGGGCCTGGGGCGGGGGGGCGGGGCGGGCCCTGGAGGCCCAGTGGGGCGGGAGGGTCCTGGGGGCCCAGTGGGGAGGGGAGGGCCCCGGGGGGGCGGGGAGGGCCCTGGAGCCCAGTGGGGCGGGAGGCGCTGGCCAGGGCAGTGCCCGGCTCCCAGCGCCCCGCCCGGCTGCAGGACGTGCAGTGGAACGATCTGGACTACATGGACGCCCGGAGGGACTTCACGTTCAACAAGGACGGCTTCGGGGACTTCCCGGCCATGGTGCGCGAGCTGCACCAGGGCGGCCGGCGCTACGTGATGATCGTGGTGAGCCTTTGGGGGAAGCGCGCCTGGGGGAGGGGAGGGCAGCGGAGACCAAAGGCCCCACTGCGGACTCGGGCACGGACACAGCACGGACACGGACCCGGGCACGGACATGGGCATGGCATGGACACGGACATGGCACAGACACGGCACGGACACAGACATGGCACGGGCACGGCACGGACACGGACATGGCACGGACACGGACATGGCATGGACACGGCACAGACACGGACATGGCATGGACATGGGCACGGACACGGGCATGGGGCACGGACATGGACATGGACACCGGCACGGGCACGGACATGGGCACAGACACGGGCATGGGGCACGGACATGGACATGGACACCGGCACGGACACGGACACGGGCACCGGCACAGGCACGGACACGGACACAGACACCGGCACGGACAGGAGGCCGTAGGCAGGAGGCTCCAGTGCAGCGTCAGGGAGGTGGAAGCCTGTGTCTGTTTCCCGTCGCCTGCTGGGCCCGGGCTCCCCTCAGTGACCCGTGTGTCCCCGCGTGCTCGGGCGTGAGCACCACGACGGCTTCGCCCAGCGACGGGGCTCCTGCCCCGCCTCCGGTGCCAAGACTCGCCTCCCCCTCCCGCCCCAGGACCCCGCCATCAGCAGCGCGGGCCCCGTGGGGAGCTACCGGCCTTACGACGAGGGGCTGCGCAGGGGCGTCTTCATCACCAACGAGACCGGGCAGCCCCTCATCGGGCAGGTAGGGGGCCGGGCGAGGTGGGGAAGGGGTCCCGGCGGGGCAGGAGGGCGTGGGGGAGAGGACGCTGCCCAGGAAACGGAGCGGTGGGCGGGCCCCTGACCGGCCACCTCCAGGCCTTGCCTCGGGGCCCTGGCTGCCCCGCGGCCTCCCTTCCAGGTGTGGCCAGGGCCCTGCGCCTTCCCTGACTTCACCAACCCCGAGGCCCTGGACTGGTGGCAGGACATGGTGGCCGAGTTCCACGCCCAGGTGCCCTTCGACGGCATGTGGATCGTGAGTGCCCCCCTCCTTCCCCCCCGCCCCTGAGCCTTGGGGAGGGCCCCCCCCCCCGCTCCTGAGCCTTGGGGAGGGCCCCCCCCCACCCCTGAGCCTTGGGGAGGGCCCCCCCCGCCCCTGAGCCTTGGGGAGGGCCCCCCCGCCCCTGAGCCTTGGGGAGGGCCCCCCGCCCCTGAGCCTTGGGGAGGGCCCCCCGCCCCTGAGCCTTGGGGAGGGCCCCCCCACCCCTGAGCCTTGGGGAGGGCCCCCCCGCCCCGGAGCCTTGGGGAGGGCCCCCCCCCGAGCCTTGGGGAGGGCCTCCCCACCCCTGAGCCTTGGGGAGGGCCCCCCCGCCCCTGAGCCTTGGGGAGGGCCTCCCCACCCCTGAGCCTTGGGGAGGGCCCCCCCACCCCTGAGCCTTGGGGAGGGCCCCCCCGCCCCGGAGACGCCCACCCCGGCCTCTTGCAGGACATGAACGAGCCGTCCAACTTCGTGAGGGGCTCCGTGGACGGCTGCCCCGAGAACGAGCTGGAGAGCCCGCCCTACGTGCCCGGTGAGCTCCCGCCCGGCCTGCCCCGGCGGGCACACACGACTCAGGTCAGGCTCGGGCTTGGGAGGCTCGAAGCCGTGATTTCTGAGGAGTCGGTGGGTGCGGCCAGCCGGGAAAGGGGGGCCCAGGAGTGAGGTTCAGCTGTGGAGACCCCATCCCTGCAGCGGAGGCAGGACCCGGGAGGGTGGGCATCCTGGGCTCAGAAGACGGCAGAGGCAGCCTGGAAATGGTGCCTCAGGTCTGCCAAGGGCAGCCTGTGGCGTGCCCCAGTTCCCAGTGTGCTCCAGGACGGTGCTCCCAGGACAGGGTGCTCCCGGACGGTGCTTCCAGGACAGGGTGCTCTCAGGACGGTGCTCCCAGGACGGGGTGCGCTAGTCCGCCAGGCAGAGCCCTCTGAGAAGTGCCCTCTCCCCCAGGGGTGGTGGGCGGGTCCCTCCGGGCAGCCACCATCTGTGCCTCCAGCCGCCAGTTCCTCTCCACGCACTACAACCTGCACAACCTGTACGGCCTGACCGAGGCCTGGGCCTCCCACAGGTGAGGCCTGAGGGGGCCGGGGGAGGGGGGGAGTCCAGGCCACCCCGGGGCCAAGCCCGCCCCAGGTCCTGCCCAGTGCTTCGGGGCCATGTGGGCCGGCCAGGCCCGGCTCCGGTGGGCCGGGCGGGACGCGGTCCCTCCGGTGCCACGGGCATCTGCCAGGAAGGCAGGTGGCTCCGCAGAGCTGACTGCCCAGCACATGCTGGTGGGGCTCCCCCTCCTGCCTCCCCGCTGTGCCCGCCGCCTGGCCGGCACCGGGGGGCCTGACTGCTCCGCACGGCTGTGCCTGCTCCGCCCGGCTCTGTGCCCGCCGCCTGGCCGGCACTGGGGGGCCTGACCGCTCCGCACGGCTGTGCCCGCTCCGCCCGGCTCTGTGCCCGCCGCCTGGCCGGCACTGGGGGGCCTGACCGCTCCGCACGGCTGTGCCTGCTCCGCCCGGCTCTGTGCCCGCCGCCTGGCCGGCACTGGGGGGCCTGACCGCTCCGCCCGGCTGTGCCCGCTCCGCCCAGGGCCCTGGTGAAGGTCCGGGGCACGCGCCCCTTCGTCATCTCCCGCTCCACCTTCGCCGGCCATGGCCAGTACGCCGGCCACTGGACAGGGGACGTGTGGAGCAGCTGGGAGCATCTGTCCTCCTCGGTGCCGGGTGAGAGCCCATGGGGGTGCACCTCTCGGGGGAGCAGCCAGAGCTGGGAGCTGGGCCAGCACAGTCAGGGATGCCTGCCGCAATGGCGGGGCCCAGTGAGTACCTGTGCAGGTCCCTCACCTGGGTGCATCCCCTCACCGGTGGGTCCCTCACCCGTGGGCATCCCCTCACCTGTGGGTCCCCTCACCCCCTGAGTCAGCTCCCCTGCGGCCCTCCTCTTCCCGGGGTCCCCACCCCCACTTCACTCCGTCCCAGAGCTGGTGGCCTGCGTCACTGACCCGTCAGCTCCTGGCTTTCCCCCGTGTCTGTCTGCGAGGGTCACCAGCCATGTGGGTGAGGGCCTCGTGCCTCATCTTAACTTGCCCGCATCTGCCCAGACCCTATTTCCAATAAGGCCCCATTCACAGGACTGGGGGTTTGGACTGGAATGTTCTCTTTTGGGGGGACACCATTCAACCCCGACGGGCTAGCTTGCTGTGCCAGCCGCCGCCCAGGTGTGCGGGCGCCGCTCAGGCCGGTAGACTGACCTGCTGACCCTGCTGCGGCGGACAGACCCGGGGTGCGGGGGGCTGGCTGAGGCCCCTGTCTGCCCGGCAGAGACCCTGCTCTTCGGCCTGCTGGGGGTGCCGCTGGTGGGCGCGGACGTGTGCGGCTTCCAGGGCAACACGACGGAGGAGCTGTGCGTGCGCTGGACCCAGCTGGGCGCCTTCTACCCCTTCATGCGGAACCACAACGACCTGCACAGCCTGGTAGGCGCGGCTCCCGGGGCCCGGCCTGCCCGCCGGACGGCAGGCCCAGCGGTGACCGGCCCCGCCCCCGCCCTCGCCCGCAGCCCCAGGAGCCCTACCGCTTCAGCGAGCCGGCGCAGCAGGCCATGCGGAAGGCCCTGGGCCTGCGCTACGCGCTGCTGCCCCACCTCTACACGCTCTTCCACGGCGCCCACGCCCGCGGCGACACCGTGGCCCGGCCCCTCTTCCTGGAGTGAGTGCCCGGGGTGGGACCATGCCCCACCGTGCCCAGAGGGAGGGGCAGCCCGTCCTGCCACAGGGGAGTCCCCCGAACCCAGCCAGAGCAGGTCGGCAGCGGAGTGAGCCGAGGCCCTCCCTCCCGGGGTTCCCCCTGCACCCCAGTTCCCCCCTCAGACGCCAGCTCAGAGACAGCCGCGTGAAGGCCGAGCGGGGCCCAGGCCGCCGGCGGGAAGCGACTGTGGGACAGTCAGCGCCGCCGGCTGGGGACCCGGACGGCCGTGGTGGCGCGGGAGGGGCCGTGCTGGATGGTCCTCAAACCGCAGCCTGAGGGCCCTCGCGTGGCAAGGTGTTGGTTGGCGGTTGGGAAGCTCAGGTGCCCTTCCCCGCCCCACACGCACGGAGGTCCGGGCCACTAGTTAGTGGGGGAAAGGGACAGCAGACGGGGGTTTGATGCAGCGAGAGCCGCCTGGCGGGTCAGACCCACCGGGAACAGACAGGCAGTGGGCGGGCATCGTGCCCAGGCGGGAGGCCGGCCCCGCCTGCCTGTCCCTTGCCGACGGGGGAGGGTTGTCCTGCCCCGGAGTTGACCAGTGGGTCGGCGTCCAGGCTCCTGGCTCCCGCGCGCGGCTCCGGCTGCTCCCGAGCCTCCCGGTGCGGCTCGCGGCTGACCGGGCCCCGGCCTCTGCGCAGGTTCCCCGAGGACCCCCGCACCTGGCCGGTGGACCGCCAGCTCCTGTGGGGCCAGGCCTTGCTCATCACGCCGGTGCTCGAGGCCGGGCAGGTGGAAGTGACTGGCTACTTCCCCGCCGGCACGTGGTTCGACCTGCAGATGGTGAGTCCCGGGGCCCCGCCCCGGTGGCGGACCGGGAGAGGAGACGCCGGGTCTGCCCAGGTCCCTGGGCTTCGCCTGCGCACGCCCGGGCGGGCGGCATCCTGCGCATCCTTGCGGGGACCCACTTTCCAGATGTGCTGAGTCTGAGCTGAAACTTGCCCGGTGCTGTGGGCCTCCCTGCGGCAGGGGGAGCCAGGACCCCCTTCCTCTTTAAAAAAATATATTTATTGATTTTTCACGGAGAGGAAGGGAGAGAGATAGTTAGAAACATCGATCAGCTGCCTCCTGCACACCTCCTACTGGGTATATGCCCTTGACCGGCATCGAGGCCAGGACACTTCAGTCCACAGGCCAACGTTCTGTCCACGGAGCCAAACCGGTCAGGGCCAGGACCCCACTTCTTTTGCTCCCAACATCCTGCCCCTCCCGGTGCCCTCTGACCTGCCCCACCCAGGCCCGGGATTGGGGCCTCTCCTGCCCTGTTCCCACCAAGTGGCCGGGCCTCTGCCCTGAGGTCGCACCAGCCTATCTCTGCCAGGCCCCTAGGCCTCCCCGTGGAGTCCTCGGCTCCTGCCCGCAGCACGGGGCTTTGGCACTGCCCAGGACCCTTGGTGACATGCCGTCCCCATCCAGGTGCCGTTTGAGGCCCTTGGCAGCCTCCCACCTCCACCTCCGGCACCCCTCAAGCCTGCCATCCACAGCGAGGGCCAGTGGGTGACACTGCCGGCCCCCCTGGACACCATCAACGTCCACCTCCGGGCTGGACACATCGTCCCCCTGCAGGTACCTGGCCGGACACCGAGGCCCTTGTCCGGGCCGCACTGCTCTGAGCAGCTGGTCCAGGCCGGCCCGCAGCGGAGCTCCTGAGGGTGGAGGAGGAGGGGGTCCAGGTGGAGGCTCCCCATACAGCCCACTAGCTTGTGGCCCGGCCTGCGGAGGGGCGAGCCCGACCAGTCAGCCAGTCTGCAAACATCTGTGGGCTCCCCCGTCCTGGGGGTCTGCCGGGGACAGGCTGGTCTCATTGGGGCTGGGCCACTCCGGCAGACTGTCCTGCGGGCTGGTTCCCGGGCTGGGGCTGTCCCCGCGCCCTGTCCTTCCCTCCGGGGCGAAGCTCTGTCCGGTGTGCCACCCGGTCTGCAGGGCCCTGGCCTCACGACCACGGAGTCCCGCAAGCAGCCCATGGCGCTGGCCGTGGCCCTGACCCCGAGCGGGGAGGCCCGCGGGGATCTCTTCTGGGATGACGGGGAGAGCCTAGGGGTGCTGGAGCGCGGGGCCTACACACAGCTCGTCTTCCTGGCCGGGAACGTGAGTCCTGCCCCTGCCCAGCGGGGTGCAGCGTGGGGCCTGCCTGGGGTGAGGGAGCCGGGCCTGGGTCCCGGGAGGGCCACCTGTCCCCTGGAGGCCACCCTGAGAGCCCCCACACTGCCAGCCCGCCCAGGGCCCGTGCCACTGGGCCAGGCTGGGCCGAGTGCCCCCTGCCCTCCCGGGGCCGTGCAGAGGCCTGTCCTGGGGCTCCCGCTGCCGTCCGCTCACACCCGCCTGTCCTGCTGCCCAGAACTCCCTCGTGAACGACGTGGTGCACGTGAGCAGCGAGGGGGCCGCCCTGCAGCTGAGGAGGGTGACCGTCCTGGGAGTGGCCTCCACCCCCAGGCAGGTCCTTGCCAATGGGGTTCCCGTCTCCAACTTCACCTACAGCCCCGACACCCAGGCAAGAGCCCAAGACAGGCCAGAGGGCTGTCCCCCAGGACGGGTGCGGGTGGGGGTGCGGGTGGCTGGGCCCCTGAGGACACAGTGTCCTCCAAGCTGGCCTCAGGGACATGCTATTTAGATCCTGTGGACTCTTGGGCCTCACAAGGGGCTGGAGGAACTGGATCTTGGAGGGGCGGGATGGCCCCCGGAACCCTACCTTCTGCCTGTGTCTGTGTGGTGCGCCGTGTTCCAGAGCATGATGGAGGCGGCCAGAGCCGGGAGCACTGTCCCGTCACCTGGGTCAGCCGCCCATCCGCGTCCACGCCTGCCTGCTGGGCGCTGGGCTCCCTTCTGCTCCATGGTTTGGGGCCAGTGGTTCTTTCTTGTTCCAGACCCTGGACATCCCCGTCTCGCTGACGATGGGACAGCAGTTTCTCATCAGCTGGTCCTGACTGGGGCCAGGGGCGCGTCAGGCCTCAACTTCCCAGTTGCCCTCGTGTTCACCCCTGTGGCGTAGCACTGACCTCCCTCCAACACCCAGACCTGCTCACCTGTCTACCTCCTGTGCTGGACCCTGGCCAGTGGCACCTGCACCCCCGTTTCCTGGGCCAGCTCCCGCGCCTGCCGGCGTCCTGGCGTTGCCTGGGTTCGGAGCCTTTCTCTCCGCAACCCGTCACTGGGATGCGTGGAATGTCGGCCACCCCAGCTGCCTGCCCCGACGGCAGGGAAGGTGGCGTGTGGGGCCCCATGGCACCTGTGCCCCGAGTTACGCCCTGACGGGCCGGAGCTGGGGCCGCCTGCTGGGACCTCGGGGATTGACTGGGACAGCTTTCGTGTTAAGGGCAGTTATTGGTGATAAAGCGGCACCGGTCCAGCCTCCGGGCCCCCCTGGCCTCCAGGGCACGGAGACGCGGAACGATGCCTTTGAGGAGTGAAGCTTTTCATTGTGATGGGCACCGCTTCTGTTTCTACACCCTTTTAACGAAACCTTTGCCAAACCCCATGTCCCCGACTTTTCTGTCTCCTGGAGAAGTTTTGTGGTTTTAAGCCTGGCATTTCCAGCGAGGTTGGATGTGATGGAGTAAAGGCTGGTCCAGGTTTTCTGGTTTTCTGGTTTTCTTTCTTGTGTGACTCGCCTGTTGTCTGGCACTTGTTGAAAATAGTCCCCTTTCCCCTCAGTGCCTTTGTTGAAACCCACTCCCCATGAACCTGCAGTCTGTTTGTGTGTCTCAGGGACCTACAGGCCTGTCCACATCGTCTTTGGTAATATTTCCCCCAGGTGAGTCTTTATGCTGATTTCAGAGGGAGACGGAGATAGAAACATCAGTGATGTGAATCATTGATCGGCTGCCTCCTGCACACCCCATATTGGGCACGGAGCCCCTAACGGACATGTGCCTGGCCTGGGAATTGAACTGTGACCTCCTGGTTCATGGGTTGACGTTGGTGTCAGGCAGTGGGAGCCCTCCAGTGCACCCACTTCCCAGCTGTACCCCGCTAGGCTTTATTTCCAGAAGCAGTTCGGAAGCCACGTGTTTTCACCAGAATGGCGTTGCCTGCTGTTTGAGGCTGTGGAATGGTCAGTGGACGCCTCTGTTGGTCCTTTGGGGCAGCATCTCTCTTACTCGCATCTTTTGTTCCTCATGGCGACATTTTGTGGGCTCAATGCAGACCTGCAGGTTTTGTCACGTGCAGCCCCGATATTGTGAAGGGGGTTCTTTAAATTCCCCTTCCCATGCTCGTTGTTTGCAAACAGCACACACGACCTTGGAGGCTGACCTTGCAGAACTCACCTTTTCTGTTATTCCTTAGCCCCCCGCCCCCCCCGCCCCCCCGTGCCTCCTATAGTCCTTGCCTTACCAGGTGTGAGGCCCTGGCCCCTCCCGGTGGGAGGATGAGGACACTGAGCTCCGGCAGCCACTGGACTGGCCCAGTCCGAGCAGGGCAGGGTCTGCTTCCTGTTCTGAAGCGGTTCGTCCGCCGCACAGGTGTTCAGGGTTGTCGCATCCTTTTGATACATTACCCTTCACCCTAGACTTCCGTCCCGGGAATCCTCTTCTCTGTGGACCGTCTACCGTGGCCACTCCAGCGGCAAGGAGTGTGGTGGCCACGGCCACTCCAGTGGCGAGGAGTGTGGTGCTGTGGGTTATTTCCACTTCTTGGTGCCTTTATTCAATGTGGGGCACAAGTTGGCTTACAGTTGCACTTGAGACTTCTTGTTGGATGATTAATTATTGCATTTTTCACCCAAATGACTGCAAGCCTACTTTTGCCCGCCCTGTTCTTGCCTTCGCCTCCTCCTGACTTTACATCTGGTCAGGGTCCGCAGGGCTGTCTCCTAGGACTCCACCTGCTCGATCCGGGGGGCGACCCTTCTATTCTGAGGGCAACTGTCAACATTGTTGCTCTTTGAAGAGCCCACATCGGGTTTTGATTTTCCCTACTAGGAATTTATCAGAGTAAATTCCTCTCATAAGCTCTAGTTTCAGAGGCTGGAGTTGGGATCACAGGATGAACGTGGAATTCACTCATCCACCCCACAGGGTAGGGAGGGCTCAGCAAGCGGACTGCGGGGGCAGGCAGGTGTGGGAGCTCAGGACACAGGAAAGAGTTCATGGGCAAAGTTTAAACTGTTTAATGAAAAAGACAGAGCCAAGCGTTATTTACACGTGGTAGAAAGGAAGGCTGGACGGGCGTGTGCAGCGCCACCACCACAGCCTCGTGTGGCTTCTGCGTCACTCGCTGAGCTGTGTGGGCCCTCCCTGCAGTGTCACGTATGATCACGCCTGACAGCGCGGTCAGGGAGATCAGGTTCCGTTCCATTCAGGTTGTCTGGGGCCACAAACTCCTTACACGGAAACGGCTCTGGACAGTCCCGAGGGGACACAGCGGCCACCTTGTTCCCAGAGCAGCAGACGCCTCAGATCAGATCGGCAACTGAACAGGAAAACAGAGGAGAGGCAGGTCAGCGGCGGGCGGCGGGCCGGGATGGGCGCCGCCCCGCAGGCCGCTGCGCACCGTTCATGGGCATCTCGTCGATCTGCGTGGAGTAGTACTGCTCGATGTCCCGCAGGATGCGGATGTCGTCGTTCTTCACGAAGTTGATGGCCACGCCCTTCCGGCCGTACCGCCCCGACCGCCCGATTCTTGGGAGGAAGGAAGACGGTTGGCACACACGGCAAGCACCCAGCGAGCGGGGGGCGGGGGGAAGGGAGGCGGGAGGCGCCTGCCTACCTGTGGATGTAGAGCTCTCTGTTGTTGGGCAGGTCGTAGTTGATGATCAGGGACACCTGAGGGACGTCCAGGCCCCGGGCCCAGACGTCGGTGGAGATGAGCACCCGGCTGCGGCAAGAGGGAGGCGCGAGGCCGGCACTCAGTCACGAAGGCTCCAGACTGGATGCCAGTCACCCGCACCCCGGCCCCTGGTCCACGTGGGGCGAGGGGCAGCGCCACAACGACCCTTCGCAAGGGCCCTGGGTGGGCGTGGTGACGGGGCCACGTGTGGGCCCTGAGTACAAGTTCTGTGTCTCATGCGTCGGTCACCACACCACAGGCCGTGGCTGGGCTTGCTCCCCCCGCCCCTCCTCCAGAGCTGCCTGTCCCACACGAGGCCGCGCCCACCCACCTGGCGCCGGACCGGAACTCCTTCATGATGGACTCGCGCTCCTTCTGCGGCATGTCCCCGTGCATCGACGACACCGTGAAGTTGGCTTCTCTCATCTTCTCCGTCAGCCAGTCAACCTGCCAACGGGATGGCAGGTGCTCCTTCAGCTCCAAAGCAGCTGGACCCGGACTTGGCGCATCAGAGCCCACATAGCCGCCGCAGAGCAGAGACGTGGACTCATCCTCACGGGGTGTGAGGCATGTCATGTGCCCAGCCAGTGGCATGAACACCCATCAGCGGAACCACCTGACTGCGCACCGCCCACAGCGGGCAGAGTGGGCAGCTGTCCCAGAGCCCACGTGCCCATACAGCCCGCAGCAGACGCCCGGCCTCCACGCCCGCCCATGCCAGCTCCGCAGAGACCGAGCTCCAGCCGGCCCCAGAGGAGGTGCAGGGCCCCACCACGCACCTTCCTCTTGGTGTTGCAGAAGATGACGGCCTGCGTGATGGTCAGTGTGTCGTAGAGGTCGCACAGCGTGTCAAACTTCCACTCTTCTCTTTCCACCGCCACGAAAAACTGCTTGATGCCTTCCAGGGTCAACTCGTCACTGGAGGAGACACGAACCCTGTTACCTGCTCTTCCACCGAGACGGGGGGGTGGCGCAGGCAGGCCTGTCTGGCTGGTCACACCTAGGAGCCACCATTCCTCCCACCCGGGCCCAGCTCTGGATCAGAACCAGCAATTCCCACCGCCGCGAACAGAAAGAGAACATCCCTGTTCCACGGTATCTACTCCTCTTACTCTCAAGTCCCCGGTACACGCCGGCAGCTAATTGTTAAGATTGGAATTGCTAGGTTAAAAGGGAATGGACATTAAAAGCTGGCTTTTCAAAAAAGGAAATTAGGGTTCCACGTTTTAAAAAGCCAGTGCAGCCCCCGGTGCTGAAGAGGCGTGCTCACCGCTTCACCAGGATGCGGATGGGGTCCGTCATGAACTTGTTGGTCATCTCCAGGATCTCGTGGGGCAGCGTGGCGCTGATGAGCACCACCTGCGTGGCCGGGGGCAGGTACCTGTACACGTCGTAAATCTGCTCTTTGAAACCTGGGGCGAGGAACAGACCACAGGAACCTGAGGCCACACCCCGCACAGCCTACGACTTCCGCCCAATCCTCTCCACAGCTCAGCTCACCGGCCTGTCCCGTGTGATGACCACGGACACACAGAAAGCAACGCGTGTCTGGTTGGGACAACAGGCTGCTTGCCCTGCTGGCTGTGGTCAGCCTTACAAGCAGCGACCACAAAAAGACCAAAGTGTGTTTTTCCCGGTCCCGTGGCCCACAGGGACAGCTGTGTCCCCACCAACACTCCCCTACTACAAGCACGTCCACTGGTGCCCGTTTCCACCCCGCACTGTGAACACGCGAGATCACACGTCTGCAGAGATCAGCCCTTAGGTCACACACACCTTTGTTCAACATTTCATCCGCCTCATCCAAAACCAGCATCTTGATAGCCCGTGTCCTCAGACTCCTGCGACGAATCATGTCTACAAACCAGATTCAGGAGGAGTTAGACCGCAGGTTATGAGGAAGGAGCGGCCATTCCTGAGACCTCCCTCTGCTTCCTACAAGTGACCCCGCGCAGGCCAGCAACTCTGAGGCCCGAGCGAAGCCCTCGCTCACCAAACACACGCCCCGGCGTGCCGGCCACCACGTGCTGCCCGTAGTCCAGCTTCCGGATGTCCTCCCCGACGTTGGTGCCCCCGATGCAGGCGTGGCACTGCACGTTCATGTAGTCGCCGAGCGCGAGCAGGCCCTGGAGGGTGGGACACAGGTCATTCCCATGCACTTGGCGTGACCCCCGCGCACCATTCATGCCGTTATTCACACCAGACAGCCCGCTCCTCTCCTCGCTCCTCCCCTCTTCCTGAGGAAGCGCTGGAGAATGGAGACTGAAGTTAGTCTTAATGGTTTCTCGCTACAAACATAGTACACGGTAATTACTGAAAAGCCAGGAAACATGAAATTCACTCTCTCATCCAGCCAGGAACAATCCTGGCACGTTACTGCTTAGACCTCCACAGTGCTCACCGTGAGCACAAGGTAGCTGGCTCTTTGGTGCCGACTGCCAGGAACTACGGAACCACACAAGCCACACTAAGAATGACAACGCAAACCCCGATTCATATATCGTGATGGTTTACGGCAAAACCTGTCAGGAGGAGAAGCCTGAGGAACTAGAGAGCGGGTGGATGAGACGTGGTTGGCCTCGCAGCAGCCAAGAGGCAGGCCCTGAGGGGGGGAGGGGGGTGTGCCTCACCTTCTGGATCTGCACAGCCAGCTCTCTGGTGGGGGCCAGGATCAGAGCCTGCGTCTCGCGGACCTGTGAAGCAATCGCCGGGGACAGACGTCAGTGCTCTGCAGGCGGACCTGCTGACTCGGCTCAGACACCCTGTGACTAGGATCTCGCGTTTAGCGCCCACCTGACTCCTAACGGAGGCAAACCACACCCAGCGTCTCTGAAACCCAGCCAGAGGTGACGGGTCCCGGTGAGCAGTCTGTTTACAGACGAGAGCGGCCACTAGTTTAAAGCCTCCCGTCCAGAGAAAGGGATGTATGGCAGGGGGTTAGCTCAGACACTAGCGGGCAACCGTTCTCTTTACAAGTCTGAGTCAGCACAGCAGGACGTGAACACTGAGCCACAGAAGGAAGGGCGCGCCTCCCGGAGGAAATGGAGCGGCCAGTTACCTGGATGTCCAGACACTGGAGGACGGAAATGCTGAAGGTGGCAGTTTTGCCTGTGCCAGACTGAGACCTAGGAGAGAACACAGGTAAGCGTGGGCCACACACCACTGTCCACTCACAGCCCACCATAGCCACGCTCCGAGGGAGGGAGCCCCGGACAGCTTCTCCCAAGATGAGTCTCTCCCCCCCTTTCTTAGCCCCCCCCACCCCCCTTAGCAGACCACCACCACCTCAGTGGCAAGAGGTGGGACGCGGGCACAATATTACTTCTAGTCCCTGGTGATGCGGACAGTAGCTACGGATGGAATCAGGGTCTAGAGCTGCAGAACCTACCCCAGCAGGTGTCATTCCCCTTTAAGTATGATCTGAATGGAAACTGTCCTCCAGTTATTTTTTATTTTTGGGAATGAATCTTTAAAAATTAGGTGAATCAGTAATAAAGCTATTTAAGGAGTATTGTATACAAATCCACATGCCAGCTGACAGGCATTAAAGCTGGATAAAAATTAAAGCTTTCCAAAATAGAGAACACAAGAGTACAGCAATAAAGCACCGTGGGCTGAAGTCAAGGAAACAGCTGGTAACAAGCATATAAAAACAGAACATTGGGGCCCCAAAGCACCAACAGCACAGGGGCCCCTGCAACTGGGGGGTTAGGGCTGCCAATTTCCCAGTCAAAACCTTTTCACACAACTTAACTACCTCCAACCTTAAGTGCTAACAGCCTATACTATTAACCAGAAGACTTACCAATAACATATACACATCAATTAACATGTTCTGTAAGTTCGCTACACACTATGTTCTTACAATAAAGCCGGAGGAAAGGAAATGTTATAAAAAACCACAATAGGAAATATACCTACTGTATTCATTGGGGAAAGAAATCCAAGTATAAAACCCGCATTGTTCCCGGGCCCCTGCAGCAGACTTACTGAGCGATGACGTCTCTCCCTTTAATGATCTGCTTGATGGCGCGCTGCTGGATGGCCGAGGGCTTTTCAAACCCTGCGGACAGAAGCAGAAGGGGGCTCTGAGCTCTAGGCCAGCGTGTACACAACCAGACACTGTAAGCTCTGGGCGCAGAGCTGGGCTCTCCCAGCCCCAGCCCCAGCCTCTGCCCTGGCCCAGCACACAGCTCTCACCAGACAGCTGCTGAGCAACTGGCGGAAGCAGGTTTTTATGCTGCACGGGGCCTGGTTAGAAGGCAAAACCTCTAAAGGAACATCCCTGGAGGCTGGATAGACCCAGAGAGGTTTAAGACTAAGGGAGGAGGCGGCACTCGTGGGGCGTGGGTGGGCGGCTCACTGTACTCTGACTCTGTGATTGTGTGACTGTAACCTATGTTGCCCCCCCCCCCCCCCCCCGTTGCTGGGGCAGCACTGTGGGGTGACCTGCACTCCCTCTCTCTCGTGCAACAGCCTAAATCACCAAGGCACGGGGCTACTCTGAAGGAGTACAAGTAACCGCCAAGTAAACAAACACTTTATGTCCAAAGTTGTAATTATTGTTGGTAGTCTTTAACACACAAGCAACTGTAGCAGCAGATTTAAACGCCTCCCATGGCCAAATACACAGACGGGATGGGCAGGGTGTCCTGGGGCCGAGGCAGGTGGGCTGCGATGGTTCCTTACCCCCCCAACCCCTCTGCTCTGTCTAAACTGTCCTGGCACCAAGGACTGGGTAAGAGGGGCCCCGGCCCCAGGCCTCAAGACAGATGCAGGCAGTTCCCACGTATCCCCAACCCCGGCACCGGCTTAGGCAGCTGCCTCCCAACATCGCCAGGGGGATGCTCACGCCCCCAAGCTCACCGCAGCCAAGCCAGCACCCCGATTTTGCCTCCAAGTGCTCCTCCCCTAAGCTCCTGGCAGCATCATCTGGCGGCTGCTCCAACACCGAGCCACCCCGGCCCTCTTCCCTCTGCTGCTCCGCTCACCCACCTCCACCGCCACCTCTCCCGGCTCAGCCTGCTCCCTCTCCCGCCCTCCTCCGCCAGGGGCACGGCCAGCCTGCAGGACGGTCACCCCAGCTCAGGCCCTCCTCCCCCCGGGCACCGGAGCCTCATCGCCCGGCTCCGGGTCAGGCTACTCCACTGCCCGCTTTCACCACCGTCTTCTCCTAACGGGCTCCCTAATCCGATCCCAGCTCAGATGTCACCTCCTCACGGGGACCCGCCTTCCATTTGCTCCAAGTACCCGGCTCCGTTCCTTCACCGCCGTCACCACCGGGCTACCTTCTCCCAAACGCAGCTTCAGTTCTCCGGGGCCCGAGCCCGCCTGGCTCCCTGCTCAGCCCGGTGCCCACAGCAGCGCGGGCGCCTCACCGGGAGCCGCAGGCGGCTTTCCGCTGAATGAGCGTCCGGGCGACCGCGCAGCCGCGGAGAGACCCGCGCGTAGCTCGGCACCCGGGACAACCACCTGGGTCGCGGAGTGATGACGGTGTGCCGGGATGGGGTCCCCTAGCCGCCTCGGCCCGGAGCCCGGCGGGGAGGGGGGGGGGGTCCCTATCGGGCCGGGGACTCGGCCTACGGGCCCGGCCTGCCCTCGCCCGCCCCGCGCCCTCCGCGCCCACCCACCGTAGGCGTAGATGCCGCGCAGCAGGTCCTCCCGCAGGCCCATGGTGTCGAACGTGGGCGTCACGTCCACCTCCTCGCTCGTCTCGAATTCCACTTTGGTCATGTCTTCCTCTTTGAGCAGCCGCTTCCGCGCCGAGCCCGAGTTCGCCATCGTCGCGGCGGCCGCCATGATCCCGCGTCGGCTGAAAGCGGAGCGCGCGGCGTCGGAAAGCGGAAGCACCCCCTCGCGCTGCCGCCGCCGACAGGAACTGACGTTGCTGCGCGCGCGCGTGCGTCTAAGCGTGCGTGAAGCCACGCCCCGGCAGGGAACGAGCGCTTCTCGTCACGCGGTCGGGAAAGGGCGCCGCGCTCCGGCGGGAGAGGCGCGCGCTCCGGCTCTCGCGAGGGGCGGGGCCTCGCTCGTTCCCTATAAAGATGGCGGCGGCGGCGCCGTGCTGAGGAGAGTTTCGCTCCGTCACGCCGCCGGCCGCGCCTGGGCGGCCCTCTCGGAGGAGGTGGGAGGCGGCTCTGCCTGGAGTGAGCAGCCGGGCGCGGGCCTCCCGTTTGCACGCTCCCGCGTGGTCACTGGGGGCGGAGGGCGGAGGGCTCCGTGTGAGAGACGCGTTTCACCGACGCCCGACGGGCATCCTCACTGCAGAGCGTCCCCTTTGAAAGCCGCGAACCAGCGCAGGTTGGGCGGCCTGTGTTTTCCTTCGCCCCCGGGGACGCCCTGCGCGGGGTCGATGTGGCGACAGGGCCTGGCCCGGGGCAGCGCGCCGCGGCCTCCGCCGCCCCCGCCCCCGCCTGCGACCCGCACCCGCATCCGCCCCCGCCGCGCGACCTGCGCCCTCGTCGGCAGCAGCTCGCTCCTCATTCCGGCGGCTGAGACGCAGCCCGCCCTGCGGAGAAGGGGACCCGGAGGCCACGGCGCTCTGCTGCCCTGCCCGCGGGACCAGGGTGCCACCTCGCCCAGGCCCTGCCCATCTTTAACAAAACAAATGACACCAAGCGACAGAGAGACACTGACACAACCGGCAGAGACCCTCACGCCCGGTATTTCCAGCGCCCGCAACGCACAGACAGGAGCTGGCACCGGACTGTCCCCAACCCGAGCTCTCGGCCCCAGTTAGGGCGTCGGAGAGAGGGCCCCGCCGCATTGCACTAAAACACCGTTTCCTTTTTTCATGGGCCGTAAGCTGAGTAGCTCAGTACCCCAATGAGTACCTTTTGGGATGGACCCACCAGCACCCACGCTTGAACAGTTGAAGCAAGATTACAGGCAAAGTGACACCTGGCAAGAATCAGCCTAACATACGACGTTTACAAGTGCACACAGCGGGCAGCCGTGGACAACCGTGTGGCTCGCGGGGCCCTTGGGAGGCCACTTGTAACCAACCAGGAGCTGGTCAGGCTCACCCCAGACAACTGACCCCGTTACAGACCCCAATGCCCGGCACCCCACAGGTCAGGCTCAGGTGAGGGGACCAGGCAAGGCCCTTGAGAGGCCGCTTGCTACAGGAGCTGGTCAGGCTCACTCCAAACCGGACAACAGACAATGGGCTTTCCCATTACAGAACGCTCTATTCAACTTAGGTTTTGTTTTGTTTGTGTTTGTTTTTTAAAATATATATTTTATTGATTTTTTACAGAGAGGAAGGGAGAGGGATAGAGAGAAACATCAATGAGAGAGAAACATCTATCAGCTGCCTCCTGCACACCCCCTATTGGGGATGTGCTCAAAACCAAGATACATGCCCTTGACCAGAATGGAACCTGGGATCCTTGAGTCCGCAGGCCGACGCTCTATCCACTGAGCCAAACCGATTGGGGCTCAACTTAGGTTTTATTTTAAATGTATTTTTATTGATTTCAGGGAGGAAAGGAGAGGGAAAGATAGAAACATCAATGATGAGAGAGAATCATCCATTGGCTGCCTCCTGCATGCTCCCCACTGGCATGTGCCTTTGACTGGTATCGAATCTGGGACCCTCCAGTCCATAGGCTAACACTCCATCCACTGAGCCAAACCTGCTAGGGCTCAACTTAGGTTTTATGTGAGGTGATGGGGATTGCTGAGACTGTGGGTGAACCCAAAACAGGAAAGTTCCCTGCAGTGCTGCAAATAAGAGTCCAGGCCTCAGCCCCGGGGACCCTAGTCCAGGCAGCAAGCAGGATCCCCGGAACTCGCCCTAGAGGACCCCTTATCCCCGCTTGTGTCCCACCAGAGTGGCCAGATTATGGGATTGGACAATCAAGGGGACTGGCTGCCTGTCACTCCTTGATCCAATTAAGCAGGGACAGAGTTGAATCACATGTGAGCGTTTACTTCAGTCCTGCCAGCAGCTTGGGGAGCAGCAGGTCACCCACAAACATCTGCTCTGCCCCCATCGTGAGCCTGCTGCTTATGTTGGGCTTATGTTGGGTAGAAGGGCTTAGATGACATGGGGAAGTAGGCAAAGGGTATGCCAAGTGGGTAGTTGACAGGTAATGGGGTCTGGAGATTTGCAAAGTCCTGTGGGTAGCGCTGGGAGTCTTTTTTTTTTTTTTTAAGTATATTTTATTGATTTTTTTACAGAGAGGGATAGAGAGTTAGAAACATCGATGAGAGAGAATCATTGATCAGCTGCCTCTTGCACACCCCCTACTGGGGATGTGCCCGCAACCAAGGTACATGCCCTTGACCAGAATTGAACCTGGGACCTTTCAGTCTGCAGGCCAATGCTCTATCCACTGAGCCAAACTGGTTTCATTAGGGCTGGGAGTTTTGAAAGGACTTAGTGATTTGCGAAGGGCTGGGGGGTCTTCAAAAGACTAGTGATTGTGGTGCCTGCAACAAGGTTGCTAATCTTTCTAGGATAACAGGCAGCTCCCTGATGGGGAGGAGGGGCGGTGTCTCCAGGTGAGCGCCCAGGTCCCACGTGCAATGCCCAGCCCGGTTAGAACGTGCCTCCATCAACAAAACAATCACGGTTAACAGAACATGACCCACATTTCTGCCAATTATAAATGGTCCCAATATTCTATTTCTGCTCCTATCAGGTTCACCCACTAAACCAGGCACCAGTGCAGTGGGTCCTAACAGGTCCACACCAGCAAGTAAATGAGGGCTTAGTTCTCAGGGCACTCACCCCGCTGGCAGCGTGTGTCCAAGCTGCCCAGCTGGCGTGGCTCAGTGGTTGAGCCACAGTTTGACTCTTGGTCAGAGCACATGCCTGGGTTTGGGACTCCATCCCCAGTAGGGGGCGTGCAGAAGTCAGACAATCGGTGATGTTTCTATCTATCCCTCTTCCCCGTCCCCTAAAAATCAATAAAAACATACTTTAAAAAAATACGTACAACCCTTACAAGAAAATTGACCTGATAACAAGCATGCTATGCAAGGATGCAGGGACGAATCACATATTAGGAATTTGCAAGGATGCATCTCTGTCTCAGATGTTAAGTGAGATAGAGCTGTGAGGTCTCAGGCCTTCTCACTCCACGGAGGCGTCTCCTGGGCGGGGGGTTGAACACACTGCAGTTTTGTAAGCCATGCTCCAGAGCTAGGTTGTAAACACGGATCTTCAAGACAGTATCAGAAGAGAACATGACATCTCAGTATTTTTATAATGGTTTTATGTGAAAAGCCAGGTGTGCCTGCATGTCCAGGGGAGGAGAGGCCAGGCCGGCTGTCCAGGAGCTCCTGGAGCTGAGGCCAGAGCCCTGAGAAGGCAGGACTGGCCTGTGGCCACACCTTCCGGACCCGCCTCTTCCTCTGGGCCCGTGCTGGACTCAGGGTTAGACCAGGTGTGGGGAATGCTATTTGATCTGCCCCTGCCACGGCATTAGGGGTGAATTAATGAAATATTTGCCCAAAACATAGAGGCTAATATTTAAGCTGGTAATTTTGCGTGACCTGAGAATGATGTTAGAAATATCCCAACAGCCGTTGGCAGAGAAAGGTCCCACCCCTGGTGTGGACGGTCACGGTGGCTCTTCCCATCCTGGGCAGCAGGAGGCTCCTGGGCTGGCCCGGGTTTCTATGTCATCACTGCATGCCTGCATGTCCTGGGTCAGAGAGGCTGTCCCTACAGGGAGCCTACCTGCCAGAAACCCCACACATCACCGGGCTCTCCATGACAGACACGGTTCCTTTGCAGGTGTGGCTGGCTCCCACCCACTCGCCTGACGGGGCACCTGATAAAGCCACGAGCCTGGCCTGGCTTTCCACATAAAACCATTATGAAAATAATGAGATGTCATGTTCTTTTCTGATACTGTCTGGGCATCCGGGCACCAGACGTGCATGGAGCATCTCCGGTGCTGGATTGGGCGGTGGGGAGGGTGGACAGTGCTGAGCTATAAACCAGGAGATCACAGTTCAGTTCCTGGTCAGGGCACACGCGTGGGTTGTGCGCTCGATCCCCAGTGTGGGGCGTGCAGGGGGCAGCCAGTAAATGATTCTCTCTCATCGTTGATGTTTTTCTCCTCCCTCTCTGAAATTAAAATAAAAAAAGACTGTCATCCAAATCTAAATAGTGAATGGCAATTCTAGAGGATCCCCTGGAATTGCTTAGAGCAAGCATGCTAAATGTCGCCCACAAGGAATATTTTTGCAGCACGGCCAATGTAAGGGTATGTAAGAAAAGTTTTAAAAATATATATTTTATTGATTCTTTTACAAGAGAAAGGGAGAGGGATAGAGAGTTAGAAACATCGATGAGAATCATCCATCAGCTGCCTCTTGCACACCCCCTACTGGGGATGTGCCCGCAACCAAGGAACATGCCCTTGACTGGAATTGAACCCGGGACCTTTCAGGATCAGCTGCCTCTTGCAAAAATCCCCTTCTTGCACATCCCCTTCCCTTAACTGGAATCGAACCTGGAATCTTTCAGTCCGCAGGCCAACGCTCTATCCACTGAGCCAAACCGGTTTCGGCAAGAAAAGTTTTTAAAAAAATATATATATTTTATTGATTTTGTTCAGAGAGGAAGGGAGAGAGATAGAGAGCTAGAAACATCGATGAGAGTCATCGATCAGTCGCCTCTTGCACACCCCTTACTGGGGATGTGCCCGCAACCAAGGTACATGCCCTTGACCGGAATCGAACCTGAAACCCTTCAGTCCCCAAGCCGACGCTCTAGCCATTGAGCCAAACCGGTTTCGGCAATAATGGCAAGAAAAGTTTTAATAAAAATTTCGTAACTTAGTTTTCACAATATCCTGTTAAACATAATTATTAATAATGAACTACAACGTTGGCTAATGACTGATTACTATAACCATGTTGCATTCATTTTCCTTACATGCAGGCGCACAATTTTTCTCCACTAATACTAGCAGCGAATATTTCAGCAGCCGACGGCCACTTCATTAGTCTTGGACTGGCTTGTTTGGTGTGCGCAACAGGAAATATTTCGCTTTTGGAGAACAAGAAAAATAGGTCTATTTGCTTTACGCTTATTAGTTTGTGCAGTTATCCAGTGTGTGGTAAGTGAATGTTCAAGAAAAAATATTAATTTTTATTAACATCTTTTACTATTTTATGGTAAAGACGACTCCTTTATTTCAGCTCTTTGTATTCAGCATGTCTCTATCGAAGCAAACCTACGTTTCTATGAAAATGGAAGCTTTTTTTTTTTTTTTTTTTTTTTTTTTTTTTTTTTTTTTGCGGCTACATACATTTCCACCTTGTTTATCAAATATTTGGCCCGTGTTGACCTTTGAGTTTGACATGCTTGGCTTAGAGACTTCCAGCTGATGGTGAGGACGGAAGAGGCTGCAGAATGAGTCCTGGTGGTGCCAGGACGTCGTCTGAGGGATTTTATCATGAACAGGCCGGCTGTTCACAGACGGGAGAGGATCTCCCCCACGCGGATCTTCCAGAAGCTTCCCATGCATGGTGGGAGAATGTCCTGGGCTCAGTGATGCGTGCAGGCTCGTGTGAGGCATCGCCCCTGGGCAGGGCCAGGCAGGCTTGCCTGTCAGACCTGCTCGCCTGCTGCTGCTGTTCAGCCCAGCCCGCCCCAGCGTTCCTTCTGCAGGACCAGGAGGGGCAGCATGGAGCCGGTCCCGAGGAGAGCAGGTCAGCACTGGGGACGGCAGGCAGGCCCGAGGGGGGCTGAGAGCTGTCCTGGGGTGGAGGCTTTCCTCCCGAGGGGTGAGCCTGGTGTGGGGCCGTTGGTTTGGTTAAGTGCATGGGCTCTCTGGCTCAGCTCCACCTTCAAGGAGGACAGTGTGGGCTGGCGGGATGAAGGATGCTCAGTTTTGGACCCTGATGTCCGCATTGGCGCCCCAGGAGGAAAGAGAGGAAGAGGGAAGGGTTCTAGGTTTAGGTGTGGGGCGAGGAGGACCAGCTGCCTCGTTTGTGGCTGCTTTAAAAACAAACCAACCATTTCCGGCTCATTTTGTGAGGCTCGGGAGAGACCGCGTCCGCTCACTCAGCCTTCCCCGCTCGGCTGGTTTCACATGTTGGTGATCCAGGGCTTTGAGTCAGACTCGGTGGGAGGTGCTGCTCTCACACGTGTGCCATCTGGCTGTCACCTGGCGGAGCGGTCGCCAGTCCTGCGGGCCTCCTGGACCAGTGGTCCTCGGACACCGGCTGGCGACCACTGCTCTAGAAGGCATGAGGGCACTCCGGGGTCCCAGGGAGCAGGGGTGCAGGAACGAGGAGGAAGTGGCAGAGGGAGGGGCAGCCCGCAGGAGGCACTCAGCTTCCTGGGCAGAGCACACAGTTGCTCCCAGCACCCACAGGCAGAGGGCTGAGCCTGGGGAGCTGGTGTTGCCTGGGCTGGCACCTTGCCCTCCTCATGTGTGTCTGCGTCTCTCCTCTTCCCGTGGGAACACCCGTCACTGAGGGCTTCGGGCTCGACCTTATGGCCTCATCTTAACCTGGTTCCATCTGCCTTGACCTCTTTCCTAACAGGTCACGCTCACCGGTGTTGGGGGGTTAGGACGGTCAGGGTGCCTGCAGGCCCCACCTGGGCCGAGAGCAAGAAGAAAGACAGGAAGGCTGGCACCCACAGGTCAGGGCGGCTGGCCTAAGGGAGGCAGGGCCAGGCCAGGCCCTGGGAGCTCCTCACCACCGCCCTAGCCTGTATCCTGTCCTGGGGCCGCGGCAGTGGGAATGGTCACCGGCAGCTCTCGGACCCATCTGTTTTCAAACCAGCTTGATTGGGGTCGGATCTGTATCTGCACAATCCAGCCCTGAGGCCAGCACACCGGCCCTAGGACATTTCATCCTACGAAAAAGCCCCCTGCACTGCAGTCACCCCCGCCCCAGCCCTCTCCTCAGAGGCCAGGAGCCAAAGTCAGAGGTCTGCAGGGCCGGCTCCCTCTGAGGCCCGGCCTGCTCTGAGCTCCTGGTGCTGCCCGCAGCCCTCGGCGTCCCCCAGCCTCTGCCTGCACTGTCACCTGGCCCCTCCCTGGGTGTGTCCGGGTCTCCTCGTCCCAGGAGGACACCTGTCATATAGGGCTTAGCGCTCGACCTAATGACCTCAGCTGTCGCGACCTATTTCCCAAAGGCCACGGTCACAGGCGTTGAGGGATCAGGATTTAACATTTCTTTTGCGGGGACACCACTGAACCCACACACCCTGGTTCATGAGCATCTATTGACTGTCCCTACAGAAATGGAATGAGCTGCCCAGGGGCAGTGAGACAGACCTACTTGAGGGCCTGCCCTCTCCGCGCATCCTCACCCTGTCCCGCAGGCCCTCCCTCTAGCATCCACCTGTCCACTCTCCTGAGCATCGGAGGCTACAGAGCCTGGTTCTCTTCCAGACCCGGTTCCCGATGTGCGGGCGCTCTGTGACCGGGCAGAGCCGGGCTGGAAGCCTGTGCCTTTGTTTCCTGGGTCAAAGTTTGCCTTTCCCCTCACATAGGCTCTGGGACCTGAACTTTGAGTTTTGGAGCAAGTCACATGGTGTGAAGTCTCATCAGATGCCCTGGGCACTGGTTTGGCAGGCTCTTCCTGCCCAGCCCTGCCCGCTGCCCGGAATCCACAGAGGAGCCTGAGCCTGCAGCCGGGAGGGGACACGGGCCCACTGCACGCCAGCAACTCCTGCGCGGCCGGGCGTGCGCGTTTTTCGGTGAGTGTGCGCTGTGGGCCAGCCCCGTGGGGGAGGGGGACTGTCCGCGGAGGAGGACTGCAGTGGCCACTCCCATTTTCCTTGGTTTGCATGCTGCTGGAGCACGTTCACTGCACACGCCTCAGGAGGCATTCCAGCCAGGCAGCTGGTCATCCCGTGAAAAGAACCAGATCACAGATTCTCAGGTCCAGGGCAAACACTCCCACCTGTGCCCCCTGCCTACCCGTGCCCCCTGTGCCCACCCGTGCCCCTGTGCTCCTGTGCCCTCTGTGCCTCTGTGCCCACTTGTGCCCTCCTGTGCACAAGGATCTCATGCATTCGTGTGATGAGAAAAAGAAACACTGGAATGTGCAGCCACAGGACCTTACATACGTCTCCTGCTTCTCCACATCACTGAGTCAGCCTGCAGCCAGGCAGGTGTATGTAGCCATGAGTATCAGATGCTGAAACCTGACCCCCGCTGAGGGCGGTGCCCTGTCCAGCGATGCTGTTGTCCACAGTGAGAGTGAACAGTGTAGACACGGTCACGCCAAGTGCTGTGTGTTTTGTCACCTCATTGTCCAGGCAGGAGGGGGAGAGGGGGCAGAGAGTGAGCGCAGGATTGAGCTGGCGCTGGCGATGCGTCTCCTTCAGGGATCTGAAGTCCAGGAGGGGCGCAGGCACTGCTGTTTGCAGGCTGTTTGCTGTGCTGGAGACAGTCCACATTCACGCCGTTTAGGATGAGTTACGTGGCTTAACAGGCTAAAGGCCTTGTGCCCGGGAACGCAGTGTGGCCACTGTGGCTACAGAGCAGGCAGGTGGCTCTGGGTGGGGGTGGGAGGAGCCCCTGAGGTCCTCCCAGAACAAGGGCTTGGGTCCCACCCTCAGCATGGCCCTCTCCTCAGAGGGCCATGGGGCTGTGACTGCTTCAGGCCCTAGATCCACACAGCCCGGAGCCGGGGCCCAGCCAGGACCTGCGCAGGCCCGCAGCTCGGTTCTCAGACGCCTGGCCATCTCCCTCCCCACCCCCATACACACCAGCCAAGGGGTGTGGCCTTGACTGCTCACCCCCAAGAGCCGTCCTAGTTTTATGGTGACTCTAATATGCGCACAGCACCGCGCCCAGGTGTCTCCGTGCCAGGGTCCTGGGGCTGCCGAAAGCGACAGGCGTCCACCCTGCCGAGGACAAGCAGTCGCTTTCGGTGCGAGGCCCAGCCCTGGCCTGCTTCCCACTGATCCATGTGGACCGGGCACCGCCTCTGGGCGCCAGCTCATCCAGCCTCCCGTTCTCCCAGGCGGGGCTGGGCTTCATCTCCCCCTGGAGCCTTTCTGGCCCCCTCCCCCTCCGCGCCTGCCCGGAGGCAGACCGCCACAGGCGCACTCTGTCTGCTCCGCACATCTGGACTCAGGAGAGCCCAGGGTTTGCTCCCTCCTGGGTCCCCTGCTAAGGATTTGTGGTCCAGACCCACTCCTAGGCCAGTGCCGGCTGGTCAGGCAGCAGCCTGTGTGTCAGAGGCTCATCTGTGTCCTGAGCCAGAGAAGCCAGGTCTCCCTCTGCCCAATGCTGTCAGTGTCCCTCCCGCTGGTCACTGGACACCAGGGCGGGCTGGTGTCATGGTCCTCAGTGTGTGTGTGTGTGGGGTGGGGGGCAGTCCTCTCCTTCCCCGCCGGTCTGGGGAGGATGGGTGGAATGGGAGGGCCTCCGGGCCAGGGCCCTGCACTGACAGCCTCCGCCGCCCCCTTTCCGTCCAGGTCCAGCCATGGCGGAGCTGTGCCGCACGCACTCGTCGCTGGCAGGGCTGGACGAGGAGACGCTGTGGGAGATGACGGAGAGCCACCGCCACAGGATCGTGCGCAGCACCTGCCCCAGCCGCCTCACCCCCTACCTGCGCCAGGCCAAGGTGCTGGGCCAGCTGGACGAGGAGGAGGTGCTGCACAGCCCCCGCTTCACCAACTCGGCCATGAGAGTCGGTGAGCCTGCGCCGCGGGCCTCTGCTCAGCCAGAAGCGGAGGGGACCCGAGTTCTGGTCGGTGTGTGTGGGGGGGCTGTTAGTTTCTCCGGGGCCGCCCTAACAGACGACCACAAAGTCACAGAATGGGTTCTCATGGTTGGGAGGCTGAAGGTCTGAAGTTAAGGTGCGTGTGGGGCCACACTCCCTCCCGTGGCTCCAGGGGAGGCCCCTTTCTGCCTCTTCCAGCTTCTGGTGGCCCCTGGCACCCCTCGGCTGTGGCCCCTTCGCTCCAGCCTCTGCCTGCCACATGCCTTCTCTGAATGACTCCCTCTCCCTGAGACACTTGTCCTTGGACAGGCCCCAGGCTCCGCAGAATGCCTCGGCTCACAGGTCCCACTAATTACTCACGCCCAGACCCTTCTTCCAAGTCAAGTCCCTCTGGCAGGCTCCAGGGGACACCCTTTGGGGTGAGCCTGCCTCTTCCAGCCCAACTCTCTGTCTGTGTATTCATTCAAAACCGGGGGAGCGCCTGGCATCACCATATCAGCTTAGGAGAGTTGAGTCAGTTTCTAAGATACTTGTCTCAAAGCCCAGACTGGGCCCTGGAGAGCCAGTGGCGGGCGGTAGCTACTGACAGGAACTCTGCCCATTGCCTGATGAGCCTCAGAAGCAGGAGAAGTGAATCCCAGCTGAGAGCCATGAGGCTGAGTGGGCCTGGGCCCTGGGTGCTGCTGCTTGCTGCTTTCCTCCCCCGAGCTAGGCACGCACCCCCACATGTCCGCCAGCATACCTGGTAGGTCTCAGAGTGACCACCATCTTCCTTAGTCTCTTACCTCCAGCTCCTAGCGCACCGGTCGTAGTAGCTGCTCAATAAACGCCGGCCTCGCCCTTCTTGAGCCTGACTGCGCTGTGGGGTTGCAGGGGCTTAAGGCAGCAGAGGGTGCCCTGCCCCTCACGGGGAAGCCTGCCCAGCGCCTTGTCAGCCCAGACTGTCCTGTCCCCCAAGGGCACCTGCTGGACTTGCTGAGGGCGCGCGGGAAGAACGGGGTGCTCGCCTTCCTGGAGAGCTTGAAGTTCCACAACCCCGACGTCTACACCCTGGTCACCGGGCTGCAGCCCGACGTGGACTTCAGCACCTTCAGCGGTGAGAGCCGGCCTGCGACCGGAGCCCCCGGTCCTGGTCACCTCTCTTCCCCACCTGTTCCCGAGGCTCAGGCAGAGGTCCCCCTGCCCCGTCCACACTCGGGGAGGAGACCCTCCGCACTGCAGTGGGACAGGTAGGAGAGGGAGCACGTGGCCTGGGCTCTGAGGAAGAGTCTGTCCCTACTGCAGCGCCAAGGGGACGGCCTTTCCCCAGGAGAGCTCCCAGGCCGCTTGGGGCTGCGCTGGGGTGGCAGCGCTTGCCCAAGGGGCAGTCAGGCTACAGCCTGTGCCTGTGCTCAGCCCGCTAGGGGAGGGCTCACTGGGCTTGGGGACAGGAGTCCTGGCCATCGCACAGCAGGACGCTCCAGCCTGGCGCCTCGCAGGCTGAGCTGGTAGAGATGGGTTACGCAGACTTACGGGCCTGTTCCTGTTTTTAGGATGACGTTGAGCTGTGTTAGTATAAGCACGTCTGGGAGGGGAGGGGCAGCGGGTCTGGACAGTGGGTCACATGGGGCAGCTGAGGGGAAGAGCAAGTGGAAGGGAGGAGGAAATGAAGGGGAGTCCTTGAACCCAAATCTGGAATCATTGGTTTATTTACCCCAGTCTCGTGTGTAGTTTGGCCTGAAGCCTTGAAGGAGACGACAGATAGGGTGGGTCCTCTTGAGAGTCCAGGGCAGGAAGCCAAGCCCTGGAGGACGAGGAGCGGGCAGGGGGTGATGCCGGCTCCCCACAGGGCTCATGGAGACGTCCAAGCTGACCGCATGCCTGGCCGGAGCCATTGGCAGCCTGCAAGAGGAGCTGAGCCAGGAGAAGGGGCAGAGGGAGGCGCTGGCGCAGCAATGCCGGCGGCTGCAGGAGCGTCTGGGCCAGGCCGAGGCCCGGGCCGAGGGCCTGCAGCAGCTGGAGGCCGACCACGGCCGCATGAAGCGTGAGGTCAGCGCCCACTTCCACGAGGTGCTGAAGCTCAAGGACGAGATGCTCAGCCTCTCGCTGCATTACAGCAACGCGCTGCAGGAGAAGGAGCTGGCCAGCACGCGCTGCCGCGGCCTGCAGGAGGAGGTGCTGTGCCCACCGCCTCGCCCTCGCCCCAGTCCCCCCCTCCCCCCCCCCCCGACTTCCTGCCCGCCAGCCTGGGATGAGGCGCCCCTGCAGGGAGCTAGCTGACCCTTTGCCTCCACCACCAGGGGGCCTCTCCAGTCACCCCCCTGTGAGTCCCCAAGGCCTGGCTGGGGTGCCGTGGCCACGGTGGGGTGGCCTGCCGCCTGTGTCTGGGCCAGGGTACGTCTGGCTGTTCTGAGTTCCGCAGCAGTCCCCTGGGCCTCATCCCTCCAACTGTCTATGTCAGTGTCTCAGCTGGTCCTGCGATTAGGAGCCGCTTGAACCCCAACAATGTCTTTTTTTATTTTATTGATTTTTTACAGAGAGGAAGGGAGAGAGATAGAGAGCTAGAAACGTCGACGAGAGAGAAACATCGACCAGCTGCCTCTTGCACAACCCCCACCGGGGATGTGCCCGCAACCAATGTATTATACATGCCCTTGACCAGAATCAAACCCGGGACCTTTCAGTCCGCAGACCGACGCTCTACCGCTGAGCCAAACCGGTTTCGGCCCAATGATGTTTTTTACTCATTTTTCTGTTGGGGATTATTCTCTCCTTGGTGATTTGTGATTTGTGGGGTTCTTCTTCTTCTTCTTTTTTTTTTTAAATATATATTTTATTGATTTTTTTACAGAGAGGAAGGGAGAGGGATAGAGAGTCAGAAACATCGATGAGAGAGAAACATTGATCAGCTGCCTCCTGCACAACCCCTACGGGGGATGTGCCGGCAACCAAGGTACATGCCCTTGACCAGAATCAAACCCGGGACCTTTCAGTCCGCAGGCTGACGCTCTATCCATTAAGCCACACGGTTTGGCTCGCTCAAATAATCATTTGCTCTTTGCCTTGATGGCATTGGTTTTTGTTGTTGCTGTTGTTAACCCTTAGCTGAGGATACTTTTTCCTTTTTTTTTTTTTTTTAGAGTAGAAGGGAAGGAGGAAATGAAGGGGGAGAAAGATGGGGAGAAAAACAATGTGAAAGAGTCACATGGATCCGTTACCTCCTACATGTGCCTCGATGAGGGCCAGAAAGTGAACCTGCAAAAAGGGTACAGGCTGGGACCGAACACCCAGCCCTTTGGTGCATGGGCCAGTGCTCTAACTACTGAGAGGTACCAGCCAGGGTGCTTGTTCTTTTATTTTATTTGGAAATAATTTCAAATTTATTTTTAAAAATATGCAAATACAATGTGCAGAGGACTCCCATGTGCCTTAGTTGTTCATTTGCAGGGCCCCCTCCCCCCTGTGGCGCCCCCCGACACACACACACAGACACACAGTTTCCCTGAGCCTGGGTGGTCTGGCCGGGATGCTCACGTCCTCCTGCCCGGCTCCTGTCCTCTCATCCCCGCAGCTCTATCTGACGAAGCAGGAGCTGCAGCGCCAGAGGCTGTCGGCCTCCTGCGAGCGGGAGTTCCGAGAGCGGTCCCTGCGCATGGCTGACGGCCTGGAGCCCGGAGCGGAGGAGCTGAGCCGCCTGAAGGAGGAGAACGAGAAGCTCCGCTCCCTGACATTCAGCCTGGTAGGCCCCGCCCCAGCCCACTTCCTCCGAGCCCCCAGGCTGGGCTTCTGATGCCCCTGGGGAGGGTGGCTGGGGCTCGGAAATGGAAACTAGTGACGGCCCACCAGCTCCAGCCTCAGCGCTGGCAGGATTAGCTGGACACCACTCAGTTCCTCTAAGCTGCCTCAGAGAGGACTGGGCTGGTTACCGTGGTGGGGTTCACTTCAAAGTTGGGGGACAGGAAAGAAAACCTGTCCGCCTGCAGAATGTGCTACGTGGGAGAGTGGGGAACTCTGAACACAGGGGTCATCAGCTCCCGGAATTGTACAGCCCCTCTCCCGTGTCTTTGAATCAATAAGTACCTGCTTTTGAGCCAGGTGGGGTGGCCGTCCTGCATCCCAGCTTGGCGGGGGGGGGGAGGATCACGGCCTAGGGGGATCCCAACCTTGAGGGGGACCTACCCCTCCCCGACCTGCAGAGTGAGCCCCAGGAGGCTGGTGTGCGGGGTCCCTCTCTGAAGCTCCCCTGCAAGTGCCTAAAGCAGGCGGCTCTACCCTAAGAGGCCGGGCCTTCAGAACCCTCCGGGCCACCCAGCCGCCCAGCAGAGCCCAAGGGCTCTCCCTCCCCCAGGCCGCTGTCCGGCCCCCGGGGCAGTCATGTCACTCACCACCCGCCAGCAGCCTCCAGCTCCCGCTCCTGGGACGAGCTTCCCAGGAGCAGGCGTGTGGGAGCGGCCGGCTGACCCTCTGTGCCCAGGCGGAGAAGGACATCCTGGAGCAGAGCCTGGACGAGGCCCTGGAGAGCAAGCAGGAGATGGTGGACCGCATCCACTCGCTGAGGGAGCGCGCCGTGGCGGCCGAGCGGCAGCGGAAGCAGGTGACCACGGCTCACGCTGGGGAGACGGCTCTTCAGTCCATGCTGAGCTTACGACCAAGCTTGCCTAAGTAACGGGTCACTTGTTAGTTCGTTCCTGTGTTGGCGCCAACTCACAGTCCGAGACTAGAGGCCACAGCTGTGGGTGGGCGATGAGCAAACAGGCGGGCACATAGGCGGTGAGAATAGGGCACGCTCAGGGGCAGGTGCGTGGGGCCCACTGAGAGCCGGGGGCTTGCTGAGTGGCTGCCAATGGTGAGGGGCTGGTGGGGAGACAGGCCAGTGAGGGGACAGCGAGGGGACAGTGGGGAGACGGCTGGTGGAGGAGCATGAGCAGTGAGGGGAGTTATCTGTGCGCCCTGCTTGGCATGGGATGAACAAAACAGCCACAGGTGCCGAGCCCGCTGGTGGGCACAGCATCTCTGCGGAGCTCCTGGAAATCACACTCAGCGCGCAGGAGCTCACCCTGTTTCTCCCCGTCCCCTCGCTCTCCCTGACGCTCCCCCTCCTCTCCTCCACGGCTCCACCCCTCCATCCAGTTCTGGGAAGAGAAGGAGCAGACCCTGCTGCAGTTCCAGAAGACCAAGGTGGACTGCGAGATCTACAGGGAGAAGGTGACCGCCCTGCAGAGCCAGGTGGCCGAGCTGCAGAAGGAGCGGGACCAGGTACCCGAGAGGCGGCGGGGCCGGGAGAACAGAAGCTGCCGGGGGCTGGGGGCTGGGGCCTCATGCAGTCCACACTGCCCCCTCCCCCCCCCCCCCCCCCCGCCCTGTGGCAGCTGGTTCCAGACTTGGGGTCTCTCCACTCCCTGCATTGTCACCTGCTGACATGCTCACCGCCTGAGACTAGAGGTCCCATGTAGCGCCTCCCTTCATTTCTGTGTGCACACGTGACACGATAGTGAACCGCGGCATGTGCCTGCGGGTGAGCCCAGTGTTGGCTGCCTCTTCATGCCCGGCTCCCTGTGTCCCGGCCCACACGCAGGCCTACTCGGCCCGAGATGCCGCCCAGGCGGAGATTGCCCAGAGCCTGGCCGAGAAGGATGCGCTCCGCAGGAAGCTGTTCGAGCTCACCGACCAGGGCTGCGACCTCCGCCAGCAGCTCCGCCAGCTGCAGGCCGGGTTGGCACCAGGGGTGAGTCCTGCCCTGCCGTGCGCCTGGGAGCGGGGGCAGCGTGTGCGTGGAGTGGGGCACGCTGGGAGGTAGGCTGGGCCCATGCGTGAGTCCTGATGGCGGGCGTTGGAGACTCCAGTGGGCAGCCGCTGCTGCTCTGCCTCTTCTTCCATGATGATGTCTTGCACGTCCTGGAAGGGGTGGCCCGACAGAAGGTTCTGGAACCTGTCAGGTGTGGGGTTGGGCTGAGGAAAGAAAAACGAAGCTGAGCTAAAACGACTATAAAAGCCCTAGTTATGGTCTGGCTGGCAGCACCAGCCCAGGCACCTGGTGTACGGGTGTGGGGAATGTGCCCCAGCCCTCTCCCTCACCCCTTCCCACATCAGCCGTGTGCAAAAGCATACATGTCTGTTAGAGCAGACTGACAGGCCGCACACTGCTGCTAACTGCTGTGTGTGCATGTTGGAGGGGGTGAATTTTTCCTCTCTGATTGGTCTGTCCCCCCATTTTCTATGTGCCGTATGTGTAGACACATGTACACACATTATGTACCAGGTGTGTAGCCAGGAAGAACTATGTGCATAGGGGTGGGGAACGTTCAGCCCATGTAACGCCCACAAAACCATTTGGTCTGGCCCTAACAAGGCATTAGGGGTGAGTTAATTAAATGTTTGACCGACCAAAAATCCTATATATCGATAATAAAAGGGCCATATGCAAATTGACCCTAAGGGTGGAATGACTAGAACGACCACCCGACCAGTCACTGTGAGGCGCACTGACCACCTCTCAGTCCCTTCTCCTGGCGGTCAGGCTCCGATTGCCCAATGGCGAACGGGGAACTGGGGGGGGGGGTAGTGAGGAGGGGTAGCGGTTAGGGAGGGGGGCATCTGCGGGCAGCCAGGGAAGATGGCCCTGGTCACAGGCCAGACCTAGGGACCGACCCGCGCACAGATTTCGTGTACCGGGCCTATATCAATAGTATATTTATATTGATTTCAGAGAGTAAGGGAGAGGGAGAGAGAAATAGAAACATCAGTGATGAGAGAGGATTGGCTGCCTCCTGCATGCCCCCCACTGGGGGTTGAGGCTGCAACCCGGGCTTGTGCCCTGACCAGGAATCAAACCGTGACCTTCTGGTTCATAGGTTGATGCCCAATCCCTGAGCCACACGTGCTGGGCACCGGCTGATTTTTAAGCTGACAGTTTTGTACAGCCTGTGCATGATGGTATACGTATCCAATGGGCCTTGGCAGGAAAACGGTTCCCACGCCGACGTATGCCCTCTCCCAGAAATGACATGCCGCTCCCCAAGCCCAGTGCTGTGCACCTGGTGGCCAGCCGGGGGTCCCTGGCTGGGAGAAGGCAGACCCAGGCTGGAAGCAATGAGAGAGGGTGGAGAAGGGGGAGGTGTCTGGGCAGAAACCCCGAGAGCATCCGAGGGGATCTTTCCTGAATTAACCAGCCCGTCTGGCGCCTTGGCAGCCCAAGCAGGAGGCGGGGCCGAGGGAGCCCTGCTGGAGGGGAAAGCAGCGGCTGGTGCGCATGTTCGCCATCTGCCCGCCAGACGACAGTGACTGCAGCTGCCTCAGCTCCTCCGAGGTACAGCAGTGCCCCTCCTCCCGGGGACAGGCCGTGCAGACGGAAGGGGGCCCGCACATCATAGGTGCTGAAGAGGGACTTAGGTGGCCAGGGCTGCATCCAGGCCCACGCTGTCCACCTGGCGTCCCGTGCCCCACTCAGCATCCTGCGCAGTCCACATCAGCACGTGACCCTCACTAGCCAGTCCCGTGGTCTCTCAGGGCCTCAATCGCTTTCTATGTAAAGTGGGAAGATTATTTTTATTTATTTATTGGGAGGACTAAGCGACATAAAACACAGGAAACAGCTAAGAGAGAGCTGGCACATAGTAGGTGCTCGACTAATGTGCCTGGCTGTGTGCTCCCCTTCCCCTCCCCTTCCTGTCCCCTCCTCGGCCCTCAGGTGGCCGAGGCTTCTTCCCTTTCCAGAGCAGGGAGGAGTCGTGAGCCCACGAGCTCGCGCCGACCCTGCCTCACCGTCCTCCAGTCTCAGCTCTGGTCGGACCTGAGCGCCACATCCAGCCGCGAGCTGGTGGACAGCTTCCGCTCCAGCAGCCCTGTGCCCCCCAGCCAGCTGTCCCTGTACAAGCGAGCCGCGGAGGACTTCCGGGAGGATCCTTGGTCCTTCAGGTAGAGAGGACGGCACCGGCGCCGGCCGACACGGGTCCCCTGGCAGCTCACCGAGGACGAGGGCCGGGCAGGTGCTGGGTGCTTCTGGCCCAAGCCGTCCTCGTCCTCTGCGCAGTGGCTTCTCGGAAACCCTGGAGGGGGACTGGAGAGCCTCCCCGGGAGCGAAGGCGGGTGACGCCGACCTGGATTACGAGATTATAGACAGAGCAGGTGAGTGTGTCCGCTGCCAACTCTGCAGCCGCCCACCTCCCCTGGCTGGGCCACAGAGCCAGGAGGAGACAGGAGGACAGGTCTCCTCGGTGGCCGGGCAGAGGGAGGGGAACTGGGACGCTGCCCTGACCTGGGCCCCTGGCAGTTCAGGCCAGTGCCAGCTGCTCTGTGCCTGGTGTCCTTTCCATTGTCTCCATGCCCGCTCAGCCCAGATGTTCAGACAGCTGCTTGTTCTGTCCCTCCTGCTCTGGACGCTGGGTGTTCAGGCTGCCAGGAACAGCACGGCGCCAGGCTGCAGTGCCCCTCCTGCTGGACAGGGCACCTGTGGGTGCCTCTCTCTCTTTCCCTGTGGCTTATGCCTTGTATCTGTCACACCCTCTCCTTCCCAAGCCGTGTGCCCCTCACGTTGGCCTTCTTCCCTTCCCACCCTGCACTCCTACCCCAGCCTTGGTCCTCACAGAGTAGGTGCTCAGCACCCCGCCTGGAATTCACCCTGTGGCCACCAGGGGGTGCACGCACCCATGCTGGCCCACAGAGGCAGCTGCAGTGGGCAGTGGTCACATGGCCAGAAACCTTCCTCCTTCCCGGGTCACTGGTGGTGGTATTTGTGACAGTGACCAATGGAGAGGGTGCGGCAGGGGAGCCAGCTGGCTGAGGCCAGGAGGAGAGGGTGCTTGCTGCTCCTCTTCAGTGTGATCCCATGTGATATCCCATGTTCACACTTTCTAGTGGAATTTGTCTCACATGCGCCAGCAGCGCCCAGTGGCCTCCACATGGCTGGGATGTAGTCAGGAACCGGGTTTCCTGTGAGCTGGGCACAGGCCGCCGTGGCAGGTGGCAGGTGGCAGGCAGCTGTCCGCCCTCTGCTGGCCTTTGGTCCTCCAGGTGGGCGGGCAGTCCACCAGGTGGAGGAACAGCCTCCACTCTCAGAGGGAAGCCGTCGCCTGGGCTGGGCCACCCAGGGACATCGAGGCCTGGGTCCGCCAACAGGAGCCTCCACAGCCAGCAGCTGGCGTGGCCTGGGGTAAGCGGAGCAGCTGGTGCAGGCGGCTGGCGCTGCTGTGCAGAAAGGCGGGCCCAGGTGCCATTGGATTTGACTGTGTGACTGAAGGTGGAAGTGGATTCTAGCTTCCCCATCTCATAGAACGTGGGCAATGTTCAGTCTCACAAAGGACACAGTGGAGGCCAAACCCAGGCAGGTGCAGCTCTCCACCCGCTCCTCCCGCTTATCCCTGGAGGGGAGAGAGGAGCCAAGGTCTAAGCAGGAGGAAGGAGGAGGACGAGAAGGTCAGCCTCAGCCGAGGGGGCTGAGGGGACTGAGGTAGCGTGCGGCGTTAGGGAGGCCGGCGAGGGGTCTGAGCCTTTGCTTCTGCCTAGACCTCCTAGAGTCTGAGCGCGGCCCACAGCTGGTCTCCAGGGGCCTCTGCGGCTCAGCCAGGTGAGTGGAGTGTGGCCGGGCCAGCAGGTGGCGGAGTGAGGGCTGATAGCAGGCGACAGCCTTTTTGAGGGAGTGATCATGGCAGGACAGAGGGTGGAGAATTCCAGAATGCTGGGTCTGGGGGCAGAGCCGGGCTGCACACGAGCTCCGTCGCCCCTTTCTGCAGCAGCGCCCCCGTGCGGCGGCGGCCGGCCCGGAAGCTCCCGAGCCAGGTCACGGTGCTGGCCTTCCAGGGGGACGCGCTGCTGGAGCAGATGAGCGTCATCGGTGGGAACCACACGGGCATCTTCATCCACCGCGTCAGCCCTGGCTCGGCGGCCGACGAGATGGCCTTGCGCCCGGGCACGCAGATCGTCATGGTGAGTGAGTTCCAGGCTTCCTGTTGCTGTTTTTAACGGTGTCTCGTCAGCTCCCATACGTGTGCATGCACGCCTGTGTTCAAATACACATACCGGCAAATCCACACTCTTAACTCTTTCAAACTTTCTGTTGTAAAATATTCATGATGCTGCAGAATACATAAATATACAACTTAACTAATCACCATCTAGTGACTACAGCAGCAGTCACTGAAACGTGAAATTTAAGCTTTTTAACAATTGTAAGAAATTCACAAAATAGGCGCCACCTGTTCCCAAGGAGCCCTTTCTCTGTGTCTCGTCAGTGGCATTGTGGTCACAGCCACAGAGCCCTTCATGGTGTGTGGGACAGTCCTGAGACCCGAACGGGGCAGTTCAGTTAAAGGCACGTGCTCCTTCTTATAAAGCGCCCTCTCCTTGCGTGAGCAGCGAGGGCGTGAATGGAGGGACCGTGAGAGCTGGGAGCTTTCACAGCGGGCTGGGGGTGGCAGCTAGCAGATGCCAGGGATGCCGCTGACATCCCACAGGGCCCGGGCGGCCCCACAGCACAGAGTGACCTGGCTCCAAATGGCAGCCGTCCCAAAGCCGAGAACCTGCGATCTGGAACGCTCTAGAACGAAGCTCCATTTTGGAGAGCAGACACGGTCCTGGGTGGTGCTCTCCGCATGCCGGTGGGAAGGGGTTGGTTGTTGACTCGGTGGGAACATGGGTGGCTTGAAGGAGCCAAATGCAGATGCCCCAGCTCAGGGCCTGGGACAGAGGCCCTGATGGGCTTGTGGGTGGCTGAGGGCGCGTGTGGGCAGCTGGGGGAGAGGGGTTGAGTGCAGATCTGCGCTCAGGCTCCATGCTGAGCCTGTCGATAGCGGCCCGCCCTCGTGGTTTGCCCCCAGGTGGACTGCGAGGCCACAGAGCCCTTCTTCAAGGCCGTCCTGCAGGGCGTGACCCTGGAGAAGGCTGTGGCTCTCCTCCGCAGGGTGGACGGCTTCTGCTGCCTGTCTGTGAAGGTCAACACGGAGGGTACACACTCCCCCCTCTCCCTCCCCCAGGAGCTCCCCTCTCAGCACCTGCACAGCCGCCCCTTCTCGACTCTGACCTTGGCCGTGCCTGCCCCAGCCCCCATGGCCTATCCCAGAGCCAGGCCGCACCCCCAGTCTGCAGAGGCCCAAGGCAGCTGGGACCTCTGACCCACTGACTCTGGCCCCAGGATGGCTCCCGGGACTTTGGGGCGGTACCTTCTGTCCCTTCTCCTTTCACGTTCCAGAACCTTCCTTCTGTGGATCACGGCTAGGACTGATCTGTGCTCTCTTACCAGGTTATAAGAAGCTGGTCCAGGACCTGGAGGCCAAAGTGGCCACCTCAGGGGACTCCTTCTACATCCGGGTCAACCTGGCCCTGGAGGGGCAGGCGGAGGGGGAGCTGCTGGTGCACTGCGGTGACATCCTGCATGTCACAGACACCATGTTCCAGGGCCGCGGCTGCTGGCACGCCCACCGCGTGGGCCCCTACAGCACCAGGGACACGGATGGCGGCACCATCCCCACCTACGCACGGTGAGCAGTCACCTCTGGGGAGGGGACCGCCGAGTGGAATCCCCATGTGCCACCCCCAAGTGGACAGGTTTGTTTGTGAAAAGGCTGGGCCTCGGTTCTAGAGTGTTTGGGTCAGCATTTCCACCTGCGGGCCCCGCTGCTGGGGGCTGCCTGGTCTCATGCTGGCCCCGAGCTGTGAAAACCAGCACTGTCTCCAGACGTGGCCAGTGTGCCCCAGAGGTGGATTGCAGTCACTGCGTGTGTCCAGGACTGTGTTCCCACCTCCCAGGACCCTGTCCTGGGACAGCTGGGGCAGGGCCCACCCCTCCCCCCAGCAGCATCTGCCTGCCAGGAGCATGTCCCAGGCCAGCCGGTGCCCACGGAGCATGGTGTTGGGTGGTGCTGCTCAGCTCCGCGGTGCAGGGAGGCCAGGAGCCACGTCCCACCCAGGCTCGCCCCGGCAGGTGCGGCCCCTCCGTGGGCTGAGGACTTCAGTCTCAGAGGTGCTACTGGGCGGGGTGTGGAGCCTCCTGGCAGCGTGTCTCCTCCTCGCAGGGCACAGCAGCTGCTCATCACCCTCCTGCGGGACCTGGCTCAGCAGAGCAGCTCCACCCGCAAGGTGAGGCCGCTGCCTGTCCTGGCCCAGCCCACGGGGAGGGGGTTGGCCCTGCCTTTCGCTGCCCCCTCCTCCCTGGGCTGGCAGAGGGGTGGGGCTGGCTAGGGGTCCTGTTGGGAGGGTGTAGGCTACTGATCTGAGGGGTCTCCCTGGGAGTCCCTGTGCCATGCGTCCTGTACACCTTTCTCTGGGCCTGCACAAGGTGCCTGGCCTTCAAGTTTCTCCACCTCGAGCAGAGGCGCTGGACATGCTCACCCAATAGCGCCCCTGCACCCCCTGTCTGGCCATCTGCACCCATTCCTCCCCCTGAGGGTGGGGACATGGTGTCCTCCCCACAGAGGCCACTCAGTGCCCTGATCGAGGAGCTAGGGCGCACCCCGCCCCCTGCCTCCGTCACAGTGGGTGAGGTGTGGGGACCGCCCTCACTGCTCTGCCCTGGGCGAGGGCCTCTGCCCCAGGACCCTCTCCTGCTCCCTTCTCCTCCCTGACACGGGGCCTGGGCTGTTCTGTGGGTACAGCCTGAAGGTCTAGGGACCAGCCTGGATCCCCCGGTGGGGCGGTGCCTGCCCGGCCCGGTGTGGACGGCGACAACTGGTTCCTTCTCCCTCCAGCCATCTCCTGGAGGCTCCCAGAGGTTGGTCCGTATCGTCACTGTGGACAGAACCAAGGCCAGCGCCCTGTGCTCATCCTTTGACGGGACCCAGTCAGGTAAGGCGAGGCCAAGGTGTTGGGGGGCGCTGCAAGCTGCTGGGCTGGCTCAGGGAGCCCCTCCTCAGCCGGAACAGGATGGATCCTGAGCACCATACTTGGCGCCGGGGTGCCTCTCTGGAGAGGTGAGCTGGGTGAGGTCTGAGGCCCCGAGGGAGGTCAGCACGGTAGCGCCACGGGGTAAAACCGAGTTATGAAGGCGGTGGGGCTGAGTTTAGAGTAAGCTCCATCCATCTGAGCTTAGTTCCTTCTTGAAAGGTCTTTTGGGTGCATAATATAGGGGGGCTGTGAGAATGGATAGCAACCTGAATGGTTGGGAGGGAGACGGGGGCTGGAGTGAGGGGAGCGTGAAGCAGGCGACCAGGTGGCGCTGGGGGCGAGGAGAGGGTGATGGAAGGGAGGAGGCCTTCTCCATTCTCCCTGTGGCCAGTGAGGCAGGTGGGATCGAATGCACTACCTGGCTGGGCCTGGCCGCCACAGGGCTCCGTGGCCACTGGCACGCAGGCTGTTCAGCCAGGGTGGGCGGGGACTCGGCCCTGGAGCCGGCACCCTACGTGGCCTCCCTGTAGGTGTGGGGGCTGTGCGGGTGCAAAGCTCAGCCCTGCTGCTGGCGGGGTCTGGGTCCGCTCACAGCTCTTCTCCCCCACAGACGCCTCCCCCAGGGGCTTCTGGGCCGAGAGCTGCGTCACCCTGGCGCCCTACACGCGGGTGCACCCCCGCAGGCCCAGCCGGCCCCGGCCCGTGCTCCTGGTGCCCGGCTTGGTCGGGAGGATCCTGAGTGAGAAGCTCTGCCTCCTGCAAGGGTTTAAGACATGCCCGGCAGGTGCGCTCCCCCGGGGCCCCACTGTGTGTGGGGTGGGCAAGGCCTGGGCAGCTGCCAGACGGGCTCCAGGAGAGCAGCGGGAGGCGCCACGAGGGCCCTGGGGCTGCCCGGCAGCTCACCACGCCAGCGTACAGCCTGGGCTCTCCTCCGGACTGAGGTGGCATGGGACCAGGTCTCCGTGGCCGCCTGGCGCAGAGGCTCTTGGGAGGGCCCCCCTCTCTGGCTCCTGGTCCTCAGCTTCCTGGCTTGTGTGCACCCTCCTCCCTCAGCCTCTGCATCACGTGGCTTCTCCCGTGTGTCTGTCTCTACGGGGGCTTCCTGTAAGGACCCAGCCCCCGGGTTGGGTGTCCTCAGGGGCAGCCTCTGAGTAGGAAGCGCAGGGTCAGGCTCACGGAGAGGACACCTAGGGAGAGCTCCTCCAGCGCTGGCGGCCCCGGGGGCAGGAGGTCCGGCGTGGGGCTCCCTCAGGACTCCAGAGGTTGGGTGTGTGACCTCCGTCCACTGTCCCCTCAGAGTGCTTGAGCCCGGAGGAGCGTGAGGCCGCCAGCCGGAGAGGGGACATTGTCCAGGCAAGGGAGGCCGCTGGCAGCCGCTGGGTGCCCCGCTCGGCCCTGGAGCGCCTCATGGAGAAGGTAGGGCTGGCGAGCGGGCTGCTTGGGGAGCGGGAACTGGCAGAGGGTTGGAGGCCGGAGGTGGGATCAGGGTCCCTGTGGCCTTGGGGAGTCTCTGAACTCCCTGGAGCCCGTTTCCCAAGGCAGGAAGCAGTTAGCATCATCTGTGAAGTGACTCAGTGAAGTGGAAGTAGCATTCATGTTCTAAGGCTCAGATACAGGCAGAGGTCACTGTGAGCTACCGTGTTACATGGATACAAGGCGGCCAGGCGGGCTGCCAGCGGAGGCGGCGCCCTGTGCCCACAGCCCCATGCCCTGAGGAGGCACTGCGGCCTCCTGGGGACTGGCCCGGGCACAGCCCCTCAGCCCAGCGTGCAGCTCTGTGCTTCCAGGTGCAAAGCACGCATGAGGGTGCTGTGTTGCTAGAATGACTGCTTTGTAAGTCGAGGCTACATTGGTTAACTTTATGTGAGTTTCAGGTGTCAGCATTGTAATTCCATGTCTGTGTACACGTTAGGGCGTTCACCATCAACAGTCTAATTCCATCCGTCGTCATACACTGGAACCTTCACCCGTGTCACCCTCCCAGCCTCCTCCTCTGTTCCATGTCTTTGGGTTTTGGGTTTTGCGCTTTGCTTGTTTTATGTTTTAAAATATATTTTAAAATTGATTTCAGAGAGGAAGAGAGATGGAGAGAGACATCAATGACGAGAGAGAATCGTGGAGCAGCTGCCTTTTGCACGCCCCCTACCAGGGATGGAGCCACACCCGGGCCTGTGCCCGGACCGGGAATCGAACTGAGACCTGGCTCACAGGCAGACGCTCAGCCCGAGTCATACCGCTGGCTGTTTGTTCCTTTTTCTGGCCTCACGTCTGCCGCTTGGCAGACACCCTGCAGGTGGATGGAGTTGCCAACGGCTGTGCCGCCAACACCCGCTGGCCCGGAGAGCTGTGGACTCTCCCGTCTCCTGTACCAACGCAGCCTGCCGGTCCCCTCGGCACCGCTTCCAGATGGCAGACTTGACTTGTCCCTCTTCTCCCCCAGAGCACCCACGCCCTCCTGGACGTCCCACTGGGCAGCGTGCGCGCCCTGCACAGCATGGAGATCTTCCCCATCGTCCTCCACATCGTCATCAACGAGAAGGCAGCCAAGAGACTCAGGTAGGTGCACCTGGGGCTGGTGGTCTTGTGCCTCTGGAGCATGTGACAGGATTCCTGGAAATGTCACAGGTGGGTCCCCCACAACTGTGGACAGAGGCTCCCTGCCCCCTGGGAAGCAGCCCAGAGGACAGCGAGGACTTGGCTCCTGCACTAAGGCCCGTCTGCTGGGGCCACAGGATCCCGCCCGCCTGGTGTCGAGGACCACGCTGGAGGCCATGCTTGTTCATGGCTGGGGAAAGCCCAGGTGTCCTGGGCCCTTTATAATTTGACACCTGAGGCTGTAAACTAGATGCCCAGCCCCGCCCGGCTTTGTGGTCTGGGGCCCTGTCTCTTCAGGACCCTGTGACACTGGCCGCTGCACCCAGGGGTGTTTGGTCCCGAGCTTGGCCGGTGCCGGGGCGCTGTCCCCCTGAGCTGCCTCTGGCCCCGCAGGAAGGCCCTGCAGCGGCTGGGTGCCTCGGAGGAGCAGCTCCTGGCGGCCAGCAGGCAGGAGGAGGGTGAGCTGGACAGGGCGCCCTGCCCCTGCTGCAGCCTGGCCCCTGAGGCCTGGGGTGACCTGGACACGCTGCTTAGCTGCGTCCGCTTTGCCATCTCCGACGAGCAGAAGAAGGTGGTGTGGACGGAAGAGAGCCCCCCGTGACAGATGCTGTGTCCTCCTGGCTGGTGGGCTCCGTGCCCTGTCCTATGGGTTCAGCTTGGGGTGCTCATCGCACACGCCCCCTCGGGTCCCCTCACTGGAGTCCGACAACCACCCTCACCATGTGCAGGTCACAGATGGGCACTCAAACTGTCTGCTCTTTTCTGCGTAAACCCTTTCCTCTCATCAGGGGTGACACCCCGAGGACGCTCCATGGGTGGGTCCTGGCACCCTCCCCAGAGCCGGAGGCCCATGTGTCCCCAGATAAATGCCTATCTGACCAACTTCTGAACTTTGCTCTGCATTTCACTGTGTCAGAGGCTCCTCCCACACCCACGGAGGTGGTGGGCGGCAGCACTGGTGGCTCAAGGCAGGTGCCCCTGCCCAGGCAGAGGTGCACGCCACCAGCACCAGCCCTGTTCTCTCGGCTATTGGTGCTGAAGCTCAATGACTCCCGTTTAGGGTGCTGGCCTCCTTCCCACCTCTGCCTGGAGAGGCATAGAGGGCGTGTCTCCACCCGGGCTGCACTCGGAGGCTGGCTGCGCCCTCCCTGGCAGGGGCGCGTGTGGCTGTTTAGGCTGTTTACCACTGAGGCTCGTCTCCAAGTGATGGACAGTGTCTTTGGTGGGTTTGTGCCCCCAGATCCCTCTGCAGGGGCCATGGCTCCTCCCAGACCCCTATGCGGGGGCCGTAGCTCCTCCAGGGCTGAGGACTGTCTCTACCAGTGTCCCCCTATCCCCCATCTCAGGCCACCGTGACACAGTTGGGTATTGCCCAGGGGAGTCCCCACCCCCCCCAGGCCCTCACCCGGACCAGCCACCCCTCACAGACTGAAAGTCCTGGACAGCAGCTCCCATCTGATGCTCAGGAAGCCGCGGGGGAATCCCGGGGGCGCTGTTGTAAACAAGCTCAGAAACGGACTTGCATGTTTTACTAAAATGAGCGTGTTCAGTGTTCTGGCCTGAGGCTTACTCTCGCCCTGAGGAGGGAGGAGATGGGGAGGGCGGGCGACAGGAGCCCCCATCCAGAGAGAAGGCCCTCTCCCCGCTTTCCCGGGCAGAGCCTCTGCTTCCACGCCAGGAGGTAAGGCCTGGAGCATTCGGGCGGCGTCTGTGTTAGACCTGTGTCCTCCTCAGAAGGGACCGGCCTGCAGACAGGATGGCATCCCTGGGCAGCAAAAGGATAGACACCCACAGGCTCAGACCTGCCGCTTAGAGCCAGCCGGGAGCAGTCCCCCCCCCCTCCCCCCCCCAAACCAGCCCAGAGCGTCCTGTCTTCGGGGCCAGAGGCCGATAAAACCAACATTGCACTCCCAGAGGGGTTGGACCCGCCTCCACCCACGTGGCGCTCACAGCTCCTCGTCTCCTCTCACGGGAAGGGCACAGACATCTGTGGCTCCGGAGAATGAGGAGGGTCCCGGGACCCAACCGAGGAAATGACCCCGTGTCCACACCTGTCCTGGGTCGCCTTGGAATGCCTGTGCTGGGACACGGCTCAGACATGGAGGCGATGTCCCATGGCACGGGGGAGACACGCCCTCTGTGCCCCTTCAGCAGAGGCGGGAAGGAGGCCAGCACCGGAGCGCCCTCCTGGGCTGCACGCGGAGGCGGCTGTGCCTGTGCCCGAGGCCGGCTGCGCCCTCCCTGGCAGGGGCGCGTGCGGCTCACAGCTCGTTGTGCAGGGGCCGGCACTGGGGCGAGAGCCTCTCCTCCAGGACCCCGTCAGGGGCGCACACCCAGGGGTCCTGGGTCTCCCACTGCCACTTGGCCAGCCGGGCCCGCAGCAGCTCCAGCGCCGGGGCGTAGTGCGGGTCGGCAGCCAGGTTCTGGGTCTCTCGGGGGTCACGGCGGAGGTCGTAGAGCTCCCAGCGCTCCCGGTAGTAGTAGCCGTGCAGGTCTTTGTACCAGCGTGTGGGCCGGCCGGCCGCCGTGCGGTTCAGCAGGTCCTGGAAGGTGGGCGACACGTAGAGGTCCTGGTCGATGGGGAAGGGCATCTTGAAGTGCAGGTTGTGCACCAGGCGCAGGGCCCCGTGCTGCACAGAGCGCATCGGGTAGAACATGGTGGCCTCGTGGTGGCTCTGGCTGCCGAAGACGGTGGTCCAGGCGGGCTCCGCGTCCAGCGCCGGCAGGAGAGACCGGCCAGTGAGCTGGACCGTCTTGGAGCCGAAGATGGCGTAGCGGGGGTAGGGGATGGAGAACCAGTCCAGCACGGTGGGCGTGAGGTCTGCGGGGGGGAGGGAGGCGCATCAGCTTGCCAGGCAGGCACGAGCCTGGGAAGCTGGTGGGCTGCCTCTCACCTCAGCACCAGCAGGGAGGTGCTCCGACACCCACCTGCTCCCGTTGCCTGCCTGCCTGCCACTTTGCGAGACTAACGTTCACGATCCTTCTAAGACTCTTCGGACCAGTGAGGCGGCCCACCCAGCTCATTGGCTCCTGCTCTGAGCTGCGGCCACAGCGTTCCCACAGGTGCTTTGGGTCCAAAGGGCCCGAGGGTGCTGCTGCCCTGACTCCTCAAAGCGGGGTCCCAGGGCCGCAGCATCGGTACCCCCCGGGAAAAAGCCGGAGCGCACTCTGAGGCCCAGCCCCGCCAACTGCGCCAGGACCAGGTGGGTGTCTGGACGGCAACACCTTCGCTCGGTGGGCTGGTGGGAGAGCAAGTCTAAAGATGGCGAGGCCTGGGCTACAGCCAGCGGGGCGCTTGCTCGCTGCGTGGCCTGGGCACTTATTCACCTCTCTGGGCCTCGCGGGCGGCCGGTGGGAACCACGGAAGGGAGTGTTGCGAACAGCCCGGACGTAGTGTCCCCACACTTCCCCCTTCCCGTAGGTGCAGGACCGTACCGAGGAGGCTCACGTAGGCCTCGCTGACCTGGCCCCAGCGTTGCGGGTGCTCCGGGGACGACACCAGCAGGGGCTCCGCGGCGCCCGGCCAGTACAGGTTGGTCCTGCCGCTGGGGAAGGGGATGCCGTTGTCGGAGGTGAAGATCACCAGGGTGTCGTTCAGGACGCCGGCCGCCCGCAGCTCCTGCAGCACCAGCCCGACCCCTGCGGCGCAGAGGGCACCGCTCAGGGCAGGCGGACACGGACTACTCCCTCCTCCCCACCGGTGCGTGCCCTCCCTCGCTCCTTCACCCGCTGCTGGGCCCTGTGCTGTCCCTCCCGCCAGCCTGGGCCTGGGCCTCTGCCCAGAACTCTGCCCTGCCCTCTGCCCCGGAGCTGGCGTGCAGGGCCTCCCTAGCCTTCCTCCCCACCCGCCCACCCACCGGGACACCGGCCCTCCCTTGGCACTTCCGTGTCACCCCGCACAGCTGCCACCGCTGCCCTGGGTGTTCTGGAATCTCAGGTCTTCCCTGTGGGGCTGACAGTCCGGGCAGGGCCGGAGTCAGGAGTCCCTCCATCCCCGCTGGCCCCAGGCTCCCGGCCCGCATGGGCACCCCCACACCCGGCTTCCTGGCCCACCTTGGTCCATGCGGCCGATGGTGGTGTACTGAGCGGCCAGGTCAGCCCGGGCCGCCGGGGTGTCGGGGACGAAGTAAGGCACCTGAGGCAGGTGAGTGGAGAGTCCACGTCAGTAGAGAGGCCGGGACCTGTCCAGCCCTGATCAGGGCAGGGGCGGGGCGGCCTCCTCCTGCGCCTGAATCCTCCTCCTGGGGATGGGTCAGCCCCCAATCCACGATGCTGGGTGCGTCACCCTTGCCCTCACGCTTCTCTCTGCAGGCCCCGCAGAGGGGACCTGGACCCAGGTCACAGGGCCACTTCCGAGCCGTCACACACCTGGGGCCGGGCTGCGAGCTCGCGGAGGGCCCCTACCTGCACATCCTGGGGATCGTAGACCTGTGGGGTCCAGTCTGGGATGCGCCCCATGCCGCTCTCCCCGTTGCCGAACTTCTCGCAGAAGGCCCCGTACTGGGGCTGGGAGTGCCCGCAGCGGTGGGGGTCGTGGAAGGCGACATACAGGAAGAAGGGCCTGCGCAGGGCGGGGCCTCAGTGCCAGGGCCTGGTGTGCGGCCCTGGGGAGCCCCTCCTGCAGGAGGAGCCCCTTGGCTTCGCCTGCTCCTGTCACTCAGTCTCCTGCGAACCTCAGTGCCTCCGTCTCCCCAGGGCCCGCTTCCTCTGACCAGGTTCACTTTAGCATCTGGAACCTTCTCCCCTTCCCTACTCCACTGTCTGGGGAATCCTCTCCAGTAAAGGTTCTGGGGTGCATGCCACGCTCACAGCCCCGGGCCGGCCTGAGGGGGCGGGGGCCTCCGCACCTGCCGTCCCCCGTCTGCAGGAACTCGCGGACCAGCAGCCGGATCCTGGTGACGTTACGGCCCACCTGGAGCACGGAGTCCGTCTCCTCCGTGTGCGCGAAGTCGAAGGGGAACACCGCCTCCGGCCCCACGTGCTTCTTCCCGATGATGCCTGGGGGCGCGAGAGGCCATCCGGAGTCCCCACGGCCTCCCAGTGCCCTCTGCGCCCTTCTCCGCCCAGCCCTGCCATGGCCTCCACGCAGGCTGCCCAGCCCCGGGCCCGGCCCGGAGCCCCAGCCCTGGGGACGGTACTCCAGCAGCCACCGGCTAAGGGTGGCTCCGGACAAGGCCAGCTCCGGGCAGGTGCGGAAGCCCTCACCTGTGCGCACGGCGGCGCGGCCGAGCAGCAGCGGCAGGCTCTGCACGCCCTCGAAGGAGCTGAAGTGGTGCACGCCCTGGTGCAGGCCGTACATCCCGTTCTGGTGCTGCGGCGGGACACCGGCCAGGACACAGTGAGCCGGGGGTGCGGGCCTGACAGCTCCTCACCCCGGCCCTTCACGGCTGTTTAGCCTTCAGGGGCCAGCGCTCACTCCTCACCCCCTGTGGCACGTCGGCAGGAAATGGATGACCGGGAGGTGCACCAGGCGTGACTTTCGCTGCCCTCTCCGCTCCCTGGACTGCCCCCTCTGCATGAGCTCACACCGTGGGAAGGGACAGCGCAGGCCTGTTACCCACTGCTCTGCGGTGTGAACTCGGGGGTGTTACCACTCCGACCAGAAAGATGCCCGCTGACCGCGAAAGGCTCCCCCTCACAGAGCGGCCTGTTAGCCGTCAGAGAGTCTGCTCAGGCCACAGGCCCCTCGATAGAGGCGCCTCCTCACGGCCTCCGCCTCGGGGACCACAGCGTGCAGCTGCTCACCAGAGGATGCCACGTGGGGAGTGGGGCATGGAAGGTGAGCACACCTAGGGGGCAGGGAGGGTCCCCCACCGGGCGGGCCCTGCTCCTTCCCCGCCTCACCTGGGGCAGGCCCGTGAGGAGGCTGGCGCGGCTGGGCGAGCAGCTGCTGACGGAGGTGAAGGCATGGCGGAAGACCAGGCTGCGCCGGGCCAGGGCGTCCAGGTGCGGCGTGGCGATGGCGCTGTTGTTGTAGGCGCCGCTCTCGAAGCCCCCGTCATCCGCTAGGAGGGGGACACGGGCACGGTGAGCTGGGCTCAGGGGCAGCCCATGTGGGCGGGAAGAGCTGGGTCCTGCAGCCGTGGCCTGGCCAGTGATGCTCAGGTGGGCAAGCTACCCAGATGGGCATCACCAAGTGGGCATGATACCTGGGTGGGCATTTTACTCAGCAGGCATGATACCCAAGTGGCAATGTTACCAGCTCAGTGTGAAAACCAGTGACCATGTTAGCAGGCAGTGCTCAGGTGGGCAGGGCGCTCAGGTGGGCAGGATGCTCAGGTGGGCATGGAGCTCGGGTGGGCAGGGTGCTCGGGTGGGCAGGGCGCTCATTTGGTCATGGAACTCAGGTGGGCATGGAACTCAGGTGGGCAGGGTACTGAGGTGGGCAGGGTGCTCGGGTGGGCAGGACACTCAGGTGGGCAGGGTGCTTGGGTGGGCATGGCACTCGGGTGGGCTGGGCGCTCAGGTGGGCAGGGTGCTTGGGTGGGTATGGAACTCAGGTGGGCAGGGAGCTCGGGTGGGCACGTTAGCAGGCAGGTGTGGTGGGGCAGCACTGGGCTTGGCACAAGGACAGGGATCCGTGGTCAGGGCTCCACTGGTGCCCCTGGGTGGGGCTGAGGGAGCCCCCAGTGGAGAGCCACCAGGTTCCAATGAGCGGAGGCCTGGCCACAGACCACAGGGCTAATCAGAGCCGCCTGGCCCGCGGCCAGCCCTCAGAAAAGGGGAAGAACTGCCTTGTGACAGCCCGGCCACCCGCCCACCGGGAAGTCTAACAGCAGCGGGACTGGGAAGTTTCGGGAGGGGATGGGGCTGAGGAAGGGGATGAGGGGGGAGCAGAGCTGACCCTCAGAGCTCTGGGGGTCAGAGAAGCGGCTGGGGAGACGGGAGCGCCCGGGCACGTTGGCCTCTGTGGATGTGGGCATCCGCCCCTCTCTGGCATCCCTGTGGATCTGTGGACCCCAGGTCGGGGCTCTGGACACAGGCGAGGTGCAGGGTCAGCGGGCCGAGGATTGGGGGGCTGAATGCGGGGATCCCAGCAGACCCCGCAGGGAGCGACACTGCCCGCCTCCCTCTCCTAGGAGCGACCACAAGGTGTGGGGCAGCAGCGGGAGACAGGCGGGCGGCAGTGAGGCTGCGGGGCTGGGGCAGCGCTGGCCGCTGTTGGGGGGCGACAGCGGGATGGGGGACATCGGGGCGCGGGGCGCACTCACCCAGGATTAGCAGCACGTGGCGGGAGCGCGCCCGGTGCGCGCAGCACAGCCCCAGGGCGAGCAGCAGCGCCCAGCAGACCGGCCCGGGGCGGTGCATGGCGGCTGCACCCATTCTCTGTCCCGGTCCCATCCGTGCTGGTCTCCCTGTGTCACGTGATGCCAGCGCCGCCCCGCGGGTCACGAGACGCCGGCTCCGCCCACGTCCCCGGGGCCCCGGCAGGTCTGCGACCCGTAGGGGCGAAGTGGGGTGAGTCTGCGGTGGGCGGGGTGGGCGAGCTGGTGCGGGCGCCTCCCGCAGGGACCCCGCTCCCCACTCACCACGTCCCTCCCCAGGTTCCTGCCGCCTTTGGTCTCGCGGGGGCCGGGGTGGGGGCAGGGGCTTCGGGGTGGGGGCAGGGGCGGTCCTGGAGGGTGCTGTGCACTTGGAGTTAGAGGAGGGGCCTCTGGTGTTTTTCCAGAACCAACTAGGACTTTTGGGGTCCCTCCAGGGGTTCCAATGCCACAAGTGGGGGTTGGGGCAGCCTCAGGTGGAGACGCCCCCTTCAGCCCAGGCAGCAGCCCCCTGAGTGGGAAAGCCTCGGGGTGCCCTGTCTCCCCCTTCCCCCGCCCCGGCCTCTCCTCCTGCCAGAGGGCTCCTGGGAGGGAAGTGAGAAGGAAAGTTCTCCCCGGGCCAGCCCTGAGCGGTGTTTGGGCTTCTCAGCCAGCGCCCTGCAGGGAGGGAGGATTCCAGGGAGAACTCCTTTGAGCAGGCTAGGAAGGAATGGGACTGGGGAGGGGGGAGAAGGAATACGGGGGAGAGGGATGGGGTGGGGAGGGGTGCTGAACAGGGATGTCGCCCCCCGCTGCCCCCTCCCCCTCCTGTGAGACAGGCCCCTGTGGCACTCAGAGCCTGTGGGGGGGGGGGCACCCTCTGCACAAGCTGCCTGTGCCTCAGACCAGCTGAAACGCTGAGGGAGGGGAGATGGACAGTGTCTCTCCCGACGCTCTGGACCCTTGCCCCGTGACCCGGTTCTTCGAAGCCCGTGCCCTGACTCTGTGCCCCCCACGCCCACACAGGCATGGCGTCTGGGAAGGCGATGGAGCGGGCCATGCCCTGGGCCCCCCACCCGGCCCCCAGGGCCTGCAGCTGCCCCCCTGCCGCCCTGCGGAGGTGGCTGCCCCTCCTGGCCTGGCTGCCCCACTACTCCATGCAGTGGCTGAGGATGGACCTTGTGGCCGGGCTCTCGGTCGCACTCACGGTCATCCCCCAGGCGCTGGCCTATGCTGAGGTGGCTGGACTTCCTCCCCAGGTGAGGTGTCTGCCCCGCTGTCCCCACATCCCCACCGCCTGGCCCCTCTCTGGGCCTCAGCGCCCGCCGGAATCAGAGCAGAAGTGCCTGGTGTTGCCCCCAGACTGGGGGATGGGGGTGGGGGGTGGGGGATGGAGGGGCGGAGGGTTAGTCTAGAGCCTGCGACTGCCTTTGGGCGCCTCACATGGCCGCGTGGCACCAGCAGGTCCTGGGCTGCGCGGTGGGCCGGCGGATGGCTTCGGAAGAGCGGTTCCGACTCGGACCCGGACACAAGCCCAGGCGCTGGTGCTCGTAGGCCGCTGGGAAATGCCCCTCATTGTGGCGGCTGAGAGGGCAGTCACGGCGCCCGGGCCCCTTCTCTCAGACATAGCCACCAGGGACCCCGTGACTCCATGACCCTGTGATGTGCCTCCTGGTGCCCATCGCTCTCCCCCCGACAGTACGGCCTCTACTCCGCCTTCGTGGGGTGCTTCGTGTACTTCTTCCTGGGCACCTCCCGCGACGTGACCCTGGGCCCCACGGCCATCATGTCCCTCCTGGTCTCCTCCTACACCTTCCGGGAGCCTGCCTACGCCGTGCTGCTCGCCTTCCTGTCCGGCTGTGTGCAGCTGGCCATGCGGTTCCTGTGCCTGGGTAAGGCTCCAGGCCTTCCTGGTGGGGGCTGTCTGGGCGGAGGGGGGGCGCGCTGCGGTTCTCTTCCTGGGCAAGCAACTGAGGCACCTGTCTCCTGGGGTGTCCTGCCCCCAGCATCGGAAAATACATGTTTCTATTGATTTCAGATTGGAAGGGGGTGGGAGAGAGAGAAACATGAATGATGAGAGCATCATGGATCGGCTGCCTCTTGCATGCCCCCTACTGGGGATGGACCACACAATCTGGGCACATGCCCTGATGGGGAATTGAACCGTGACCTCCTGGTTCATGGGTCAACGCTCAACCCTGAGCCACGTGGCCGGGCAGCTCTCAACACTTTCTTCTTGGCCTTTCAGGGGGCCATCCATGTGAGGGTCCCCGTGAGGGTGAGTGGGGCACCCCAGTGGGGCGCCCTCAGTCCCCCGCACTGCCCTATTCTGCTTAGGAGCCAGGCTGCTTGGAGAAGGGCCAAGGCCTCAGACCCTAGCTGGGCCACCTGCTCTCCAAACCTGCCAACGGGTGTGCACCCCTAGACTCAGCCAAGCCCCTCCCTCTTTACCCCCTCACCCCCCGCCTCCATGCACTGCGGCCTCCGGGACCAGCTCTGTGTCCCCCTTGGCTGCCAGGTTTCCTGCTGGACTTCATCTCCTGCCCCGTCATCAAAGGTTTCACCTCCGCTGCTGCCATCACCATTGGCGTTGGGCAGATCAAGGTAAGCCTCTGAGCAATGGACACGGCCTTGGGCCAATGGTGGTGGAGTCTGCGTGGCGGGGGGCGGGCCACTCACGACAGACACAGTTGCAAGCCAATTACATCAGGGCCTGCACGATGGGCGAGGTTGAGGTCCTCCAGATTGGTTTTCCTGGGATCTGAAGACAGTGACCCGAAGGCTGTGCAATGCTCTCCCCTGGGGTTCACTTTAATCCGTTTTTGGGGTGTGGGCATGGGCAGATGGTCCCTGGGACTCATGAGATGTGTCCCCAGGAAGGCCCCCCGTGGGCGGGGCCTCAGGCCTCACTGGGGAAGGGAGTCTAACCAGCGCCTCTTTGACCAGAACCTGCTGGGACTGCAGCGCGTCCCCAGACAGTTCTTCCTGCAGCTGTATCACACCTTCCGCAGCCTCGGGGAGACCAGGTAGCCTGCCTGCCTTTCTCTGCCCCCCAAAAGGAAGGCCCCCCCACACCCTGCTCCCGGCCCCCCTCCTCCACTCTGGGGCTTGCTGCTCAAACGGTTCCCTAGGACAGCGCTGTCAGCCTCACTGGGAGCCCAGAGCTGCTGAGTCAGCCAGGGGCGCTGCAGGGGTCAGAGGTCAGCTCCAGCAATCTGAGGTTGGTGTGACCCATGCTGTGCCCTCTTGGGCAACAGTGGGAAGAGACGGTGAGATAGAGCAGGACCAGGCCCCCTCTGAGAAGGGCCGAGTTCAGTGCGGAGGGGGTGCAGGTGAGAGGACGACAGGAGCGCGTCCCGCTGAGTCCAGCTGGGAGCCGGGACCCCCTGCGGGAAGCAGGGCAGGAGGGATGTGCAGGGCGGCGGGGACCGGTGCTGAGGCTGGAGGTGCGGGAGGCGCTGTGGCTGTCCTCTCCTTCCTTCCTGATGGGGCCTCGGGCTGATCCCCAGAAGCACAAAGAGCCACTGAGAGGTTCCCTGCAGGCGGTCACCTGTGGGCCAGGGCGCTGGCCGCTGGCTGGCGGCCGTGACAGTGTGACGGCGTCTGTCCGCAGGGTGGGCGATGCCGTGCTGGGGCTGGTCTGCCTGCTGCTGCTGCTGCTGCTGCGACTGATGCGGGCCCACGCGCCCCCCGTGCACCCCAACACGCCCCCCGGAGTGCGGCTCAGCCTCGGGCTGGTCTGGACGGCCACGACCGGTGAGGGCCTTGTGGAGGCCAGTCCCACAGCTGGGCCCCACCACCTGACCGGCGCCTGGGGGCAGGTGCTGGGTGGAGCCACCTGGAGGTTCTCCCTCCCCGTCCGGGCGTGGTTCAGGCCTGGGGCGTTAAGGTCCTCGGGTGGTCCTGCTGTGCAGTGGGGCGGAGGGCACGGCTTTGCCTTGGGGGTCTTCCACCAGCACCCTGTCTGTCCCCAGGGTGGAGCGTGAGGGGGTGTAGCTGGGCGGCTCCCGCTCCTTACCCAGAGGAGCCAGCTCTCCTCACACGGCTCCCCTCCTTCGCGCAGCCCGCAATGCCCTGGTGGTGTCCGGTGCCACCCTGATGGCGTACTCCTGCGACGTGGCCGGCTACCGGCCTTTCGTCCTCACTGGGGAGATCGTCCAGGGGCTCCCTGCGGTGCGGGTCCCCCCCTTCTCATTGACCACGGCCAACGGGACGGTCTCCTTCACCCAGATGGTCCAGGTGGGTACGGAGGGGGTCTCGGGGCCTGGTTCTGTCTCCTAAGCACCCGCTGGTGGCAGGCCCCGAGCTCGGCGGGACTGCCTGTCCTCGGGAAGGGGTGTCTGTGGGAGCAGGGACAGGTGGGGACAGCCAGATTGGGCACAGCCTCAGGGCCTCACGTTGGTGTCTCTGCCGCTACACACGGTGGAGGAGTGTGCTGCGTCCACACCCGGCCTGTGTGAGCTCACAGCCCTCCACCCAGTGCGCGTGCCTGTGGGAGCCGGTGTCTGCGCTGGCTTCACAAGGCAGGATTCCAAGATACCCCTCTGCCCCTCCCCCTCAAGAGAAACAAGACAACAAAAAGGTCAACAGAAACACAAACGGAAGGGACACTGGTTGGACCCGTTACCAACCGGCGGTGGTGCGACCCTGAGCGGTGGGCGGGTTGGCGGGCGGCATCGGGAGGGGACGCCCCTTTCCTTGCCCTGAAAGCCTGTGTTGGCTCCGGGCGTATGCTTCCCTTCTTCCCTCCTCGGCCCCTTCCTGCCCTTGTTTTTATTATTATTTTTAATGTTCATTGATTTCAGAGAGGAAGGAAGAGAGAGAAACATCCATGATGAGAGAGAATCATTCATCAGCTGCCTCCTGCACGCCCCCCGCTGGGGATGTGCCCGGAACCCCGGCGTGTGCCCCTGACCCGAACCAAACCGGCAACTTCTTGGTTCATAGGCAGATGATCCACCGCTGAGCTGCACCAGCCAGCGGGAGAGGGGGGTCCTTGGAACGGACATTCCTGAGGGTCCTTTCCTGCCCTGCGAGTCACTCCCTCCCTCTCCCCTCAGGACATGGGGGCCGGGCTGGCCGTGGTGCCGCTGATAGGCCTGCTGGAGAGCATCGCCGTGGCCAAGGCTTTCGGTAAGATGCCGCCTGCCTGCCCGTCGGCTTCTGCCCGGCACTCACAGACAGGCACCGCGTGCCCCTGCGTGTATGCGTATGTTTACGTGTGTTTACATTTATGTTTATGTCCCCGGACCGAGTGCTGCGGGCGGGAACGTGTGGCTGGTTTTTCGTTTCCTGAACGTCTTCCTAGCGAGGTCTTCTCTGTGGTGACGGGTTCTTATCGTTCCTCCCCTTCAGCGTCTCAGAATAACTACCGCATCGACGCCAACCAGGAGCTGCTGTCCATCGGTGAGGCCCCCTGTCCAGTTGGGCGGATGGCGGTGAAGCCCGTCGTGGCGGCGGCGTTAGTGTTGGCTCCTGTTTCCTCTGGCTTCACTGCGTCCGCCCCCTCCGCCTGTTCTCCCTCCATGCCATGCGCCTTCCCTCCCGGCGACCCTCTCCCGCTTGTGTGCAGGCCTGACCAACGTTCTGGGCTCCTTCTTCTCCTCCTTCCCGGTCACTGGCAGCTTCGGACGGTGAGTGCCCGCGCTACTTGTCTGAGTCCCTGGGAGGTCCTGGCCGAGGCCGAGGGTCCTGTCGGCTCCCCGATCAGCTTCCCTGGGTGCGGCCGGCTGCCGGGAAGGGCTTCCGTGGCCAGGCGCACACAGCAGGTTAGTCCCAAGGGGTGCAGCTGGCAGAGGCGCGGTGCGGCGTTGGGGGTGGACGAGGCAGCACTGTGCTGGGCTGCAGTGGTGCCGGGGCTCTGGGCGGAGAGCTCCTGCATTGGGGGTGGGTGCGGGGCTCCCAGCAGGCCACGCGGCGGAGCCAAGAAGGAGGCCTGTTCCCGCCAGGCCTGCCCCAGGAGCCCACAAGGGTTTGGTGTCCGCGCGGGTGCTTGAGCTCACAGGATGCACCACGTGTACTGTGTATCTGCACACGTGCCGTGTGTGGGTTAAGTGGGACCCCCCCTGACAGCTCCGTCAGTTTTTCTCCGTAAAAGCAACACCCCCACCCTTCCCCAGGGCCCGGGACCCCAGGGCGGGTGTGTCATCAGTAGACACGCCCAACCAGGAGGCCCCGAGCCGAGGGCAGGGGCTGGCAGCGTGGCTTCTCCCGGGGCTGCGCTCGTGGCTGGCAGGTGCCGTCTTGCTGCGTCCCCAACGTGGCCATTCCCGTGTCGGTCCTGACCCGTCTCCTTAGGACAGCAGTCGGGATGAGGGCCTTGCTTAGCGGGCTCAGCCCTTATGGCCTCAGAGGGAGGGCACCGCAGCCAGTGGGAGGTGGATCACTGTGCCCTGGGTTGGTTCCCCTTTGTTAAGGGGACCCTGAAGCTCCGTTGTGCTCCTAAGCCTCGGGGGCAGTCCTGTCCCTGGGGACCAGCTGCCTAAGTGGACCGGCTCCCCATGCTCTGGCCGCCACTGATGGCCTCCATGTCGCCTTCAGGACGGCCGTGAACGCCCAGTCGGGGGTGTGCACCCCTGCGGGAGGCCTGGTGACAGGTGAGCCCCCACACACTGCACCCCCATGTGCTGAGGCCGGGACATGGGAGGAAGGGGCAGGAGGATCGCGGTGCAGGCGGCCTCTCCCGCTGCGTCCCCGTTGGGCTCAGGCCCCGGTCAATGGTGTTCCCCCAGGGGTTCTGGTGCTGCTGTCGCTGGGCTACCTGACCTCACTCTTCTACTACATCCCCAAGGCCGCGCTGGCGGCCGTCATCATCATGGCCGTGGCCCCGCTGCTGGACGCCGGGGTCGCCCGGACGCTGTGGCGCGTGAGGAGTACGTACGTGGCTCCTCTGTCGGCGTAAGGCCATCCCCTCCGACCACAGCGCCGCCGGAGCTGGAGGCTCACGTGGTTCTGGGAGGTGTCACCCCGGGGTCAGGGGTCAGGCTGCCTTAGGCCCCAGAGTGCCTTCAGCCCCAGCAGGGGAGCGGGGTCTCCCCTCCTCCTGCCCTCCCCCCGACCCGACACCTGCCGAGGAGGCCTCAGCGCACCCCTCTCCCCAGGGCTGGACCTGCTGCCCCTGAGCGTGACCTTCCTGCTCTGCTTCTGGGAGGTGCAGTACGGCATCCTGGCGGGCACGCTGGTGTCCCTGCTGATCCTGCTGCACTCAGCGGCCTGGCCCAGCACGCAGGTACCGCCCGCGCCCCCGCCCGCAGCCCTGCTCTGCGCTGGAGCTTCCTGTGCATTTGTGGTCCAGGCACTGCTCTGCCGGCTGCGGGAGGGACCACAGCTCCACTGCGCAGAGGGGGGGTACAGTGCAGGCTCCAGCGACTGTGCCCCAACCCTCATCCTGGCCCGCTGCCCCACCTGAGGTGCCGCCAGGACTCATGGCCCCCCCACCCTGTGCCAGGTGTCTGAGTGGCCGGTGCTGGTGGTGCAGCCGGCCGGCGGCCTGCACTTCCCCGCCATTGAGGCCCTGCGGGAGGCAGTGGTGAGCCGCGCCCTGGGAGGTACGTGGGCCAGGGAGGGATGACTCCCTGTGTCCCCTCCACACCCGGCCTGCTCCCGGGCCCCAGGCCCTACCCTCAGTCAGGGAGGAGGTCTGGGCGTCTCAGCTGTGTCCCCCGGGCCTAGCCCCCTCACTCCCGGCGCCCAGTGAGGGTGGCATTTCCCTGGCATTGTCCTGAGCACCTGCTCCCTCTGGGACTTGGGGTTCGGGGAGAGGGGCCGGTTCTCCCTCAGAGGGAAGCTGCTGTTGTCGGCGGGCCCCCTGCCTCCTCCCGCCAGGCCACGCCCGTGCCTCATCCTCGAGGTGTGACTGCCTGCGCATGTCCCCACAGTGTCCCCGCCGCGCTGCGCGGTCCTGGAGTGCAGCCATGTCTGCAGCCTCGACTACACAGTGGTGCTGGGGCTCCGGGAGCTGCTGGAGGACTTCCGGCGGCGGGGCCTCACCCTCGCCTTCGTCGGCCTGCAGGTGGGTGTCCCTGAGGCCGGGCTATCACTCCTCATGTCAGGATGAGGGGGTTGAGGCCCAGAGAAGCTGAGTAACCTGCCCAAGGCCACACAGCGAGGGTGGTGGCCACGCATGCCACTCAGGCATCTGGCCTCAGGGTTTTGCGCGTGACTGTTAGATTCTGTGTCTGTTTGCAAGGCACCTGTCTGTGTTTTTTGTGCTTACTTAGAAACATTTCTCTTTTCTTAAAAATATAATTCGACTAGAGGCCCAGTGCAGGAAATTTGTGCACTGGTAGGGTCCCTACCGGCTGCCAGCCGCTGACTGGGTACTTCCTTCCTTCCCCTGATCACCTGATGCTGCTGCCATTGCTGGGACCTCCCTGCCTTCCCCTGGACGGCCCCACCCCTGGTCAAACTCCTGGTCAATTTGCACACTACCCTTTTATTACATAGGATTGATTTCAGAGAGGAAGAAAGAGGGAGAGAGAGATAGAAACATCAATGATGAGAATCATTGATCGGCTGCCTCCTGCACACCCCCCACTGGAAGTTGAACCCACAATTGGAGCCTGTGCCCGACCTGGAATTGAAGCATGACCTTCCGGTTCATAGGTTGATGCTCAACCAGTGAGCATGCCAGCCTTTCTCTTAACACTGTCCCCGTCCACGGAGGCCTGGTCTGTGCTTCGTTTCCCTGAGGGGGGTGCTGGTACCCACCCGGGGACTGTGAGAGACCGTGCTCGTCTATGGGCGCCAGGTGGCCTGCCCCGTGGCCACAGCGTGGCGTCCCCACCTGGCGCTGACCTCTCCGTCCCCACAGGAGCCTGTGCGCCACGTCCTGCTGTCCGCCGACCTGAGTGTCCAGCACTTCCCCAGCCTGGAGGAGGCAGGTGGGTGCCGGCGAGGTCACCGTGGACTCTGGGCTTGGACGCTGCGTCCGGTTGTGGGGCGCGAGGGTGGGGATGTAGGGCCCTCCGGGCGGGCGTTCTATTTTTCTGGGCGAGGCTCAGGTTGAGGTGCGGCTGGCACAGGGAGTCGCAGAGATCACAGACTCCAGTTGGGCTCTGAAGGGCCCTGCAGGGCGCCTGTGGGCGCAGGAAATGCTGTCACTCTGAGCTGCCCTACTTCCCTTCGCCTCGAGCGCCACGGAAGGCCCAGGACCCTGGTCGTGTCTGGTTTCTTGGCTCCGTGTGGCACCGAGAAGGAGCAGCACTGAGGGCCCTCCACAGGAGGGGGTTCTGGGGGAGAGGCGGGGATGACAGGCAGGTGCAGCCACCACTCAGAAAGGGCCACTGTGGTGTGGACAGAGATGCAGCGACAAGGGCGTGCATGCCGCTCAGGGACCCAGAAATGAGTGAGACCTTTAACCCCATCCTGTGAGCTGACCTGTCTCACTGGTGCTCATTCAGCACTTAGAAATATGTGTGTTTGTTTTTAAAAATGTACTTGTATTGACTTTAGAGAGGAAGGGAGAGGGAAACATAGAAACATCAATGAGAGAAAATCACGCATCAGCTGCCTCCTGCACACCCCCTACTGGGCAGGTACCTAATCAGGACTCGAACCAGAACCTCCTGGCTCATAGGTCGGCGCTCAACCCTGAGCCACGCCGGCTGGGCAAAAACTGTTGACTTTTCTGCAGAGAGATACTTGAATCAGGAGCCGGGCGCCCAGCCCCACAGCTTCAGCGACGACTCTGTCCCGGAGCCCTCGTTGCCCTGCTGAAGGCCGAGTGGCCGCGGGCAGGGCGGCCGCGGTTCGGAGAGCCTCGCAGAAGGTTCTCATGGGGCGAGGTCCGAGCTGCGCTGGCCCGAGGGTCTGAGGAAGCCGGAGCGGGACCTGGAGGAAGGTGGACACGGCCTCACTGGCGTCCCCCAAGACGATGGAAGCTTGACCTCCTACTGACCTGGGGCGGAGCCTTTGTTTGGAGAGGGACTTCTAGAAAGACAGTCTGGGCCAGGAAGAGTCCCCACAGCCCAGCACCTTCCTGGCTTGGGGGGCGGGTGGGGCAAATCTCCTGGGCGGTGCTAATCCCTCGGCCCCCCCCCCCCCCCGTGCTGTCCTGGGGGGAGCGGGGGTGCAGTGCCTGGTGCCTGCTGAAGGGCCGGGAGACTGGACTGCGTTGTTAATCCTCCTGGGAAGGTATTTTCCTGTTGACTTTTGGAGCAAGTGGAAGGGAAGGGGCGAGACGGAGAGAGAAACAGCCATGCGAGAGAGACACGTCGGCTGGCTGCCTTCCTCACGCACCCGACCAGGGCCGGGCTGAACCTGCAACCCAGCGACGTGCCTTTGATTGGAGTCTAACCTGACCCTTCAGTCCTCGGGCTGACACTGCCCACTGAGCCAAACCAGCCAGGGCACTTTTGCTGGTTGTTGTTTTGTTTTGTTTTTTAATTAAAGAAAAGTAATAACCTTAATGGTTTGGTAAAAATCAAATGCTCATTGTGAAAGCTGCAGGAGCCCTCCCCTGGCCTGTGTGGGTGAGCCTAGCGGGGGGGGGGGGGGGGGGGAGGGGAGTATGGGGGACCCCCACGGTGCTCTGTGCTGGCTCCCTGCAGTCCCTGCGATGTGGTGTTTACTTTGTTTTCTGTGGCTGAGGCTCTGCATGTGTCCATTTCCCTTCTGGGCCTCTCCGCGCACTGTCGCCGGGCAGCATGGCAGGGCAGGCTGGAAATCCCCCTTCGGAGTCACACCAGGGCCGCTGCGCTCCTGGGCAGCTGGGAGCTGCCTCCCCGTGCAGACAGACATCTGGGTCCCTGCGCAGACGGCTGTGGCGCCTCAGCATCCCTTGTCCCTGACCCTTCACGTCACACAGATCAGAGGGAGCAGAGGGCTACCGCGGCCTGGCGTGTGGCCGGCACTGAGGTAGTGGCTGCTGTTCTGGAGGGACCTGTGACGGGACGGCCAGAGCCTGAGGCCCTCGGGGGTCACCAGGCAGAGGAACTGGTACTGGCACCAGCTTTGGGGAGAAGGAAGAGCTGTCATTGCAGAGATGAGCGCAAGGAGACGGGGCGGGCTCAAATCCCTCCCCATCCACGGTTTGGGCGGGATCTAGGGGCTTCAGCACCGGGTCTCCCTGGACAGCGCCCCCCAGGGTTCCGGCTTGAGGTTCCTGTGGCATCTGTTCTCATGGTTGGGAGGGGGAGGGGAGAAGCAGTTAAGGGCTCACACATGTCACTCATAGGTTATGATCACACATGTCCCATGTAAGTGGGGTAAACTTGGGTTCCGGATCTCGTTGGAGGCAGGACAGGACCAGTTTGAGCTGGTTCTGAGGCTCCACGGCCTGTCCATAAGTCTCCACCATCCTCCGGACACTCATTGGGGATGCCACCAGCCAGCAGGGGTCCGGGCTGCGGCTCCCGCTCCCCTGGACACTGCGAGCAGGTCTGGACTTTCCCTTGGCCTGCTGGCCCCCCCCCCACAGGGCCTCTCCCGCTAAGACCAGAAGGCCGCCCCACTTCAGTCCGCTCCCGCCCAGGACGGACAGCTTGGTGGCCAGGGACAGGCTGCACCGCCCCCGCCCCCCACCACCTGTGCACCCTTTCTTTCTGGCAAGCTCTGCTGGAAGACTACAGGGTGGGCGCTGACTGGGCCAGGTGAGCTAGATGGAGGTGACTGGGTACCCGCCGGAGTCCACGTCCTCGGAGGCTGTGTGAATGCAGAACATGCCCCTTGACCTCTGCTGGGGCCCCGAAACACTGTGCAGTCTGCAATTGAACCCAGGCCTTCTGGTTCATAGGTCGATGCTCAACCCCTGAGTCACACCGTGGCCGGGCAGTAACAATCACTCTAATTAGCGTTTGTCGCCGCAGGGGGTGCCAGGCCCCCCAGGAGTGCCCTCAGGCTGCGCTGGTTGGCGAGAGGAAGGTGAGGCGGAGGAAGAGCTTCGCACACGTGGCTGGGCGCTGGCTGTGTTGTTGTTGCTGTTATTATTATTACTCAGCCCTGGGTGTGGGACCACGTGCTCACAGACAAGAAACAGGCTCAGAGCAGGGTGGGGTGACAGACCCCGGCCTCTTGGGTACCAGTGACCAGGGGGCCTGCGTGGGCGGCAGGCGTCACTGCCATTTTGGTTCACTCACTGGACACCAGGCTGCCATAGGATGGGGCTGCAACCTCCCCTTGGCACCCAGGTGGCCTGAAGCTTGGCTCAGTGACCCGCCTGGCAGTGTGGCCCTTCTTCCACTGCCACTGGCTCTGCAGGGGCGTGGGCACCGTCCAGGGTGCTGGGCTGGGGACCTGCGCGCATCCCCCACTTCTGCTGCCAAGGGCCCGGTATCAGGTCAGCGAGGCAGGGTGGCTGGGGGACACCGGGGTGCAGACTGGCTGGAATCAGTGCTGCCCCTGAGGCCTCTTGGCAGGCAGTGCCCCGGCACAGGTCCACTGGGGGGCGCCACCGGCGGGGACATTCTGGCCACACCCTCGGCAACCCTGCAGCACTGCCAGAGGCGTGAGGAGGGCGGGACTGAGCCTGAAACGAAACCAAGTAGCCTAGCGAGGAGGGCGCAGGGGTGGGGGCTGGGGGCCCGCAGGGGGTCTGGGTCGCAGCAGGGGCGAGCTGGGCAGTGGCTCCTGCGTCCAGATGTCTGTCCCTCACCATGCCCTCCCCTCTGTCCCCTCTCCTCCGGCCGCCTCTTCCCAGGGCGCAGGTTTCAGTTTCACAGCCCAGGCCCCGCCCCTCCCCGCCCTCGGGCAGCGCGGGCAGCAGGCATTCCGGGGCGCAACACCCCTGGAGGCCCAGCCCCCCTAGGAACTGGGCGGCGCCTCCCCAGGAATCCTGCCTTTTGGCTAACTGCAGTGACAGAGAAGAATTGTCCCGGAAACATAGTAACTTCACAAGAATGGCAGCCTACCCACCTCCCCCAGCGCCCCAACAGGACAGGACTGCCTGGCAGGGCTCAGGGCCAGGGGCACCTGCTTGGTGGCAGCCTTGAGAGCCAAGCGGGTGGAGGGGGCACAGGATGAGGAAGAGGCAAGATGGTAGGGTCTGCACCCACTGCAGCCCCACCCACTCAGCCCCTGGTCTTCCGGGTGTGGTTGGGGGGCTTGAGCGTGGCACAGCTCAGCAGTTGGAAATAAAGGGGAAGGAAGGCCTGGCAGCTGGTTGGTAGAGAAGGCCGTTGGGGCTTCTGGGCTGTGGGAGGAAGAGCCCCGGGGAGGACAGCATGGGGAGTGGAGAGGCCTGGGCTGTGGGAGCCATGGAAGGTCTTGGAGTGAGAGTGCCCAAGCCACGGTGGGGGTGGCTTCCGGGCTGCGGTGGGGAAGGCGAGATGGAGGCCAGGGCTTGGTTGTGGCAGACAATGCGGGGCACCCCACAATCAAGGGTCTCCGGCCTTGCCCTGCCCTCAGATTACCATCTGCTGGAGACCTCGCCCACAGTAGCAGCTGCCCCTCCCAGAGCAGTGAGGGAGGCGGGGCCGCAGCGGGAAGGACTAGCCTGGGGCAGGCAGACCTGGGTTCCAGCGGCTGAGACCCTGTCCTCTCCCCCTGGGAGCGGGGACCCTTGACCTGAGTTTTTCCTTGGCCTGGACGAACGTGGCCCCGCCCATGCTCTACGCTGCCCCCACTTCCCCCACAGCGAGGGAGACTGGGATTTGTAGGTGGCAACCCCTGCCCATTAGCAGGCCCCTGGCTGGGGCCCCGCAGCCCGTGCAGGCGTCCCTGGGGCCAGCTCTCTGTGTGGCCGCCAGCACGTCCCGTCCCTGGTGCTGTCCTGCCCGTGGACTCCGCCTGGATGCCTCACCTGGGAGCCAGGGCTTTTGTCCTCTCAGCACCTTGCCCTGGGCATGCAGTGGGCACCTTGCCCACAACTCTGGGGGTTTTGCATGCGCCGTGCCCTCCGGGGGCCCTCCCCGCTCCTACCCGCCCCTCCTCAGCCCCCGGCCCCAGTCTCAGTCTCAGCCTCAGCCGGAAAGCCTCCCTGGGAGGTGGAGAGTGCAGAGCCGGGCTGGGGGGCGGGGGCGGAGCAGCAGCAAAGGAAGTGGGTGCCAAGCAGGGGTGGGGGTGGCGGACAGCAGGGACCTGGATGGAAGGACGGAAGGAGGCCAGGCGGTGAGCTGCAGGGGAGGGGCTCAGCTGAGTTTCGAGAAGCTGGGACCTCCTGAGCTGTTTGCGATTTCACTTCCCAGAAAATGAAACTGAAGCGGGCCGGGGATCACGTGACCGGCGGCTGGGAATAAAGGCAGCCGCTTCCTAGGACTGCGCTTCCAGCCCGCGGGCACAGCCAGAGGGAGGCATGGAGTGTCCTTCCTGCGGCCATGTCTCCAAAGAGGAAGCGCCCAAGTTCTGCTGCGAGTGTGGGCGCAGGCTGCCCGCTGCCGCCCCCGCCCCCGCCCCGGGTAAGGCTGGGGTGCCGATGGTGGGGGGCATGTCAGCCTGGTCCTGCCTCCTTTCCTGGAGTGGAAACCTAGGGCTGGCAGAGGCACGTTCCTGAGCAGCTCCGCCCTGAGCAGCTCTGCGGGCTTTTGCTGGAGGCACCTGCCACTTCTTCAGAAATCCCATTTCATTTCCGGGAGAGAAGGAGGTTCCCTGCCCCTTGGGAGCAGGAAGTGTGGCTGAGCTCAGGGTGGGGTGTTCGGAGGATGCCGCATGAAGTGGGACCCCAGGCATAGGGTTGAGTGAGGTGTCGCCTGGCGAGGGTGGCCAGTGGCGCCTCAGGGTGTCATAGCCCCGGCAGGTGGGTCTCACCCGCTGACTTTCCCACTGGGCATCCTGATGCCTCCTCCCTGTTGGGCTGTTGTCCTGCTCCGTGGGCCCTTCACCTGCTCCGTGGGCCCTTCTCCTGCTCCGTGGGCCCTTCACCCGCTCCATGGGCCCTTCACCTGCTCTGTGGGGCCCTCACCCCCTCCGTGGGGCCCTCACCCCCTCCGTGGGCCCTTCACCTGCTCTGTGGGCCCTTCACCTGCTCCGTGGGCCCTTCACCCGCTCCGTGGGCCCTTCACCTGCTCTGTGGGCCCTTCACCTGCTCCGTGGGCCCTCACCCGCTCCGTGGGCCCTTCACCTGCTCTGTGGGCCCTTCACCCGCTCCGTGGGCCCTTCACCCGCTCCGTGGGCCCTTCACCCCCTCCGTGGGGCCCTCACCCCCTCCGTGGGGCACTCACCCCCTCCGTGGGGCCCTCACCCCCTCCGTGGGCCCTTCACCCGCTCCGTGGGGCCCTTCACCCGCTCCGTGGGGCCCTTCACCCGCTCCGTGGGGCCTCACCCGCTCCGTGGGGCCCTCACCCGCTCCGTGGAGCCCTCACCTGCTCCGTGGGGCCCTCACCCACTCTGTGGGGCCCTTCACCCACTCCATGGGGCCCTCACCCGCTCCATGGGGCCCTTCACCCACTCCGTGGGGCCCTCACCCCCTCCGTGGGGCCCTCACCTGCTCCGTGGGGCCCTCACCCGCTCCGTGGGGCCCTTCACCCGCTCCGTGGGCCCTTCACCTGCTCTGTGGGGCCCTCACCCACTCCGTGGGCCCTCACCCGCTCCGTGGGGCCCTTCACCCGCTCCGTGGGCCCTCACCCGCTCCGTGGGGCCCTTCACCCACTCCGTGGGGCCCTCACCCCCTCTGTGGGGCCCTCACCTGCTCCGTGGGGCCCTTCACCCGCTCCGTGGGCCCTTCACCTGCTCTGTGGGGCCCTCACCCGCTCCGTGGGCCCTCACCCGCTCCGTGGGGCCCTTCACCCGCTCCGTGGGCCCTCACCCGCTCCGTGGGCCCTCACCCCCTCCGTGGGGCCCTCACCCGCTCCGTGGGGCCCTCACCCACTCTGTGGGTCCTATGCCCTGACAGCACCAGGTTAGCTCTTCTGTCCCAGACCTGTCACCTAACCAGCCGCTCTCCCCACCGAGTCTGACGAGTCTCTTCATTTCCTGTTTCTGGAGCCCGGCTCCTACCCACCCCCAAACCCACCCCTCAGGCCTCCCACCTGCCCTGAGCTGGGTGACCCACACGTCCAGCGCCTCGGGAACAACCCCAGCGCCCACCTCCCCTCCTTCTCTTCTGCACATCCACGTCTGTTCCCAGGACCCACTGGTTGCATGGGCAGAGCCTGCCCAGGGGGTGCCCCCCTCCTGCCATGCCTCTCAGAGTAAAAGCTGCAAGTCCTGCCTGAATGCCCCTCTGGTGCCCTCTGACTTCCTCTTCTGCAGCCCCTCCCCCGCCCGATGGCCTCCTGTCCTTCTGGGGACACCCTGCTGGCTCTGACCCTGGGACGCTGGACACACCTCCCCTCCCTCAGCCTTTGCTCTGCTGTCTCCTCCCCAGGCACCCGCCCCCACCTGCACTGAAGCAGCAGCCTGCCGCCAGCCGGTCTGTCCTGTGGCTTCGGGGAGATTTGCTCCCTGGGCCGCGGCTTGACCAGGTCCCTGGTGGTGTTTGATAGACAGCTGCTGCGGGACTCAGCAAAGTCCCATGAGCTTTGTGTTTTGTAAGCACACCGCTAAATGTGCACCCGTGTGCATGTGCACATGTGCATGTGTGAGTGTGTGTGCATAGTGGACATCCTCCAAGGATGTGCCCTGCGGTCGCTCCGTTTGGGCGGGTGTGTCAGGGGCGCAGGTTGCAGACTTGTGCTTGGGCTTGAGGGCTGGGAGGGGGGGTGAGGAAGAGGGCACAGGGGTGGGTGGGAGGGGGTAGGGGCGGTGCTTCATGCTGTGCATTGTGTTCTATTGATTTGCTTCTGCAGCCGACCCCTGGGGAGAAGCTCTGAGTGACAGTCAGCCTTGGGGGCCCTTGAGGGTCAGAGACCAGTGGCTCTAGGTGGTCAGTGAGTGTCCGCTCCCTCCTTGATTCCTCGCTGTCCGGATGCCCGGTCATGGCGTGGCCGAGCGCCTGGGGTCCCAGTGGGACTCCGCCTGCAGGGCTCCCCACCCCTGATCAGGAGAACGTCTACCCGGGGGGACCTTGGGACGGCAGGGCCCTGGGGCGTCAGAGACTCAACAAAACAGAAGCAAACCCTGCCCGGCCCGCTGGCTCAGGCTGAGCATTGACCTATGAACCTGGTCACAGTTCAATTCCCAGTCAGGCATGTGCAGGACAATTTACAGAAAGGCAAGCAGGTGTTTGCTGGGGCTGCAGAGACGGTGGGACCCGGACAGGACGAGGTGCAGGCCCTGCTGTCTATACACACACACACACACACACACACACACACACACACACACACCGGCCAAGCCGCTGTGAATGCCTCCATGGCCTGGCCCAGGCCCTCTAAGTCCCTGTTGGCTGTCCAGGGGGAGGAAGAAGCTGCCTGGGTCTTTGGTTCCGAAAGGTAATCGGCCTAAAATAACGCTCGGGGCAGAGACATCCTGGGGGGGCCCAGACCCTGCTCTCTCCAGCCGCCAGCCCCGGGCCCCGGGCCCCGCAGGGCACCGCACTCCCGCAGAGCCCTCGCCTAACCCTCTTCCTCCGAGCACAGTGGCCTTTTATTTTTTTAAACTATTTTTATATTTTTATTGATGTCAGAGAAGAAGGGAGAGGCAGAGGCAGAGGGAGAGGGAGAGGGAGAGAGAGAGAGAGAAACATCAATGATGAGAGATAATCATGGACCAGCTGCCTCCTGTACGCCCCTCACTGAGGATCAATCCTGCAACCAGGGCAAGTGCCCTGACCAGGAATTGAACCCTGACCTCCTGGTTCATAGGTCAATGCTCAACCACTGAGCCACGCTGTCCGGGCACCATTGACCTTTTTTGCAGGGTGACTCTGGGCGGGGTGTGTGTGTGTGTGAGTGTGTGTCTCCCCTGCTGTTGGGAGTGGCAAGTGCTGGTCCTGGGCAGTCCGCGGGGGCGCACAGTAGGGCCAGATGCCTGCGCCTGGAGGGTGAGGCCTGTCTGGCCCCGCTGGCCTCTGAGCACCCATCCCTCAGGCCAGGGCTCAGGGCCACAACGCAGGAAACACACAGACTTCCTGACTGCTGGCTCCTGGCTATTCCCCCACTCTACCCCCCACCCCCCGGCCTGGCTGTTCACAGAATAGAAAGTGAAAGCAAGAGGCAGAGCTGCGGTGGGTGGTGGGGTGGTGGCCGGGACCTGCCAGGACCCCGGAGTCTGTGGAGTGGGGAGGAGGGGGATGCGCACAGAAGGGGAATGTGGGGCAGAGTCCCAGGCCACCCCGGGCGGGGGGAGGGCGGACTCTGCCAGGCGTGATGTTGGGCTGCTCTCAGCAGAGAGCTGCGAATGCCAGTCCAGTCAGCATTTGAGGGGCAGGGAGTTAGGGGGGCCTCTCCCCTGCCCCGGGCACTCAGGTGGGACTTCCAGGGGGACCTGCAGTGCTGGAAGGTTATGGGGGATGGTGAAGCTCTGAAATACATTTCATTCTTCTTTTAAATATGTTTTTTTATTGATTTGAGAAAAACATCAATTGGCTGACTCCTGCACGCCCCCTGCTGGGGATCAAGCCCACAACCAGGCATGTGCCCTGACCGGGAATCCCACAGGCAACCTCTTGGTGCCTGGTTGACACAACCACTGAGCCACACCGGCCGTGTTTTATTTTTCTTATCTGCATTTTCTACATTTTCTTGAGAACACTGCAGGAGGGGGCAGGGGGGACACTGGGCCCTGAGCCAGCTGCCGTGGAGGGGGGAAGCGGGTCAGGCTGTCCTGGGACGCCCAGGTGTGTTCCCCTGACGTCGGGCCCGAGGACAGCAGCCGTAGGGCGGAAGGTGCCCCCCGCCCTCCCCAGGTTCCTTGGCTGATCCAATAAGTGAAGCCACAGAAATCAGGTTAGCGAAGCAAAGCCCATGGGAGAGCAGGAACCTCCTCCCGTGGGCCCGGCACAGGCCACCCGAAAGCTCTGTCCCCAGCGGAGACGGTGCGGGTGGGCTCAGCGACCCGGAAGGCTTGCGGGCGGCCATCATGCCGCCTGGCGCGGAGCCTGCAGCTCTGGTAATTGCTCCTGGAGAGGAGGTCCCCTCCTCCTCCTGTGCCGTGCGGGCCCCGCAGGTTCCCCGCACGGCACTGTCCCCGAGAGGCCTGCCCTCTGCCCTCAGGGCGCCCGGGCCGCTGACCGCCTGGCTCAGTGAACAGAGTGTCTGCCTGTGGACCAAAGGGTTCCGGGTTAGATAACAGTCAAGGGCAAGTACCTTGGTTGCAGGCTACTCCCCCTGCCCTCTCCCCAACGCCCCTGGTCCAGGCCCTGGTCGGGGTACGTGCAGGAGGAACCCATTGATGTTTCTCTCACATCAGTGTTTCTCTCTCCTTCCCTCTCTCTTC